TTAGTCTACTTTTGTTTGGGATACATCATTTACCGGAACCAGGTTTGCGACCTGTTTTTGTTTTCCCCTTTTTGATTTATACATTTATCTCCCGACTTTGTTGTATAATATACATTTAATAACATGGCAAACAGACTAACTGCTTATTGAAAGTGCTCACTTTGCACACTTAAAATGATAAATTGATCGTACTGACTTAGAGATGAAAATAAATCTTATCAAATGATCATAATTAAAGTTTGTCACGCATATCGTTTTACTCTCTGGCAACTAAAACCGATTGTTGTTACGTTAAAAAAATGGCTACAAGAGGGTGGGAAAAATTCAAATGCAATATTCTGAATTTGAATTTGTTTTAAGCTTTCTGGATTATCTTTGGTCTTTCTCACTCTTGGTTACCGTACAATAGTCTCCTTTTCCTTCCTCAGTTCAACACTATACAATGAATCAATGCGATGAAAAACTCTTTCATTTTTGTCATAACTCAGGCAATGCAAAACTGAGATAAGATGATATTGTACAATAGAACCATTTGTATCTAGTGATATCGCTAGCGGTTGATCACATGCTTTTAAACATTTAAGTTCTTCAATGGGACAGAAATGGATTCTATCAAATGAAACTCTTCTGGGAGAAAATAATTGTATAGGACCGGTGGGTGCTTTGTAAGTTATAAACCAAAAATTTCACCCTTTCCCTGAACTCAGTCCCCTAACCACTACATAAAAGCTGAAAAAAAAATTGTGATCATGTTTCCATCAAATGCTGATAGTTTCGTCAACGAATTTAAATTATTTTCCTTTGTTCTTGGTTCTCTCTGATATGATTCTAGAGGAAAATAAATAGGGAAAGTTCATGGCTCTATAGAGATGAAACATGGTAGAAGGCTTCATTGTGTCTTTAAAATAACTATTAATTATTTGATTCTCTTATGATTACTAAAATTCTTATGATATCCTAAATATCTTTCTGTGACAGCTCTTAAATGTTTATGTCCCAAAGTACCAGACTGGAGGAGAGTTTTGGCCTACAGTCCACAACTGCACAATTTTTTCATTGGTACTGATGCATATTATAGTAATTGGGATTTTTGGGCTGAAGAAGCTTCCAGTAGCATCTGCCTTGACTCTTCCTCTTCCAATTCTCACACTTCTATTCAATGAGTATTGTCAGAAACGGTTCTTTCCTATTTTCAAGGCTTATCCTGCTGAAGTACGGTGGTTGACAATTCATGCTATTTTATCTGATTCTTTTGTTGATTACTTGATTATGATTTCTGTGTTTTTCATCTTCCCTTATTTATTTGTGAAGTTGTGATTATTTAAGGCACTTTTGCATGCCCTGATAAACAATTTTCGTTGCTGATATTGTCATGGCTATTGTTAAAATGTGGTCACTCTCAGAATTAAGCAATCGTGGTTACTATTTAGTTGTTCACTCAGGTCTTCCGGCCAAACTTGATATCAGGAATTGATTGACAGTAAAATCACTTTCATCTGACAGTTAATATAGCACTGGGGGTCTTAAGTTGATGTTAGATGTAGAGGAAAAGTGGAATACATGCTCAATTGTCATGATATTATTATGAGATCAAGTTGTTAATCAGCCTAATGTGGAATTTGTTTAAAATTTTCAGCAACAAAAATACTGGTAATCAATGACACTTGTTGTAAAGGATGCATTCATCCCATGTATTTGGAATAGCTTGGTTAGGCTTATGAAAGTCACCTATTAACATCGCATTGTAGTTCTTATGATGTTCACAAGAGTAAATGTTGCACTATACTAAGCGAAACACCTGATGCTAATATACTTTTGGCATTTTCTTCTGCTTCAAAATGGCATATATTTCTGATTATTCTTTGTTCAACTGTGAGTTTTTTCCTTTTCCATTTTGTGCATTCTCATGAAATTTAGTCTCCTGCAGTGTTTGACCAAGAAGGACAGAGAAGACCAAAATGATCCCAAAATGTCTGAATTTTATGATAAGTTGGCCAAAGCATATAATGATCCAGCTCTCATGCCAGTCAAATATTCAAGGAGGGATGATAGTCACAGGTTTCCTCTGCTTCGTAGCTCAGAAGAAGCTTAAGTTGATAATTAGCTTCCTATGGCTTGGCTTGTAACTAACAACGTAGAACATAGCATATGGCTTGTGATATAAGGCAATGTACCTTCAAATTTTAGTATTTTTAATATTTTTCTTAACTTATTGAGTTCACTTTAAAATATGTGAAGAGTAGAGCGGTATGTGTAATATATAATGAATTTTGTAAAAACAGGACAAAAATGTCTCTCTTTGGCATGTTGGTCGAAGTAGACCTGCCAAATGTGCCTCACGAAAGTAATTTTCACTTTCATTCATTTTAATTTGCTTATTTTATTGTCCAACTCTTATATTTGTTGCCAATTGTTATTAAAAGAGTTTCTGTTCTTGCTAAGTCAAGACAAATAAAATGCATCCAACTGGACCAAGCTTTGTCTAAAATCTGTTTCTCTTATTCTTGAATTGATATTCAAGGAAGACAAATAAGAATACTATTTAAGACACACAATTATAATGATTAATGAACTTGTAGTTCAATTACCACAAATCTAAGTCCTTAAAACTTATGTGTGATCTCGATATTAAAGGTTTGATCTTTTATTAAGCCATATTTATTTTCTCTTTTAGGTATTTGCATATAAGTTCACTAACAATTTATAATAAGTTAAATTTTAATAATTTTATAAGAAGATGATTACTTGCACATTAAAAAAATTACAAATAATATAGATCAAATATGAAGACAAATTTTTCATATTTTTAGTAATTTATTATAATAAAAAAAAACACAAATTTGTCGGCAAGAATATTTTTACGTTTTTTACTGTAGTGAACCTACATTTATGTTATGGAAATCAGTATATATTATCGTTATTTTTATGCAATTTACTTAAGCTTTATAAATTACGCATGTTATACAAAATTACGATATGTTAAAAACAATGACATGAGAAAGTCGTGTTTTAAATACTTTGATTTTGAGATTTTGACCCAGAAAATACATAAAATAAATTATATTCTAAATAATTTTTTATATTTTAAGTTTTTTATTATCAGTAAAATATTTTTTAGTTAATAAAATTCTTTCTAAAATTGCTTATAAAATCATTGCCTATCTTATTTGGGATTGGTGTATTATAGCTTATGACCATCTACAATATGTCACAAGGAGAAACTGATTGATAAGTTGGTCCAGAAACATCACCATCTCTGCACAATGTATGATGAATTTTCTTTTTAAAGTGTGGATAATAAAAACAACATCAGATGATAACATAATTATGGTTAATCAAAGTTTGATGACACAACATTGCAAAAACATTTGAATAAATTTATATTCTATAAGTATGATTGTGGTTGGAAATGGACAATTATGTCCCAGGTGGGGCATTGGAGCAATCGTCTTTCATGACCTTGACAAGAGCAAAAAGCACTTTCCTTTTTGTGTTTTAACTTTTAAAATTGTAAGATTTAATTAACTAAGAATGACATTGACCTCGTTTTGGCTTGAAAGAGACTACTACATCTGGATTCCTTAGACACTTGCATAAGATAAATCCACTTCTCCCAACTGTTATTCTCATTCTTTTTTTTTTCACATAAAAAGTGTAAAATGTAACTTTAAAAAATGAAATATAAGAATTATATTTCTTATTAATTAACATGTAAGAGCTTTGGTTTACCTAATTACCGTATTCATTACTTTTATTAGTTTAGAGATATTATTTTTATCTTGGTTTAGAATATACTTTTAATCCTTACATTTTAGTGATTTTTTAATTTTGGTTCTTATAAACAAATTTTTATTTTATTTTAATTCCTATATTTTAACAAATTATTTTTAATCGCTATCGTTGATATGATTCAACAAAAAACTGTCTGTCTAGCAGATTTTTAGTAAACCAGATCAGTAATAAAGATTAAAAATAAAAATCATTTAAAGAGACAAAAACAAAAAATTTGTTAAAATATGAAAACATATGTAAGCCTTTTGTCTTTTACCTTCGCATTGTTGCTTAAACATAGTGTTAGAAAGGTGAAATCTATTAATTAGACTGTTGGTGAAATTTAGGCTCCATGAACTCCATCGATATTTTTATTTATTTTTATTTTCTTAATTAAACATAACAAAACACCAGTATTTCCACCCTTGTAGGGTCTGAGGAGGGTCACATGTACCTCTATGCCCCATAGGAACCAATCATTTTAACAAGTCATAAGACAAATGTGACGTTGCAACAAGGCTCAGCCTCCAATCAAACATAGCATGGAGAAAAAAGCTACCGCATTCAAATTATAAAGCTCTTTAGTGTTGTGCTAAAAGGATCATTAGAAAATCCATAAAACACAAAATGGAAATATAACTCAACTGGTTCTGAGCTAGAATCCAAACGCCAGCTGCATCATGCTATGGTTTCTAGTTACTTCTTTAGCACATAGATTTTGTTTGCTCTAGATTTTATTTGATTGTGTTTTTTTTTTTTTGGTCTCTTTTAAGACAAGTAATGTGGGGCCCTCTATCTCAAATTTCCTTGATGCCTTAGACAAAGTGGCAATGAAGAGCAGATAATGGACAGCATGAAAATTATAACATTAAAAAAAGTGCTAGATTACGTAATCTTTAGTTTCTATCACATAAAAGGTTGAAAGCAATGGCAATGACCAAGTCAAGCTTGCACTATGTTATAAGATATGGTTAAATTTTCAAATATGGTCACAGAAGATAAATTTAAATACCGTGTCCAGATCCAACAAGTTGCACCAATTAAAAAGTCTGAGAAGCCGCCAAATGTTCATTATAAAGCCTAAATTATAAAGAAACAAACAAATGGAGCCAATATCAGTGTGTCTGACCTGTTCAGCTCTAAAAAGTGAACTATTTCAAAGCTTCACTCATTAGTCAGTACCCCTCCTTCATATAAAAGCTAAAATCATCACAAAGAAAGCCACAACAACCAAGCTTCTGTGCCTTCAAAGAATCATTAGTAAGCTTAACTAAGAAGCAGGCAAACAGTGTGTAAAAGCACAGGAAAATGGGAAGGAAGAGAAAGGTTGCTGCAGAAGTTAGAGAGAGGAATCCATCTGAGGAAAACTTGGCATGGAATGAGGTGATGAAGGAACCTGCTACACCTGGAAGTGCCAAAAGATCCAGAAAAAGATTTGTTGGGGTGAGACAAAGGCCATCAGGAAGATGGGTAGCTGAGATAAAAGATACCATTCAGAAGATAAGGGTGTGGTTAGGCACTTTTGATACAGCTGAGGAAGCTGCAAGAGCCTATGATGAGGCTGCTTTCATGCTTCGTGGTGCCAACACTAGAACAAACTTTTGGCCTTGTTCTCAACCTTCATCAACTCCTGCTCTTCCCTCAAAGATTACAAATCTCCTCCTTCAAAGGCTTAAAGCAAGGAATAATGGCAATAATAATAATAATAACAATCCTTGCTCTTTTTCTGCTTCTTCAACTTCCTCCTCAAATTCTTTTTCTTTCAACAACCAACAAAAGCAACAAGTAGATGTTTATGGAACTGAACCAAAATCTTTCTCAATGGACCAATTCACTGATTTCCTTAATGACCCTGAAGATTATGGCACAAGCAACAACGAATTCAGTGATAATAGTGCACAAATTGACTACATCACAAATAGTTTTGAATCATGTTTAGCTGGAAAAGATGATTGTAGGGAAAAAGAAATGGGTATGGAATGCAATTTCAGCAGTGTGGCACAAACAACATCAAATGCTGATTGCAGTTCAGGAGGGGAAAGAGAGGGAGACAATGAAGAAGGCATTTGTTTGAGTGCCAAGGATTTTCAGTTCTTGGACAATGTTGTTCCATCTAATTACTATTATTCTCCTTTTGAGATTGCTGAAGAAATTGAGGAACCTTTGGAACCAGAGAACTATAGTGATGAGCCTTCAATGTTAAGAGCTGTCATGAAGAGAATGAAATATGAGAGAAAGTTCTCAGCTTCCCTTTATGCCTTCAATGGAATAACTGAGTGCTTGAAGTTGAAACTGGAATCGGGAAACAAAAATGGAAGAGGGGCTTCTAGTCAACTAACCAGCCTCAAGATGGCTTGTAGCAAAAACAAGATTGAGGCTAATAAGAAGAATGAAGAGTACATGGGAGCAATGGATAGGAAAGACGAAGAAAAACCACAAACATCAATTGGCATGGATTGCTCCTCCCCCACTTTTGCATCCAGTATTGATGGGGAACTCTTACTTTGGAATTCACTTGATCTTCCTAGTATTTGCTTTGTTAACTAGCTGCTATTCAATTAGTTTCACTCATTTTTCTGTAACCTCAATGTATGCTAAGCAACATGTGTGGTGGTAACATCAGATTTATTTAATTATAAAAAATATTTTCTAGTACAGTGTTGTTATTTATGTTTATATTCTATTAGGCTATGTTTAGGAGGAAAGAAGAGGTGAAGAAAAGGAATTAACAAGGCTTAGCTTTAAGAGTTACTTAATTAAAAGAAGAGTTTGAGAATTTTCTAAATTCTCCAAAGCTCTTTAAATATTAGTTTTTTGAGTTCTTCTAATCTTAAATTTTTTTTACAGTTTTCTTTCTTCCACTTTTTTTAACTTTTTCACGATTGAGATTTGAATTTTTTTTTTTTAAATGTTAGTTTTTAAAGGAGAATTTTTTTAAAAAATTATAAAAAATAAAAATATTAAATTTAAATTTATTAATTTTTAGAAAAATAAAAAAAATTATAAAATATATATATAAAAAGAATAAAAAATATAATAATATCATTTATATATTTAAACTTTCTATCATTCTCCTCTCTTAATATTAAACATCTAAACAAAGATGAAGTTAAACCTCCTTTTTCTTTCAAACTCTTTTCTTCACTCTCTTTCCAAACAAAGCCTTAGTCACTAGTGCTCATTTCATTAGTCAGTTAGATTCGGTGGTGGGGTGCTAGGGTGAAGTACACACGTGAAATAACTATTAACAGGTGGCAAAGATATGGTCTATTGTTTCTCATATCATCGCTTAATAAGGTTCTATTAGGGTGAAAAACTAAAACATCTAATATTAAAAATAATACGGACCAGAAACTATAAGAAAATGGTGCTTAAAGACCAACAGCAAGAACGCAAATGTGGAAACAAAAATATCTAATAGTTAAGTTAATGATTGCTGTAAGTCTCTTATATCATAAATTTTATTGCATTGGCAATTATTCAGTAAAAGCACAACCACCACCATTTAAATAATTAGCATAAGACCATATTCGTGAGAAATATTTTGAAACAATGATGTCACGAGTTGGTAGCATTAAAGAGCACATCAAATTTATTAACAAGGTAGCTACATAAATATTTGCGTAGTGCAAAGGTAGTTATATCGTTGCTGGTTAAAGAATATAAAGGAAATCGAGGGAAAGACGAATATAACGTAATGATTCAGACACATAAGCTTTTATTAGATAGACGAAGACGTATTACCCAATGTTTAGATGAAAGGAGAGAAAATTTATGTTTTTAATTTCTAGAAGTCAACTTTTCTTAATTATGTGTCTTTCAATCAAACAAAAAATTTTATTTTCAGATACTCATGAAGAATAAACAAGAATAGACAGTTGCATTAGGCTAGTTTCTAGAAAAAACAATGTCTATTTTCAAATATACGTTTATCTTGAAATAAAATGTTTTTGTGTAGGTTTCTCTGTCTACAAAAGAAAAACAAACACGGGCATGGTAAATTTTCAGGAATATTATATCCCTAGGAATATCATTCTTGGGATCAATATTCTCGAATGAAAAATCAACTCCCAAACAAAGGCCGCCAAGGGGTCCATAAACCAAACAAAATATGGACGGTAGTATACGTCGTCTCATCGTGATACTTTCAAAAGGCTAACGCATAAAAATCCTGAAAGTATAAATTTTGCCAGGTACCAGTTGCAGTCTATAAAGGCTCGGAGGATGCAATCATACAAGAGTAATCTGAAATTACATTCATAAGATAATGCTAATCTGCAAATTCAAAGTTAGATGCAGGCATGCAGCCTAGACAGGCATCCCTTCCGCTTCCAAGTAACAATCGCAACAGTCATTTACAGCCCTCGATTGAAAATCATACACATCACTGTCAATTGGGGTCTAATTCTTTCATCAATTTCCCCATATAATTCACTACATTGATAAAATTAAATTCATCAAGAGAAAGGAACACCTAGTTAAACAACATTGTTAATGAAGCAAAACCCATATTTAGGATTGGCTCATTATGATGTTTACCCATAGAAAAACGGGTAGAAAACAGACCATACTCTCGGACAGAAAAGATACTTATATGTACAATGGTAGCTTATTCACATGAAACAGGCATATTTGAGTCTCTTGTGAGCCTAAGCTCTTTGCTCTAGAGGACACGAAGCTGTGCAAGGAAAGCAGCACACAGATCCAAGAAGAGAAACTGTGGACCTTGCACCCTTTGAAGATCAAGCAGATACTTTTCTTCCCTAGTTTTGTAAAGCTGTTATAGAAGTGAACATAAGAATTCAATAATATCAAGCAGATACTTTAACTACTTTGATTTAGCAAAGGACACTTATCTGACCATCACAGCAAAATCATTACTACTAAGGCAGTAATTGAAAATGTCTTTTTATATCAAATGCTGTAAAGATTATGGTTGTAGAGGTAAATTACCTGCACCTCAAATTTGACAACATTTGAAGCAGAAACGGCATCATTCTCAATAATGTTGGAATCATCTCCAAAGTAATGATTATTATGCACAGCATTGTTCACCATTCCTTCATGTTGACCAGGAATGCCAGCAACCCACCTGCACTTCATGTTGTAGTGACCAATCTTCTTCCAACAAACATTTAATTCTTGCAAAGCTTTAAGGACCTCAGTCATTATTTCACGAGGATGGGCACGAGACTGTCACAAGATAATGAACAGAAAGTAACTACCAACAAGCCATCAAAACTACAATTTTCTTATGGCAACTATTATTGAAAATTCAGACAGTTGTTAGATATAAAGTACATAAGCAACAAATTCAGCAGCCCAAACTTACAACAGATGGAATAAACTAGACAAAAAAAGGCACCCAGCAAATATTTCCTCACAAACAGCATGATCACAAGTGATATTCATTGTACCTGAAGCCCAAGGGCCCATTTTCTCTCAACAGGAAACTGTTGTCTCAATCCTGCTCCTGGATAATCCATATAGCCTTGAACACGGTGCCCAACAACTGAAGAAGCAACTTCACTGGGATGCATTTGGTTAAAACCAGCATCCTAAGCAATTTCAATATAAAGCCAAAATTAAAGGAGTTTTGGATAGGATTGAGTTTTAAAAGGAAACAAACAAAGAAATATAATATCAATTAAGAATAAGAAACCTATGATTCCAAGGCTATAAGATCCAAGAATAACCAAGTTCAGGCTAGAAAGAAATATTTAATGAACGGTTTAACGATAGGAGCCTCACTCAAATTACAAAAAATACTGAAATGGAACTCATTTCACAGCACCCAAACCCAGGACCGAGGTAGCTGATAGAAGGGCTATTTTTCCTTCTCTCTCACTCTCCCAATTTTTCCCTCTTCTTCCCCTCCTCCATTTTTATTTTAACTTAACCCCACCCCCTCTCCTACCTTGTAAGTAAGATGTTAAAAAGCTCAACCCCTCCCCTTTTCTCACATTTCCAATGCAACTTCAGTTATAATTTTCTACTGTTCCTTCCTATCTTCCTGGCTTGCAACATCATAATGTAGTGACGCCTAACATTTACTCATAACTTTTGTACAGTACACAATATGCAACCCAGTTTGCATAGGGATACAATATACCCAAATGTTAGAAAAATGTCTTCTGTTCTTTGGATAAGCTAAATGAATTAAAGAATAAAGACACTAATGAAATATTAAAAAAATAAATGTAAGAGAAACTCACCATGGACTCTTGAAACTCAGCTCCAAGATAGCCGCTGGAAACACGGAATCGGTTGTCCAATAACAAATAGTAGGCTACAGTACCCTGAAATATAGGGATGGGAGTAAGGGATAATCTGGCAGATGTAGAAGGAGAAAATGAAAGGCACAAACCTCGTTTTGTATCCTGTTCCGAAGAGATTCAACCAATTGATTCTTGTCAAATCCCATATTCACCACTTCCTGAAGGATCTCCTCATCAATCTACAATACCATGACATCATTTGGTTTTATTTTTTGGACTGATTACAACATATCAAATATCATACACCTTATAATCCCCAATGTGCAGGTGTGTCTAAAGTGAAAATTTTGAAAAACTTAAAGTAGCTGAAAAGATACCAGTGCCCTTAAGTAACTTGAAATGTTACTCAAGGTATGAAACCTCGCATTTTCATTTAAAATTAGTATTTTTCAACTACACTTTTCATGAACCATAGAAGATAATTTACAGAAGTGTGACATTGGAGGGAAAGGGGGGATAACCCACAAAGACATAAAAACAAACCTTTTTGGCCTGTTGCATTGTATCTGGTGGTGGCACAGCTAAATAACGTGGAAGACGAGCTTGGAACCATGGGTGTTGACGGATCTCAGGTATAGTTATCCTCTTCATAGGGTCGACCACAAGCATCCTTGGTATCAAATTTCTAGCACCAGGTGACAGATGACTGGGAAGTGTATATATCCCACCCTATATGATACAATATGTGGTAAATAAACCTCTTTGAAGTTGAGGATAACAGAACTTAAAGAATAAATCTGATTCTCAAAAAATTCATTATTCAGTTAATACTAATATAGAACATCCAACAGTTAGACTCAAAGTTATAAAGAAATTATAGAACTATTATTATATTCATATAGAACTAGAAAATGCAACCCATGCATTTGCACAGCTTCAGAATATTAAAAAATAGTAAAAAATGAGTAAATCAAAATAAATACACAAAGCTAAAAATATAAATAAGCGAGACTACAAAGCAGGAAAATTAGCCATGTGTCCTTGGTCTGGACAGTTTCAATATATATGTACATAACAGCCAATGGTTTGATTAATTAAATAAATAAAATTAACACCAACAATACCTTTATTTTCTTGAAGAGATTTGGAATGTTTTCATCATCAAAAGGCAGAGTGCCACAAAGAAGTGCATACAAAATTACACCACAGCTCCAGACATCTACTTCTGGTCCAGCGTACAATTTCCCAGAGATAACCTATGAAAAAAAATGGGAAAACAAAGTGTTACCAAGAAATACAAATCACAAGACAAAGAAAATACATATATCCTCAACAATTACAATAACAAAAAAATAGCAATAATCATCCTCATGCATTCCATTAAAAGCCAGAGAACTTCAAACCTCAGGAGCTGCATAGTTGGGGCTTCCACAACTTGTCTTAAGAAAGTGACCATCCCGCATGATGTTGCTCAAGCCAAAATCAGCAATCTTGACATTACATTTGGAGTCCAAAAGTAAATTCTCAGGCTTCAGATCTCTATGAACCACCATATTCCTGTGACAGTACTCCACACCAGAGATTATCTGCATCCAAATAAGAAATTAGCTCAAACAATCTGCAACAAGCAAAATTTTTCTCTACTATACAAAATAGTAAAGAAACCCACCTGCTGAAAAAAATTACGAGCTTCATCTTCCTGCAGTCTACCCTTCTCCACTATGTAATCAAATAACTCTCCCGATTTCACATACTCCATAACAACATATATGTCAGTTGGAGTTTCTATGACCTCATAAAGGCGTATAATGTGAGGATGCATGAACAATCTTAAAATTTTTATTTCTCTTCTCACTGCAATACATTTAGAAAAAGGAAAAGGGGAAGAAGGACGGTAAGCATGTTTGATAACAAGACAGAGCAGGAGGAAACATGGGAGATCTTGTAAACTAAAGCATAAGGAAATTGGTTATATCTATCTTCAAACTCCACATCATTAGAACATAAGGATAACATATGTTAGTAAAATACATAAAAGTTCTTGAAGCTATAATTATATATCAATATTCACAAAACAAAAAGTTGCTAGAACAATTGGAAATTCCTAAATTAAAAAAAAAAAAAAAGGACCACAATTAGATGATAATATATAATTTATTGATAAAAATAATAAAAACCTTTTTCTTCCATGTCCATGTTCTTTATCTTTCGACGGTTAAGGATCTTGATTGCAACCTTATGGCCAGTCAATACATGCTCTGCAATTTTCACCTTCCCAAAGGATCCAATTCCAAGTGTTTTTCCCAATTTATAATTGGGTAGAAACATGTCCAGGCCAGCACCAACACCTCGGCCAGCTGATCCATCCATTTTTAAATCTAGAAGTAAAATTATGGAAGAGATAAAATATATAATCAGGCACATGAAAGTATATCTAGATGCATAAACAAATGCAAACATCAAAATAAGCATGCTAGAATGACTAGAAGAACATGCATAATTACATGAGCTGCCAGTGACACAAGGGTTTTACAGCACTGGTACAAATTTAATTGTCACCCCAATTGTCCTTTTCTTTAAGTGTATGGCGCCTATAATCCAATTCAACCTTTAATAAAGAGGGAGAAGTTTAGACAATAACGAGGAATAGCTCCAACAGATGGGTATAAAGTCTGCCACATAAAGTCTCAGCAACTAAGACTCTTAATGGCTTACAATAGTAAACACCAACAGATGGGTATATCAAGACTGATAAACATCACATCAGAGCAGCATTACTGCATAAAAGAGGATCCAGAACATCATTACAATTGAGAACAATTGTCTGACTTATTGTTGCAATCAAAGAAAACAAGATCCTGATTAATTGTATTCTAAAAAGAAATTTAACAATTTTCTTCTCTATTAACATAGTCATCAATCCCAAAGGCAACATGGGGCAGCCATCCCCTAAACTGCTATGGCAGGACAATGCATCGAGAGGTATGACATGACCACTATTTTGAAGAATATTGTTAAGAAACTTGAGCTTAACTCACTCTCAAAAGTTAACTCATAGGAGGAGGACTATCCTATTCCTTATAAGGAGTATTCTGACTTTATTCCAAACCAATGTAGGACATCTTAACACATCTCCCTCACGTGCTGAACTGGACATCTAGTGCGTGAAATTTGTAAGACTTGACATGTACACAGGTGGATCCAACAGGACTAGACATCTATGAGCAGCCCAACATTTAAACTGAATAAGCTCTGATACCATGTTAAGAAACTTGGACCTAACTCACTTTCAAAAACTAGCTCATAGAAGGAGGATTACCTTATTCCTTATAAGGAATATTCTGTCTTTATTCCTAACTAATGTGGGACATCTTAACAATTATAAATACAAGAAATATAATCTATACTTCACATAAACAAACACTCAAAATATATTCCCTGAAATTAAAGACATTTATAAATAATAGTCAAAAGTCATAGTCTATACACAAAAGCTAACAATAAAAGTTGAAGAACATATAGGAAACAGAAACAGAAGAGACATCTCTGAAATTTAAAAAAAAAAAAAACAGAGAACTCAATGATGAGTAGGGAAACACACAGAGACAACAGAAAAATGAGGATACCTTGCCACTCAGAACACAAACACAGAATGAAAGAAAGAAAGGAAAGAGAAACACAACTCAGATAAGCTGGAAAAAAACATGACAGAGACAAAACATAAAAGAGACCAAAAGAAGGTTCTGCTGTGAAGCATGAAATGAAGCTTGAGAGCTGTTATGGGCTGACCAGAAACACTGCCAGAGAACTGGTTCAGAGACCAGAAAAGGGAGGAGGTCACCCTTAGTCAAGCTTCTTACCCCAACTTTCAAATATGAGCACAAAAAAGGTGCATTTAGTCTTGAATAAGATACATATAGGTTTTCCAATGCAAAACAAGGGAAATGGAAAAATACCATACCCAAAATAGCTTCAGTGATGTACAAAATATAGACAGTAAATAGGGAATTTTCCCCTGTGAAATAATAGGGGATAGCAACCAACTGACCATGACTCTGTTAGGAAACTGGATATTTGGAGGGTGTATCATAGGAGGAATAGAGTAGATGTAGAGGATCATACCCTTGATACCGGTAATGCCAATTAGTTGCTGAGATAATGGAAAGTTAGTCATGGAAAGGAACATAACAATAACAGAACATGGGAGAAAGGGATCTCACTTTGGGAAGGGCTCTCAAATACTCTACATCAATTATCATCTTGTATCATTTCTGTATCAACACTCTAGTGGGTCCTACCACTGAGTTGATACTATTTTTCTAACAAGATTCCTCTCTATTCATAAGTTCTCTCTCTTCTCTGAAACAGATCTAACCAATCCCACTACTTCAAAACGCTCAGAAATGTAAATGAATAGTAACCTGTGGCTGCTCTCCGCAACGCTCCCCCCAGATGACAGTGCTAGCTAAGCATGCTATTAATAACTATTAATTATAAAATAAATTTTCTACTTTTATCAGAAAAAAGGAAACTCAAGAATATACTTATACACACTGACAAAATCATTATTAGTAATGAAACGAATGACAAAAAAATTTAAAAAAATATATTAGCATTGAATCATCTGTCATTACCCTTTCTTTTTCATTGGCATTGCACATTCATAAAAGGCTGACAGGTGATGTGAAGGTAAGGTTATTGAAAATTTGACATGCGACTCAATGTCATTGTTCCTAGTGGCAAAAAAAGTTGCATTTATGGTCAAAGGGTTAAGGATCAATGCATCAAGCCTCCCAAACTGCACAAATGCACAACACCGGGAGCCTCATGCACTAGGAACTGAAAACTTATATGCAAGTCCTAGGCTCCAATATACCAGTACAAAAAGGGTATAGCCAGCCAGATAAGTTAAATACACACTTTTAGAAAGGAATTATTTAATTGTTAAACTTTTGAAACCATAAAATACTTGTATCGGAATGAGTCCAAACTCCAAAGGCAGGTAACGGTTACCTCCTCTGTTTCAAAATCATTACCATTTAAGGTTTTGCACAAGGATTAAGATAGTTATCAGAATACCCTCAATCTTAGGGAATATAATTCCATTAAACTAAATTAACCCTTGACTTTGACAATGCTCTCTCTCACTCCACCTAGAGGAGATACCAAGATACAAGTATAAAATTGGAGGTAACAAAAAATAATGCTTTCTTAGTTTTGTAAAGTGACAAATAACTTTAAATCTAAACAGAATAAACTCCTACAATGACTATTATTTCAAAGTGGGGGGCGCATTTTTCTACCATTCTCACTATTTTACCCTGCCTTAGCACCACAGTTTGCAAGTTAGACAGGTGGCCTCTCCAGCTGCTTTACATCTATCAATAAGAGGCACCATGCACAGGCCATACGAGGCACCTTGCCTCAGGCGCTCCTTTGACTACACTGTTTTTCCAACAATAAAGAAGCTACTACAACCTTATGAGCAACAGATTTTCAAATGATGTAATCTACCACTAACCACCAGCTAAAAGTTCCACTGATTGTTAAGAACCGTACAAAAAGAGAAAAAAAAGTGTTAAACACACCATCTACTACTCTGACGCTAGTGGCAGTGTATATACTGATACCCGAAGGAACCAGAAGGTGAAAATTGATGGAAATAATAATACAACGTAAAGAAAACAAACAATTAGAAATAATTTTAAAAAAAAGGAACATAAAATTAGAAGTAATAACAAGAATTTTAGAACAATTCAACACAATTATTCAAAATCGTGGCCATTCCATATCCACACGCAACGCAATCCAGAACCTCAAATCTGAAAACTAGCAGCCTTCCGATCGAAAGCACTTGATTTAATTTCAAAAAGTAAAAAAGAACAATAGTTATCAAGAAAAAATAACCAACAAGAAGAAGAATCTTAGCACGAAAAAGAAAAAGCGAAATTAACAGAGAGGAAGGGGGAGATGGAGATGTTGAAAATTGTATGGGGATTGAAACTGGAGAAGGGTGAAGGCTCACCAAGGTGTTGTTGGAGTGAACGGAGCTTGAGAGTGAAAATGAAGAGATTGAAGGAACCCTAATGTTGAGGATTGGGAATGGGATGGAGAAGAAGAGAAGAGGAACAAAGCATCGCGTTCTCCTTCGATGTTTGCATCAGCCTCCACAATCTGCTAATACACGACAAAAGACGGTGCGTTTTGATCTCACATGCTTTCGGTAATTAAATTCGCTTCTAAAGCATTTATATCTAATTATTATAATATTTAATTATCAAACGCGATAATTTATTTACAAAATTTATAACTAAATGCAAATATGATTATTTTATTATCCACCACTCCGATTCTTATATAAGCTAACAAGCATTTTATATATTTTATATATATTATTAAATAAAAATTAAAAAAGTAATATCATGTAACTTTGTACTATTAGCGCTAATAAAACGAATTATTTCTCGTTAAAGTGGGCCTGTAACAAGTAGAGAATTTTAGGAAATTAAGCTAAAAAGGTTTAAATTTAATTTAAATTATAAAATTAACTTCTAAAACAAATAAAATTTATTTTCTTACATTAAACTTTCTTAGATTATGATAAAAGACTTATATTTAATTTGAATTCAAAATGTAAAATTCAAACCCTATATTTTATCATATAAGTTTCAACTAATCCAGGAGAGTAAATCAGTTTTGTTAACTCTAATAAAAATCATAATTTAAAAATTAATACTCCATTCCTTATTATTAATGTCGAAGTATTTTTGTCATCATCAAATTGTTACGTTGGCATGATTAGATTGTTTTTTAAATTAAAATTATTAATTCACTTTGTAACAATTTAAATTCTATAATTAAGATATAAAATAATTCTTTATTTAAACAATTAGCAGCTAGTTTAAATATAAGTATTTAAGAATGGTTCTACATAGATTAAAAAATTGAGATTCAATATTATTTCAAAATACAAGTGTAAAAACAAGAATTATAGTATTCTCTAAATTTGTGCTAATGTCATATCTAAAAGGGTCAATTTAGATTTTGAAAGTTGTGGTTGAATGTAAAAGTTTAAGTGGTAAATGTTTCATTTTTCTTTAAATAAAATCTCACCTTTCAAGTTCAAATCTTATTGAAAAATAATAATAATTTATTGTAAGAACTAATCCTATTATGCTACGAGTATTTTTAAATCAAACAAAATTATTAACATGGAGCGTTTCTCATGCATCAGCTTAAGAATAAAACTAGTATACAAATATGCACAACACAGTAGTCAAATGGTGCTTCCACAGGTAAAGTTCCAAGTTCAAATCGTTCCATATCCCTAACTTAAAATATCTTCATTGTCTTTAGCTTCACATTGATCATTTTTAATTGTATTTGAAGAGGTATCAATCAGACACTGGTTAGTCATTAATTTGTTGTCACCATAAATACTTGAGTCCCATAAGTATATACTATAAACGACTAACTACTGATTAAAAAAAAGTATGCTAAATACAATATTAGAGAAAAAAAATCTGCTTGAGAATATAAGCCAAAAGAATAACCCCATTTTCGTTAATAATTATTTGATTGTGGATTTATTATTATAATTTAGTTGCTGAAAGTGTGCTTAATGCTTTTTAGAAACTAAATTTCAGAAATAATTTGTAAATATTACTTCAAATTTAATTTTCAGAATTTTAAAACTAATTTCTACATGATTTTCAAAATTTAACTGTTGAAAGATCTATAATTAATTTTTAAAATTTAATTTTCAGGAGATATTAAAACATTTTTAAAAATTAAATTTAAAAAATAACAGTAAAATAAATTATGCTGATAACCAAAAAGGATGGTTCAAAAATAATCTCAATTTAATTTTACTTGGGTCTTAATAAGGTAAGATGTTGGCCCACACCTAGCATTTCTTGTCTCTTCAAATGCCTCGGGCCTATAAGAATTAAATCTTCAATCCATTCTTAGACCCACTTAGCCTGAGCCACAATGTTGGTTTCTAGCCAATTTCTTTGTGAAAAAACTAAAAAAATTCTTTGGAATTTTAATTCTCTTTTTGGAATGAACGAATATATATATATATATATATATATATATATATATATATATATATAGAGAGAGAGAGAGAGAGAGAGAGAGAGAGAGAACATTTCCTTATTAACACATCCATTTGCATCTTTTTTGGGAATTTAACTCTTAACTTGCCCCAAAAACTACTATTAAATTCAGTTGGGTCTTTCTGTTGATACTTTTAAATGTCTATTATTATTGTTATTTAAATGATTTTTCTTTAACATATTTTTTAAAATGAATTAATAATAAAAGCATTTTGCATAAAAATTATTAAATGGGAGAGTGATGATAGACACTACTAAAAATAAGTTACAGTACACTTTTTGTTTTTCCTGATTGTTAGGATTTACTTATAGCTTTTAATATGCACCACTTTGACTAAAATCCTATCTAAACACCAATGCTTGATTTTGGTCCAAAACGAAACCAAACACAATACTATGAGATGATACTCGAGGCTACATTTTGGGCTGTTGCATTGTATTTGGTGGTGAAACAACTAAAGAAGGTGGAAGAAGAGCTTGAAACCATGGGTGCTGACGGAGTTGAGGTATGGTCATCCTCTTCACTTGGTCGACTTCCAGCATCCTTGGTATCAAATCTCTTGCACCAAGAGATAGATGACAAGGAAGAGTGTATATCCCTCCCTAAATGAAATAAAATGTGGTAAGAATCTCATTAAGGAAAACATCTTTGTGGGTATGCTTGGATAAGTATTTTAATTAAATATTAAATTCATATACACTAAAAAATTGTTTAAGTATTAAAATAATCTTTATTAGTGTATTAATTATCTAACAAAATTAAAATGTTAATGGTCTATGCTAACAAATAATGTATAATACATTTGATATATGGATAGTAATATCCCACCCGATAAACAGGAACTGATTTAGAAAATACCTTAATTTTCTTGAAGAGATTTGGAATGTTTTCATCATAAAAGGGAAGAGTGCCACAAAGAAGAAAATATAGAATTACACCACAGCTCCAGACATCAATTTCGGGTCCAGCATACAATTTTCCAGAGATAACCTGTGAGATATTATATAACAAAGTGTTACCAAGAAAAACGAATCACGCATGATGCATAGTTATCATCATCATGTATTCTAAGCCAAATCATGGAATTTGAAACCTCGGGAGCTGCATAGTTACAACTTCCGCAAATTGTCTTAAGAAAATGAGCATCACGCATGATGCTACTCCAACCAAATCCAATAATCTTGACATTACATTCAGAATCCAAAAGTAATTTCTCAGGCCTTATGTCTCTGTGAGTCACCATATTCCTGTGACAGTGTTCCACACCAGAGATTATCTGCTTCCAAAATATAAGGTACCATAAATATATCTCATGATGTTAACAAAAAATATATATTCAAAATTTACGTGATATAGATAAAATAACTTATGTTTATTGTTAAAATCAAGTGTAAATAAAAGAAAAAGTCTCACATAAAATGAAATATAAATTAATTAAGAATTTATAAAGAAAAGAATCTATACACTCATAACTTTAAAGTTTTGGGTTGCGCATAGTTGTTCTACATATTTGAGAAATTCATTCCTTCTTTATTTCCTTCTCCAACATTTTCAAATAAATTAAAAAAAAATTATTAATGTAATTTATGAATATAAATTACTATATTTTGTATCAAAGAAAAATATTTTTTAAGCTTTTTAAATTTTTACCTAGATAATAGTTCATAACTCTATGTAATAATTTATAATTCTTCGTTACAATTCATTAAACAATAAACATTAAACTTCAAAAGAAAATAAAAAAATTATGTCACATGCAAATGCAAATCATCTCAATAATATATGTAATTTTTTTAATGGATTGATGTTAAAGCATTAATGTAAGTATTCATAATATTAAATATTATAATATTGAATGCAAATTTATTAATTCTTATTGTATATTTTTGATAGATTAAAAAAATTTGAAATTTACAATATATGTCACAGGCAAAAGTTTAGCAAATACACACAATAGCAAACAAGTACTACCTGTTGAAAAATATTGCGAGCTTCATCTTCTTGCAGCCTACCCTTTTCTGCTACATAATCAAAGAGCTCTCCAGATTCCACATACTCCATAACAAGATATATGTCGCTTGGAGTTTCTATGACCTCATAAAGTTGTATAATCTGAGGATGTATGAGCAATCTTAAAACTTCGATTTCTCTTCTCACTGGAACACAATTTGCAGAAATAGAAAGGAAAAGTTAAGATAGTAAGCATATCTAATTAACAAGAGTGACCCTCATGAGCAAACATGCATTTCCATTTCCATGTTAATTAAAATTTAAAAAGTAAAGGCAATATATATATATATATATATATTTGTAAAATAGTAAAAACCTTTTTCTTCCATTTCCATGTTCTTTATCGTGCGACGTTTAAGGATCTTGATGGCAACCTTTTGGCCAGTGAATACGTTTTCTGCAACTTTCACTTTCCCAAAGGATCCAATGCCAAGTGTTTTTCCCAATTTATAATTTGGTAGAACCATGCCTTGCCCAGCTACTCCATCCATTAATATGAAACTATATAATTCCATATATGGATTCACAAAACTAAGATTAATAAAGAAAGTCATCAAATATACCTAATTTTGAAAAATATATTTGTATTTTGACTAAATTAACATCTTACTTTGTTGGTACACTCTCATATTCGATGAATTATATACCTTACACATATACTAAATTTCTATCAAAGCACTGTTAAAATACTACTGTCTACTAACTTAACCATTGAAATACCTGTTTCCATCTCTCTAGAATCACAAATATATCAGTAATACCTTAATATATTTTTTCAGAATATTCTATATATCCTTGTTGGTAGTTTTAATTTTTCAACCAAAAATAAAATTATTTCAAATTGTATAAGTATATGATATGATGTGATCTTTATTATTCAATGATATAGACGTGAAGATAACGTAATGTGTTGGACACCCCACAAAAGAATTTAATTTCCCTTCAGTATCTTCTTGTCCATTATGAAACTTCCGAGAAGAAAAAACTACTAACAAGAATAAAATATTAACCACTTCATTAAATGATCGACCCTGAATAATAATAAATTAAAAAGGTTAAATTATAATTTAATCTTTTACAATCAAATGAAAAAAAATAAATTTTAATCTCTACATGAAATTTAAAATATGTTAAATATAAATATAAAATCTAAAGAATCCATAGAAGTTACTACCCTAAAAAGATATGGAGAATCGATGAAAAAGGATGAAGATGAAGGAAATAATAATTGAGGGTGCACTATGGCTGGTTTGCAATAAAAATCCAAATAAATAATATTGTACATGTACCAAAGTGCTGGTGCACGTGCGAAACTGCACTTGCATGTGAAGACAGGTCCTTTTTTCTTTAAGATATTAATGTTGCCCTCCAAAGTATAAGAAAACTAGCTTCTTTACCATTCTTTTCATGTGTTTTGCCTCGTTCCAAGTTTAGAATAATTGATTTGATACTAAATAAATAAATTTAGGAATTAAATTAATGTAAATCGTTATTTTCAAGGGAAATTTGTATATTTTCTTTTAATGTAATATAGAAAATATAAAAAAATTAATTTAACAAAGTTGAAACTTGATAGTTAATAATACTAAAATAATTGGTCCTTGATAATATTAATACAATACTAATGGACAAATAAAAATAAATACACTAAATTATTTTAAGGTTGGGATCCGTTACATTGATATATTTTAAAAAATTACATATATTGTTTGTGTAAAGCTTGGACATGAAATAAGCAAAACATTTGTAATCAATTACAAAATTTCCCATAAAAAATTAAAATTTTATTAATACAAAAAAGAAAAAGAAATATGACCACACCATTTGAAAAGGAAAATATATTATATCAATTATAACTAATATAAATATAGTATAGTATATACTAACAATTCATTCGAGTCTTGAAAGCGAAGACTTACTTTAAATTTGTTTACTCCAAATGTCAAGTGATTTCTTAATTTTAAGTATCTTTCATTTTGTCTTTTCTTTTTATCTCCTCAAATTTTATTACTTAACTTTAATGAATCTTGACTCATTTAATTCTTAATGCTAAAACTTCTCACATACATACGCATGTAAATTTAAAATTCCTAAATGTTAATACGACATACTAAATTAATTAATGTACATAACTTATTTTTATAATTCACTCTTTAAATTTTAAAAGTCTGATATGATCATATGATCGTTGTTTAAGAATTATATATAAATAATAAAATATTAGAATAAGCAGCCAAAATTGAGATAAAAAGAAAATAAGATAATGAGATTCTACCAAGTACAGCATGGCGGCTAACATGGGAACTCTCTTTCTCTCTTATTTCCATGTATATAGGCAACAAAATCTGGTGCATGAACACCTAAACTTAAGGGGAACATCACATCCAAACACCCTCTAATCTCATAATCAACTCACCAAAACTTGAACTTTATTGACACCCATTATTTCATATTCTTTCAATATATAACATCCATCTTTCATTATTGATTAGGTGCTTTTATATGCACTAGAATTATTGGAAAAGGAAAGCACATAGAAGGTGTTGTGTTTTTGCAGTATCTGGATCCGACATTGCCCTTGTCGGACCCACATTAATACATGTTCTTCCCTCTCCCTCTGTTTGACTTTCCTTATTGCACAGAGGGGGAGACCATATCCCACCCACTCATCCTTCATACAACAACAGGTAATTATCATTATTATTATTATTACATTGGTGGTATCAAAAACTATGAATTGAAACATCAATGTCACATCTGAAGGATTTACATAGGCCGGTGACAACTGAGTTAGAAGATTGTTGGCACCTTTCATCTTGTCTATGATTCTTTTCTTGTTTTTTCACGTTGAATTTCGGTCCTTCACGTCTTATCTGCCACTATTCTATATCACTTTTCTCTTGTTCTGATTGTTTTTTTTTTTTTTCTCATTTAAAAGTAATTAAAAAAATAGATTGTAGTATTTTTTTTTTCTTTTTTGTATTTCTTAATCTAATATAGATGGCTAAGGTTTAAGTGTTTTTGTCGTCTTTTGTTTTGTATTTGAATTCTGCATATTCTTTTGCCAGAGTCATTATTTTGTGTATCAATATTTTTTTATTATTACTTCTTTTCCCTTGTCACATGATATCTTACCTTTCTCCATTCCGGTTTGCTTTCTTTCATGTTATGTAAACAGCCTTTTATATATCCAACAATTCATATTTTTTATATTTTTAAAATTTATACAATACCATATTTTTTTTTATGAGCAGATGCATGGTATACAAAGATAATTGTTTTCTTTTGAAGGTTGTTAATATGTCATGTCTCTTTTCTTTACATGCTTTTTATCAGTCAGGTTTCTCCATCCATATATGTAAGTCTATATTCTTTGTTTAAGGAGACAACAGTAGCTTCCTCGAAACAACCTCAAAAGGAAAACCTCTCTCTGTGTCTCTCTGTGTACTATAAAATTTTTCTGCTTGTCCCAATCTTTATTTATTTTTTCGGTTTCCCTTTTCCAAAGTGTTGAACTCCATCGTTTTTCTCCATTCCTCCCTGCCTAGACCAAAGGTAAAAGCACTCTTCACTTTCCTCAGCTATAGAAGTGTGTATTGTATTGTATTATGTTATATATTATATATATCCCATGAAAATTGTCTTAGAATATTACTTTTTGAAAATTCAAAGTAACTTTTTAATTTGTTCTGAAAATTTTAAAAAGTTATATTTTTTATTTGGTCTTTCATTTTGGCACTATGTTTATCTTCATTCATTTTTGGAGTCAATTATATGGTATAATCTTATTATCTTATTTGTTGGCCGGTTGTAATTCAATAAAGTTTATTGAAAAAATGTGGCATTGATTGGTTTACCTTAAAAGTTTAATGTTGTGTAGTCAGTCTATGGAAATGTCAGAATCACTGCATGTGCCTTCCCAGGTTTCATTTTGTTTCTAGCATTGCTTTGATTTAGTTTTTCTAAAGTTTCCTTTGATATATGCTTTGCAGATTCTGAGGTTAGTCATTCTTACAAAGACAATTTTGAAGCTTTGAAATTGTGTTCCTAACAACAATATACAATGGGAGGTTGCGTGTCAGTACCTTCTAATGCAATGAAAGCACCAAAGAAGCTCCATAGACGGATGGTAAAAGGCCGTAGGAAGGTCCCAAATGCTATTCCTATTGATATCAAGAAGAGGAATAGCAATGCAGGGTCACGTGTAACAGATTATTCTGTTAGTGAATTTGTTCATATGATGAACTTTGAAAATGGTGCAACTACTACTTGTAGGCGTTCTGAAGTTTCCAATTCAGCATTCCATCTTACACAGCTTCAATGGCATCACAGTCAATATGATGCTGATGCAAATTGTATATTTTTTTAACTTCCCTGTTTTCACATTTTTATTGGACTTGAGAAATTTAGAATGACTTTTCTGTTTCATTGGTTGCAGTAGCGTGCCAAGAAGAAACTTATTTTGATTCAGTCAGCATTCTAGAATCTGATTCAGATGACGACTTCAGCAGTGTTCATGGAGGTAATGAATAAGTACTTCCCTTATTACATTGTAAACAATTATTGAACCATGTGAATAGAAAGCCTTAACTCTGAAGGATGGCATTTTAGCATTATGTTGGGGCATTAGACTACTGAGATTTAATGCTTAGATTTATTGAGCCAAAAGTGTGAAGTTATCCTAATGAGTAATCACCTGTCCATGTTGTGACATCAATTACCATTAATAAGCACAAATTCCGAATGCCAAATACCTTTTCCTGTTATTGTCTCTATTAAAAAGGGTGGAAAAAATAAGAAATAGGAAAAAAGTAATAGGCTAGTTAGTTTTTAGTGCGTGAGATAGAGGTTACTTTGTTATTGTTTTGCACCATTCAGATTGTTGTTTCTTTCTATGGTTTCTTACCTTGGAGTGGGATTTATATGCAGATGGTTTTCCATTAGTAGGCAGCACAGTTGGAAACATCGCATGTAGTCAAGTCCTCCAGTATGAAAGATCAACACGTTTTATGGATAACAAGTGTCAATATGAAGAATATAATGAAAGTTATCTTAAAGTTGATGGAGGAAACCAAGATAGGTTAATAAAGGGAAGAGATGAAAGTAGTTTTGGCCTTATCAGTACTCAAGGTTACGGAATGCCTCGCTTAGGTAAGAGTCAGGGAAGCTTCAAAAGTATAAAAGAATATAAACATGGTTTGGAAGAGAAAACTCAAGAGAATGCACGGAAATCAGGCCTTCATCGGTTGGCACCCTCTGTAAGTTTCAATGACAAAACACTGAATCGTCCAAGCAAAAGGCTGTCAACGATTTTCAGACTTTCTTTCAAACGAAAATCTTGTGATGTAGAGGAAGCAAATGAACATAGTAAGTGATAAAGCCCTTTGCTTTTCATTGCATGGAAATAAGTTTACATAGAACAAGAGTTATTTTTAAAAATTGCATTTGTTTGGGCTTGCACTTTGAACTAGCAACTACAATGTTGCATACTGGAAAGTGTTGAAACTTGAAACACAAGTATTATTTTCAAATTCAAAGTAATACCAGTATCAAACTAAAGCAACCTTTTGTGTTGCTTGAATATATTAATCTTGTGTGGAAGTATACTACACTAAAATAATATGCTGATTAAGCTCCTTAATTATATGTAAGGTCATTCAAAAAGATATCTGCTCCGTCCCAGAGCCGGACACACAATTCCATGTCAGAATGGAGAAAAGCCATCTTTGGGGTGTTGGTCTGAAATTCCACCTTCAACATTTCAACTGCGTGGCAAAAATTATTTCAAGTATGTTGTTGACCTTCCTTGCTTGCATATAGACATACACACACACACACACACTTATGTCCTTTATATACGGATGTCATCAATTTTGGTTCCATGAATACATAGATGTCTAATCATTCACTATGCAGAGACAAGCGCAAATCTCCTGCACCAAATCATAGTCCATACATTCCAATTGGTGTTGATCTATTTGTCTGTCCAAGAAAGATACATCATATTGCCCGATATCTTGAGCTTCCAGATGTGACAGCCAGTGGGAAAATTCCCCAACTTCTTATTGTAAACATCCAGGTACAATTCTTTTTTCATTAATTTAACATTCATAAAACACTTTTCAGTACTAGTATTTAAATTACTGTCATTAATTCATCATAAAATTATGAATGGGTACTGCTGATTGGTTTCTCATCCATCAGATTATCTTGTGTACTTTGTGACAGTTGCCTACATATCCGGCTGCAATGTTCCTTGGTGATAGTGATGGAGAAGGGATGAGTCTTGTACTGTATTTCAAAGTTGCAGAAACTGTTGATGAACAAATTTCTTCCCAGTTTCAGGAAAGCATTAAGGTAAATCATTCGTTCACTGCTACTAACCTGTTACAAACCATTATTAAGAACACATTATACTGATAAAATAAGAAATTTCATAATGCTGCATATACTTTGTGCCAAGCTGTTCTTAATGAGTCCAGTTTGGAAGTGTTGTTTTTTTCTTTCTGTACATTAGGTTAATATATGTTTAAACTAAGTCTGACACAATGTATATCTTTTGATACTTAACAATCAATATTAAGTATTAACTTGGTTCATGTTTCCTATTTATGCTATAGAAATTAGCTGAGGATGAGATGGAAAAGGTCAAAGGATTTGCCAAAGAATCTAGCGTTGCTTTCAGAGAAAGGCTAAAGATCATGGTAGGACTCGTCAATCCTGAGGAAATGCAACTGAGTTCCGCCGAAAGGAAGCTAGTAAATGCTTATAATGGAAAGCCAGTGCTGTCACGCCCACAGCACAACTTTTACAAGGTAGAGCTCATATATGCATGTTTTTCAGTCACCACAAAGATGTTTTCATCATATGCCTATGATAGATTTTCAAATAAATGAAACCTATAACCATCTTTCCAAATTTACATTTCAAAGCAAAATAGTGAACTTTAAGGAGCTAATACCTGGTCAGTGAATGACCCGATGAGGGGGATGTATATGAACTACATTGTGGTTACTAGCTTGAAAGATGAACAAAGAGGATTGAGTGTTGTTTCATGGGCAACTTATACTAAAATCAGTTCGCATGAGTAAAAAGATCATGGGCTGGGTAAGAAGTTTGAAAAATAAATTAATAATTTTACCATATAATTCAAAAAATTATATATTTTTATTTTTTTTCCTGCATAATAAGTCATGACTTTCTAGACATTAAGGTACCCTTAGCTCAATTTTTTTATATTTTAACCTTTCTCATCATGTTTCATCCAGACATTTATTGTTGCACAACCTTGATAAACACGATACACCGTTTCTTTTTTATTTTGTTGTAAACATGACATACTTTACTAGTAACATGTAAGTCCTTGCCTTCGATGTTACATCCGATAAGGAGTTGACTCTTGTTTATTCTTTTCCTAATAGGGTCCTAATTACTTCGAGATTGATCTGGACATCCATAGGTTTAGCTACATATCAAGAAAAGGACTTGATGCATTTCGAGACCGTTTGAAAGAAGGCATTCTTGATCTAGGCCTAACCATTCAGGTACTTTGTGTTGTTTGCATACCTTGGCATTCTTAGCTATAATATTTGGCCTCAATTGACATCAAAATAAAATCTATGGTTTTTAAATTTGCTATGACTCCAAAGAACCAACCTTTTCTTCATCAGGTTTTCATTTCAAAAACACAAAACCATCACCCTTCCAAGCCCCAGCTTTGACATGCACATAAATATCTGTGCTTACTGCTTTACATTACCATATATCATAATTTTTTCCAGTTTTCACCCATTCTAGATGGACATTTTTTTTACAAAATCAAGCCGTTAATAATACAACATGATTGAAAATATAGTTTTATACTTTTATATGAATGAACTCAAATGTTCTATTTTGAGATACTTCAAGTTTGCAACCCTTTTCCTAGCATTCTTTAGTGACAACAGAGATTGACCATCTCTCTATATAATAACAGGCACAAAAACAAGAAGAGCTCCCAGAACAAGTACTGTGCTGCCTTAGATTGAACAAGATTGATCTTAGTGACAATGGCCAAATTCCCATGCTAATGACCTGTGATGGTGAATGCTAAGGGTTTTAAGTGAACTGGAGGGAATAACATTCAACACTAAAAACAAATATATGCATTAGTTACCATTGTATACTAGGAGGGAAAAGTAGGAGTAAGATGTTTATGTTGGATGCAACTTCTGCAGTCACATATTTCTGTTTAAATGTACATTAAGATAAGAAATTAGGATGATGATAAAACATGTTTTGCCAAATGACATGAAAGGTAGAAGTGTTTCTTTATTAACCGTTGTAACCTGTAAACAAGTGAAAGGAACGTTGTATTATTGAAATGACAAATACTGCTAATAGATGTTTCTTGCCACTTTCTGTTGCTTCTTGATGTGCTAGCAAGCCTTTGCTTAATTGTCACGGCATTGAAGGTTGACTTATACTTCAATATCACGAATATGGATATTTACTTAACCTCAAACTTGGACCTTGTCAAGAACTAGTTGCATCACTTCAAATTATACTATTTCAATCTACTGACGATTTTTGTGGCTCACTCATACTCCGTACCCTGATTTGTATGTTTCGCATGATTTCCTTTTTGGCCTTTATAAAGTTCATTTCTTAGTTTTTTCATGTGCCAAAATTAAAAGTATTCCCTTTTTTTAAAAAAAATAAAAACTTGAATTCAAGACAAATTTCCTTGTATCCAATAGTTCCCATCGTTTTCTGCCCCGTCCCCATGTTTTTCAAAATTAGAGAGAACTGAAACTATAGGCTACTTCATACCATGGCTTTAGATTTTAGCGTTGGCATAGATTTAAACTAAGTTAAATCGAGAAATAAATAAAGCAGTGTGATTGACAAATTGAATAATAAAAGATTAAGCAAGATGCATGGTTAGCTAGTCTAACAATAGTTCACATGCATATTCAGTCAACATAGTTCGTGTGGAATCTCTTTTCCTAAACACTATTCTTCTCTTTAATTTTATTAAGGTGATCGCAGTCTGCAACACAAATTCAGTTACTCTTATATCGTCAAATCCAAGTCTCTTTTCAAGCATTATGAACAACTGGAATCTTTCGATATAAAGAATTGTCCCACGTGCCACTTCTATTTGATATGCAATCCCAAAGTCAAAACTGGTATATTATGATCGGAATTTGTTTGAGCTCCTCCGAATGTCTCCCAACATTTGAAATTCTCACAGTATTTATGAACAACTATATTGCATGTTATACACACTAATTGAATTTTGAGCTATTGCAGGTTATATTCCTTCCGTCTCATACTAGACGTCAATTAAGCACTTTTATTTGTTTTATATTATTTGTTACTTTAGAATATACATAAAATAGAATCAATTATTTTTTAAAACAATACCCTTAGCTATTAGAGATTATTTTTGTCAACTAATTACCATAATAACGCTAAAATTACTCTAGGTATGGTTCTTATCTACTGTCTATTCCAATAACTTCAGCATTTTTAATAACAGTATTTTAGTGAAATCAATTTATGTTATCATAGTAATCGGGAAAGCTAATCACTTTCTTTAAATGTATGCATTAATATTAAATGACATTCAACATGAGATGGAGAGAAAAATAAATATGAAACGTGTGCCAGCAATTCTTTGCTATGTCAGCATTTTAAATGAGCTATTACGTCATGTTTGAATTAGTCTTTTTCTTTGTACTCCAAAAAAAAGAGGAAAACTACAACCACACAAGTTAACTGCAAAGAACATGTCTAATTTATTATTTTTTTTTTACTAATTCCAATAAAAGAGATGAACGAAAGCTTATCACGCGACTTTAAGGTCAATTTGGCGTATACTATCATGACCTTAAAATAGAGTAACGGACTTTTACTATAACTTAGATATATCATAATAAAACATGAGATGTGATTCCCCCAGTTTTGAGCTCAAAGAAAACGTCAAAAGCCATAGAAAGAAAATATTGCATTAAAGCAACCTCATGATTCATTTGCTATAAAAAACCATAAAAAATGGAATTCACCAATTTTCTACTTATCAATCTCACTCTTACACTCACTCGCTAGCCACCTTTTAGAGAACTCTCACTTTGGAGCAAAGTCAACAAGTGAACCACTACTCTTCATCCATAAAAATCTACCCAAAGTTAAGCTTCTTGCTTAGTTTGGTTTTCAAAAGGTAAGCTGTTGTCCCTCTTCTCTCACCACTCTTCCAACCCATTTTCACAACACCTTGTCTTTGTTACTTGTGCTGGTTATGTGTCTTGGGTATGACTGTGTGGGAGAGAGTCCAGGTTGACTCGTGAGAAAAAGTGGGTTCCATAATACAGGTTTCTTGTTCTACAAACATAGTCTTGTTCCATTAAAAAAATTATTTGCATTTATTTTTTACTCTTGATCATTTAAATAATATTTAATGGTATACATTTATTATTCTCATATTCACAATAACCGAGGGCTCTCTTCTGAATAATGCTACACACACACATATATATAACATTTCTTTTCTTTCTGCTAGTGTGGATATTATAAGCTATACACACAAGGAAAAGTTAGGTTAAGTTAAAATTCTGTTTCTTACACCCGCCTCCTTATTTCATTCTAGTTTCAACGTAAGAGAAAACTTATATTTTGATTCCTACACAAAAAGCATTTTCAAATAGGTCTCTATTGTTTGTTGAAGTTATAACAATGTTAGAATATTTTTATTTAGGGATCAAAGTGTAAAGTTTCTCGCGAGAAAACTAAAATAAAAAAATAATTTTATAGAGACCATGTTTAAAATCATTTTAGTTTAGATAAATAACAAAGACCGATTCATAAATTTGTTTTTTTTCATATAGGCACCAAAATGTATAATTTTCATAGAAGGATTAAAATTAAAGAAACGGTGTAACGTGTTGAAGCCAGTGCTTTTTACAGTATCTCTGTAGCTAGAACAGTATGTTGAACGGAAAAGGTATTTAACAGCAATTTAAAACCTCTAAAACTGCAGAAAATTTCACTTGACAGCTACAGAATTTGGTGACCACAATATGGATGATCATTCCCCTCTTGAAGAAGCCCTTCTGAACGGTGATACTAGTGCAAGCAACAATTCTGATCCCAGTAAGACTAGAGGAAATGAAAATTTAACCCGCTATTCAAATGCTGGATTTTTCAGCATGCTTACTTTCTCATGGATGAATCCACTAATAAGTCTAGGCAATGAGAAGACTTTAGATCATGAGGACCTTCCATTGCTTGCCACCAACGACAGTGCCTATGGAACTTTTACAACTTTCAGAAACAATCTTGAGTCAGAGTGTGGTAGTGTTAGGAGAGTGACCACTCCCAAGCTGTTTAAAGTGTTAATCTTCTCAACATGGAAAGGTCTCCTTTTATCAGGTTTACTAGCATTCCTATGCAGCTGTGCTTCTTTTGTTGGACCCTATCTTATTGAAAACCTTGTTCAATACTTCAATGGGGTACACAAGTTAAGAAGTGATGGCTATATGTTGGCTATTGCATTTGTTGCTGCAAAGCTTGTTGAGTGTATTTCACAGAGGCACTGGATGTTTAGGTTGCAGCAGACTGGGGTTAGGATGCAGTCAATGTTGGTGGAAATGATATATGCTAAAGGTTTGACCCTTTCACGTCAATCAAAGGAAGGTCACAGCAGTGGGAAAATCATCAACTTAATGACTGTTGATGCTGGAAGGGTCGGATCACTTTGTTGGTACCTGCATGTTCCATGGTTATGTGTTCTGCAAGTAGCTTTGGCCTTGTTAATTCTCTATAGAAATGTAGGGATTGCTTCAATAGCTTCTTTTGCTGCCACTGTGATTGTGATGTTGCTAAACCTTCCTGTGGCATCATTGCAAGAAAAGTACCAACTTAAATTAATGGAGCTAAAAGATAAAAGAATGAAGGTGACATCTGAGATTCTAAAGAATATGAAGATTCTAAAACTGCAAGCATGGGAGATGAAGTTCTTATCAAAGATTTTTCAGCTTAGGAAGACTGAGGAGACATGGCTAAAGAAATTTCTAGTTAGCTTGGTTATTATTAGATTTCTCTTGTTTAATGCCCCAACTTTTATTGCTGTGGTCACTTTTGGTGCTTGTGCTCTTATAGGCATCCCACTTGAATCAGGGAAGATCTTATCTGCACTTGCAACATTTGAAATTCTTCAAATGCCCATCTACAGTCTTCCTGACACAATTTCAATGATTGCACAAACTAAGGTTTCTCTTGATAGGATTACATCATTTCTTTGTCTAGATGACTTGCAGACTGATGTAGTAGAGAAACTTCCACAGGGTAGTTCTGATATAGCAATTGAATTAGTAGATGGAAATTTCTCTTGGGATTTATCTTCACTTAATAGTAATACTACATTGAAAGACATAAATCTCACAGTTTTTCATGGTATGAGGGTTGCTGTATGTGGTACTGTTGGATCGGGCAAGTCTAGTTTACTTTCTTGTATAATAGGGGAAGTACCTAAGATATCTGGGACCTTGAAGGTATGTGGATCAAAGGCTTATGTTTCTCAATCACCATGGATACAAAGCGGCAAGATAGAAGAGAACATATTATTTGGTAAAGAGATGGACAGGGAAAAGTATGAGAAGGTGCTAGAAGCATGTTCCTTGACGAAAGACCTTGAGATTCTACCATTTGGTGATCAGACCATTATTGGAGAGAAGGGAATCAATTTGAGTGGTGGACAGAAGCAAAGAGTACAAATTGCCCGTGCCCTTTACCAAGATGCTGATATATATTTGTTTGACGATCCTTTCAGTGCTGTGGATGCTCATACAGGATCCCATCTCTTCAAGGTATTGTTTTCTAAATCATTGATACAGCCTTTTAATCTTTCTAAACATTCTGAAGTTTAATGAGTATTTTGTGCAATGTATTATGTATTTCAAAGATTAACTGACGAATATGAGTTTAAAATTAGATGTCTACAAGTGGAGTTATCACTTGTATAATTAGAAAATTTTGTGAAATTTAATGTTTCTTATCTCTATAAATTTCAACAGTATATTATGGACACGGATACAGCTACAAACTCATGGAATTGGATTTTTATTTTTTCTGTAATAGATGTTATACTTCAAATACAATGCACTAGCTTTATACATTTGGATGGACAGGCTGTTACCTATTTTTACATTTAATACTACACTGTTTCAGGAATGTTTACTTGGCCTTTTAAAAACAAAAACTGTGATATACATAACTCATCAAGTAGAGTTCTTACCTGATGCTGATTTAATATTGGTGAGTGATTTATATTATTCATGCTAATGAATTCAAACACTGTAATTCACTGTTGTCTCAGTATTTTTTCTCTTGCTTACAATTTGTTTAGGTCATGAGAGAAGGAAGCATAACTCAATCAGGAAAATACAATGACATTCTCAGGTCAGGCACAGATTTTATGGAACTTGTAGGTGCACATAGAGAAGCTTTATCTTCTATTGAGTCCCTAGAGAGAAGGCATACACTTAAAACACTGGGTATCACCACAGAGGACACAGATTCACCAAATGATTTTGAACTTGAGCAAAAAATGAAAAACATAGATGATCAAAATGAAAAGTCTGATGACACAGTTGAGCCAAAAGGCCAACTAGTTCAAGAAGAAGAACGGGAAAAAGGCAAAGTTGGGTTTAAGGTCTACTGGAAATACATTACAATAGCTTATGGAGGAGCTCTTGTACCCTTCATACTACTCTCACAGACACTCACAGTTGTTTTTCAGATTGGAAGCGATTATTGGATGGCTTTAGCAACTCCAGTTTCAGCAACTGCAGAAATTGCTATTGGAATCTTCACACTTATGATTGTCTATGTCGCTTTGGCAATTGGAAGTTCCTTTTTCATCCTATCCAGAGCAGTTCTTTCTATGATAGCTGGATACAAGACAGCCACTATGCTCTTCAATAAAATGCATTTGTGTCTTTTTCAAGCACCAATGTCATTTTTTGATGCCACCCCAAGTGGGAGAATCCTTAATAGAGTATGTCATAATATGTTAATAATTCTTAACTGGTTTAATTTGAAGAGACAACATATTTAATATTTACCTTATCATGGCTTAGTGAATTATTTATGACAGTTTGATATCTCTAGATTTTTTTCAAATGATCATATTGATTATCATAGTTGTCTAAATTGTACTTTTGCTTTTTGTTGCAGGCTTCAGCAGACCAAAGTTCAATAGATTTGAGCATTCCAAATGTAGTATGGGCAATTACCATGAGCATGATTCAGCTCTTGGGGAATATTGTTGTGATGTCTCAAGCTGCATGGCAGGTGTTCATAGTATTGATTCCTATTATGGCAGCTTGCCTATGGTACCAGGTAGTTTTCTGGATAATGTCTAGCCTATATCATTTGACACCACTAACATCAGAAGTCACCAAATGGATCTGATTTTGACATTCATTCCTCCTTTTCTATTTTTCAAGGAATGCATGTTCCTCATTGATTAAATAAAGTACACCTAGTTTTATCATAATTCTTATTGAGAAAAAAACAAGAAAAAAAAACTATTTTGATATTATTATGCTAACAATAGCATTATGTGTGCTAAGATAGTGCTTAAATATATTCAGCGATACTACTCAGCATCTGCACAAGAATTGGCACGATTAGTTGGTGTATGCCAAGCTCCAGTTATACAACACTTCTCTGAAACTATTTCTGGATCGACAACCATAAGATGTTTTGAGCAAGAATCAAGATTTAATGACATAAATATGAAGTTGATAGACAGATATACTCAACCCAGATTATACAGTGCAAGTGCAATGGAATGGCTGAGTTTGAGATTGGATATTTTATCCACTATCACATTTGCCTTCAGTTTGGTGTTCCTGATATCTTTTCCAAATTCAATTACTGCTCCTGGTGAGTACTTCAAATTAATTACGTTCACTAGTCACACTTTACTTCTTATGACGCTAGGCATAAAACTATTCATTTCCTACTTCAATTTTGTCTTTGTCAAGGCATTGCTGGATTGGCTGTGACATATGGGCTTAGTCTAAATGAACAACAATCTAGTTTAATCTGGTTTCTTTGCAATTTGGAGAACCAAATTATATCCGTAGAAAGAATACTTCAGTACACCTCCCTCCCAAGTGAAGCTCCTCTTGTAATAAAAGACAGCCAACCAGATCATTCTTGGCCATCATCTGGAGAGGTTCACATTCAAAATTTACAGGTAACTTTCAAAGGTTATTCATCTGATTCATTCTAAGTTGAAGGTTCAAATTATATTTTCTTGGTTACAAGTCCATCCTGGTTTTATATGGTATCTATCCTTAACGAGGAAGAGGGCAATGCAGGTTCAATATGCTCCTCACTTGCCTCTTGTTCTACATGGTCTTACTTGCACTTTTGCTGCTGGAGCAAAAACTGGCATTGTGGGAAGGACAGGAAGTGGAAAATCAACTCTAGTGCTAACACTTTTTCGACTTCTTGAACCTGTTGCTGGACAAATATTGATAGATAGTGTTAACATCTCTTCGATTGGAATTCATGATTTGAGATCCAGACTAAGCATTATTCCTCAGGATCCAACAATGTTTGAAGGAACTGTAAGAAGCAACCTGGACCCCCTGGAAGAGTACACAGATGAACAGATTTGGGAGGTAATTTGATTTTGCTTGACATTGTGAAGAACTTGTATCTTTTGGTGCAAGTTATTCATATTAATATATTTAAGCAATATTTTAGGCCCTAGATATGTGCCAACTAGGAGATGAAGTAAGGAAGAAAGAGTGGAAGCTTGACTCTACAGGTTTGACTTCTCAAAACTTTGAACATAGATATAGGATGTGTTACTAGTGACACTTATTATAATATTATATGTCTAGATGTAGTGAGAAGGTGATACTTATCATCATGAGTTTTTGCAGTTACTGAGAATGGAGAAAATTGGAGTATGGGTCAAAGGCAGTTGGTCTGCCTTGGCCGTGTTCTACTTAAGAAAAGCAAGATATTGGTGCTTGATGAAGCTACTGCCTCAGTTGATACAGCCACAGATAATATTATACAGCAAACAGTGAAACAACATTTTTCAGAATGCACAGTCATTACCATTGCTCATAGAATAACTTCAATCCTTGATAGTGACATGGTTCTGTTTCTAAATCAAGGTAAGCATCATTTTTTTCTATTTGGTAAGTTCCCACATCAACTACAGATATGACCAAAGTTCAACTTATAAAAGCTAAAGCAACCATCACCTTACGAGTTTTTCTTTATTTTTGTTACTTGTTTGTTTTCTTTTTCATTTTTCTTCCCTCATCATAAATGTGTATAAAATTTCTCTTCATGTCAATCCTGCAGGACTTATTGAGGAATATGATTCACCAAAGAAACTGCTTAAGAACAAATCTTCTTCTCTTGCTCAACTAGTTGCAGAATATACAAGGAGGTCAAACTCTGGTTTTGGAAGTTAAACTGAAACTGAATTTGAAATTAATCTCAAACCAGATCTGTTCTTTTTAATGAAATAAATTTGCAGGTCTATAGTAACCATTCCACTTCATGTAGTCTCTTACCATCTACTGGTCTTGGGCAGGAATTTGGTGGTTATATTTTATATATGACTTACAGAAACTTCGATGAGACTCACTCTGTCACAAATAACTTATAAAGCAGAGTAATCAAACTACACTTTGAGAGTTCTGTGAAACTTGTCAATAGTATACTACACCACAAGCTATTTTACATGTTTGGCTTAAGATTCATATATTCTTTTTATGTTCTTTATTTAGTTCACAAATATTTAACACATTTAAATTTAAATTAATCTTTTCTACTAAAATGTATTTAAATATTCTAAACATATATTAAATATAAATTAAATGAATTAAAAAGAATTAGAATATTATAAACAATAATAAATAAACTCATTCCAAATTTAGTAATTACATGAATTGATTTACTTCTTTGCTGTTATATTTGTATATGTATACACTTTTGATTTATGTTTATACACAAACATATAAAAAAATCAAGAGTGTAAACAAATATAACTACAAGGGGTGAAAGAAGAAGAAATATCATTTAGATTTATTTATTCCTGTTATAATAATATTTGTTTTAAAAAAATACTGTATTATTTTGATTCCCTTTTTAAAAAATCATGTATAAATTACTTACATTAATTTAATCAGCTTTTAAATTTTAGCTTTTTTGGCAAATATGCTCTTTTTCAATAAGAAATATCAATTTCCTTTAATTCAACATGTGTTGGAAAGTCAAATCTTCACTCAACTTAAATTTTAACCGAAAATATCAAATTCCATCAATAATAATAATAACAATCACCTTGAGGATAAGAACGTATTCTCTTTTAACATTTTACCCGATTTTTTGCTCCTATCCTATGAGATAAGGGAATATGTATTTTTCTTATTATTCTACAACAAGTTTTTTAAGTGGAGAAGTTGTAATTTTTTTTAACGTGTCCATTAATTTAGTGGTAAGCATTAATATAATAAATGTGTTCATTATTATTATTATTATTATTATTATTATTATTATTATTATTATTATTATTATTATTATGTACCCATAGGAGATAATCATAAACTTGTACCTATGAATTAGAAGTTAGAACGACGAAAGACCACAAAAAATGAATGAAGGAAAGTTGCTTTGGTCTAGATATAATACTTTAATATTTCTCTCTCTCTTTTTTCAGTTTTCAATGTCTGAATACAAAAGGGTTGAGAGAAAAGATAAACAAATAAAAAAACGAGTAAATGTACTAATTACTAGGCTAAGACAAAATTTTACAAGAAAAAGTGAACTTTTCTTTAACCATACCATCTTGCACATGGGCATTGTAATTTGTTACTGTAATCCTATATATATAATTCAGTGTTAGTCCTATGTACGATATACCTGTATGAACACTTAACTCTTTCACAAAGAGAGAGGGTTCTGTCGCCAAAGATGTCAGAAGTTAAAAGGTTCAGATGTTGATAAAGGAGAGTCCATCAATGGCCACAATGTTTAGTCAACCACCACTTGTAGAAATTGAGATTAAACCACTCCTATGATCCTTGATTCATTTTTCTGTAAAATATGGAGTAACTAATTCATATATTGGTATCTGTCACGAGTATCTTATAATTTTGTTTTAAATAACTTCTAATGTACCCTTAAAATACCAGTTAGAGATCAAAGAAAGTGCAACATCGGGTTGAGTTTCTCACCAAATTATTCGATGAATGCAAATCAAATGAAAATGATAGGCAAGCAGAAACACGCAGGCAAAATATAGAATAATCAATCAATTTAATCCTTGTAGTAATAAAAATATCATTTTTGTTCTTGAAATTATCAAATAATTATCATTTTAGTCTCTAATGTTATAAATGACAATCATTTTGTCTCTAAGATTGCAATAATGAAGATAAAATAATTTATATTATTTTAGAGACTAGAATGACTTTTAATTTTAGGAACTAAATTGACTCGTGCTTAACTTTTACTGTATCATTATTTAATCACATAATTAGGGGACATAATTATTAGATTATAAGGAATATGTGGTTGGCAGAAAAATGTCTCTTTTGCTTCTTCTCTTCTTCTATGCATCTAGTGATAAAGAGTGTAAAAAGGATTGTAATTATATAATCGATGAGAGACAAATATTTTTCGTGCAAAAAAGCATTGATGTGACTCAGGTGGATGAAATAGCATAGCATGGAAGTGTATTAAGTTTGTTTCCCTAAATTTGTAAATGTAACGTCACCCAAGATTAAAAAAAAAGTGTTCTTACCTCTTCCAAACCTTGATTTATGAACTGATTGCCGCACACTATTTTCATTCCGATGCAACAACTCATCATTTTTATTCAATTGGGTTATTTTTGGTACTGATTGTTCCACAGGCTCACCAAGTTTTTTGTAGCCCTGTAAAAATGTTGGTATAACTCGCAAAATCGTACAAAGAGAGTACATAGGTATATCAAGATTTCAAATATGATCCACACTCAGTGTAAACATAACTACTAAATGAGAATTTCCATCAGAAGTAATATTAATAAACCTTCATTTTGGTCAAAGAAAGGTTCTAAGAACAATAGTTTAGTTCTCAAGAGATTAGTTTATCAATTCGGTTCTCTAATGATAGTTTGTTAACATTAAAATAGAGTCCAAAAGTTACTATTCAATAGCACTAAATTATCATTTGAGAATTTGATGTCATTGATCTAGGGAGAATATAGTAAAGAATTTTACACAAGCACCAGTGAATCCTTATTAAATCCATTACAAAAGAATTATTTCCAGTTATTAATCAAAAACACATATCAAGCGTTAATTGCCAAGTCTGACACTGAAGTCAATTTATATCATAACAAGTGACATATTGATATGATTATGGTTATGTTTGATCATAAAGCAAGTTTCTACATTTGCAAGAGGATTTCAAACTTACCTGAGTATCTATCAGAGAATCTGTTTTATCTGTGAGATCAAATTCCATGTAATAGTTTGAATGGCATGCATCAGCTGCATCAAACGATTGAACATGATGAGCCTGGTGCTTTTGTGATAGATGGTTGGAAATCTCATCCTGATAATTATGATTTCTTTCTGAAACTTCTATCCCATGTTTTGTTAAATCATATGTGCCTTTTGCAAAGGCTGGATCCAGTGCACTGATTTTGCTTCTGGATCCATCTGATAATATGGATGAATCATGTTTTTTCCTTTTCACCCACGTAAAACCACTAGATCCTGAGACTGGTGCTGGTCCTGAGTATGCACTGAATCCATTGGAACCATTCATCAATTGGGCAGCCTCTGACTTTGCATCATATGAAGCCTTTGGTTGCTCTTTATGCATAGCTCCTACTTTTCCCTTTGTAATACGTGTCTTACCATCATCTGTACAAGCATTTTGAGAAATATTCTGCATTCCCTTCACAAAGATGAGAAAGAAATGAATAAAAGTAGTTATTTGTTTTAAGTAGTGTGGCATTATGCATTGAAAGCAAGAGCACCTCTTTCAAAGCTGGTTTGTTGATATTGTTAGGGTCATGTGAAACTTTGTGGACTCTTCTTTGCCTTTTCATTGTTGCAGCCTCTCGCACTTTACCTTCATTCTTTTTCCTGAGTATAAGATCAAAACTTCAATCAGAAATTGGAAATAAAAGCAGGGTTTTAATAGAAACCACGCTTAAGTAGACTATCCATTTTATATAATTTGGACCTGGTTAATGGTTTAAATGAATATCCAAAACAAGAAGGAGATTATGAATATAAAGATTAAAGACAGAATGAATAATTTATTTTTCACTTTAAATGCCTAATTCTACTAAAGTTTGTGAAATAATATATGTGAATGTGGCCAAACGTTAGCCCTTGTGTCCTTGACCTTTGAAGATGATGCAACCTTTGATTTTTCATTCCATATAATAATAATAATAATAATAATAACTAGATTCATAAATAAGACAGGCTAGCAGAAAAACCCAAGTATAATATAGCTTTGCCATGATTATTTTCTATGAATAGAAAAAACCACAATGATATACCTGCGCATATCTTCCCGATCTTTAACATCCATTTCTTTGCTTGGTGGATACTTTGGCAGGAGTGATGGATTACAAGCATATGGCTTGGTGCTGAAATACTACACACGTCACAACATGAAACATCAAATCAGAAATCAAACTTAATTGTGTACGATAGGGCATTTTGAGGAAAAAAAAAACAATCATGCAAATTACACATGAAACATCATTCTCAAAGCTAACTCATGAAAACTCATATTCTTTATATTAAAAAAATCATAAAGGTAGTAACTCTCCAAAATGAAAATATCCTATTAAGAAAGGAAAAACAGTAGAATGCATAAAGAATTCACCTCAGACATAAGTGCAGAGGATGCAGTCCCACGCTTGGAGTGATCAATGGAAAGCAAAGTCTCAAGAAGGTTTACAGCAGTTACAGGAAAACCTTTACATCTCTCCCGAAGAGAGCTTTCGTAATTAGTCTGAGGCTTAAACATTGTGGCAAGAGGAAGCTTACTCATTTTCCAGTACTCATCAGGTGGAGACCCACAAAGCTTGAAAATTCTGTGTAATTGTTCAACCTGTAGATTAAACAAGAATATACAACAAATCAAGCCACCAAAGTTTTAGTGCTAGTCAGACAAATCATTGCTTGACTTGCCAGGTAAATTTTTATTACACATAATAAAGTAGTATTGTGTATACAAATTCACAGTTGAATAGCAAACAAATACTTTTGTGATTTTTCCTTTCATAAATGGACAAAACTTAAGTCCAGTTAATTGGGTGCTATTGGCGTTGTTTACTAATCAAAATTAGTTTTATTTCGGTAATGTGAAATAACATTAAATGCAAACATTTTATCAAAGTATATCTCTAATTTTAATTGATAAACAATACTAACACATTTAATAAATATCTATATACTATCTTAGTTTATAAATTGATTAAACACATTCATGATGAGGATTACCTCAGTTCTCCCCTTAAGGATGGGCTTCCTCAGTAAAAGTTCAGCAAATACACAGCCTACACTCCACAGATCCACTGAAACTCCATAATTTGTTGATCCCATTAAGAGCTCAGGAGGACGATACCATAGAGTCACTACACGACTTGTTAAAGGGTGCTTACTATTTGGGTTAAGGGTATTTGCTAATCCAAAGTCTCCTATCTTTAGAATACCTTCATTGTTCACTAATATATTAGATACTTTAATGTCTCGATGCATAATACCCCTAACGTGACAATGCTCAATTCCACTTAATAGCTGTCTCATGTAACACTTAATCTGTAGTGGAAAATATGAAACAACAATTAATGTAACATCTAATGTATTAAAGTAACCAATAAATGCAGACAAAAACAAACCTGTGAGTCAGTGAACTTGACATCAGGTGAAGATACTAGACCAGCAAGATCATGCTCCATGTATTCAAATACAAGATATATGCTATTTGATAGTGGTGAAGTAATTATTCCCTCCAATTTCATGATGTTTGGGTGGTCAAGTGTGCGTAGAATTATTATTTCTCTTGCCATGAACCTAATGCTTTCAGGTTGAAACTTGTCAAACCGCACCTTTTTCAGGGCAACCATTCTCCCAGTTTCAACTTCACGTGCTTGGAACACACTGCTATATGTACCTTGTCCAATCTACACAAATTGAAATGTTTTAAAAAAATCATTAGATAAATATTGACCACATAATGACAATAAGCCATGAGGACAATAAATTCTAGTAGACGTAAGAAAATGAGTGAACATGCAATGTATCATTGTGGATCAAAGAAAGGATGAAACTTTGTAGGTAAGAAAATTTTAGGCAGTCACTAGTCCATATAAAACTTCATTGAATCTTTATGACAGGGATTAACGACATGATATAAATAGTTAAATGCAAAAAAATTCACCAAATAATACTTTTCGAAATTGAATTAATAACCTAAAGTTTAATATTATTCATTTTATTTTAAAAACACTCCATGATCTCAGAACATTTAATGTTGTTATGTTTTGTTCGTAGAATTGTAGCAAATACAAAAAAGTAAAATTGAAGGTAGGACATAATTAGTTTTATAACTGAGTTAACTCCAAAGTTGAATACTTAAAATATAATAAAATGAACTTTCCCATTCCCATAATTTTTTTTTCCCCTAAGTCAATAAAAAGTCAAAATATGCCTCAATCTCATAATCCGGTTTATCAAAGTGCAAAGCTTACTCTCATCATCTATGAACAAAATCATTATTGTAGAAGTTAAAGCCCACAAGAGCATAACCCATTTAAGAGATACAATCATTTGCATATAGAATTCCCATAAAGCATGCATTTTTCCCGCTCCACTCATGCTTTCAATTACATCAATTTCAAACAACCCAATACTTAATCGTTTTGCACCCAAAATCAATTTCTCTCGCTCTAACACATGTTACAATATAAAATTTACAACTAAGATTAGAATAGTTGGTCCGGTCCAAAGCTCACTAAAGAATACAGTTTGAATTTTAAATTCTAAACCCGAATCAATTTCAAGTCTTGACCCATTTAGAATTTTCTTTGATCCCGTCAGAACCGGTCCAATATATTTAAGTAAAAAAATGCACATTCAAGATAGATTTGAACTTTTGCTCTACGATCCAAATAAAATTCATTTTTTACCCATCTAATAAAGCTTCTAGTTAAGATTAATTTGAATATGCATCCTAATTAAATTCAACGATTTAAGTATGAATTTAAAAAGACGTTAAAAAATCTATTAACATAATCATTTAGTTGAATTTATAATCATCAAAACATAAATTCAAACATGCACTGAATAAAATTTAATAATTACATTAAAAAAAACTCTAGTTCTATTTATAAAAAATAAAATTTTTTTAATATAAAAAATAAATACCCATTTTCAGATACAACAATTATCATTTTTTTTCACACAGTACACGTCTTTCATTAGAAATAATTTTGTTGAAGTCGGATAAGATTTTTATGGACAATCAAAGTTTTTTATTTAAAACAAATTATTAATTTAATCATTTATTATTATAAATATTTTTAAATTTTAATATAAATTTATAACTTATAAATATAAGGGATGAGAAATAAGATGGTGGAAAAGGGTATACCTTGTGCAATTTCTCAAAAGAATCAGTTTTAAGAGGGAGCCATCCTTGAATGGCTTCTCCAGCAACAGAGCTAAGCCAAGGTGGCCAACCAGCAGCATTATGCTCAGCTTCAACAAACCTATGAGAAGACAACCTTAAAGAACCACTCCTCAACTCCTCAGTGTGGAACCCTTCTCGTCTTCTCTCCCTCTCCACAACCCCACAATTCGATACTGCATTCCATTTTCCCTCCACCACGTCGTTTCGCCCCGACCCATTGCCCCGCTTTCTCGAACCAGACTGCACGTATGGCGCCGCCGGCGACGAACGCGACCCACCTCCGGCAACCGCTTTCTTCGAATTCACACACCCCATTTACCCGGCGCGGTTGAGCCGACCCGGAAGCGGGGTTCAAAATCCGCCTCCGAGGAAACGGAAACGTCAGAGAGAAAAATGAGCGAAACCCAGATAGAGAGGCATTGCATAAGGTTCAAAATGGTGGCTTTGTTTGATGGGTGTGTTCTTTCTCTCTCTCTATCTCTTCCACAAACGCTTAGTGCAATGCGATCCAACCCTTTTTTTTTCTCTCTCACTCTATCTAGAAAGTAAGGGTTGCGAGATCTGCGGAGGGTTTTCGAGGATGTTGTGAACGGTCCTGAGACATTCGCGGGTCCCAATGGTTGCATCTCTTTTTGACGTTGTAATGTAAGAGAACCAGAAAAAAGAAAGAAAGAAAAAGGTGTAATGTAACCTTTCGGAGGCTGTCTTATTGTTTTCTGTTTGTTTCTTTGTTGCTTTTGTTGAACACCGAGGAACATTGTCTGTGTGTATTTTTGTGGAACCAAATGCAATGGTGATGATGATCGTTGCATGCCAACTCTCTAACAGCTCCATTCAACCCTATCTATCATGGAGTTAGTTGGATTCGAATAATTTGATCATTCTTTAGTTTAGTTGCTGCCCAGTTGTGACCTCACACCTATCTAGTGTTCCTGATTCGATTGTTACATTTTCGATGATCTTAGTTATATCATGTTGTTGCTTTAAATAATTATGCATAACTACGTGGGTCATGATTGTTTTTTATTTTTTTATTTTAATTGTATTTTGATGATATATATAACTAAAGTGATGCATGCTTTTTACTTGTAAGTGATTGATTCGAATGATAGATGTGCGGTTTTCGATAAATAATGTTTTGAGTTGAAGTTATTTTATGCATGAAAAAATGATTGAAAAGGCTGATTTTACTGTATTAAGAATGTTATCAATTTAAATATGATAGATTAAAGAACTACTTAACTTAAGCATCATTTAATTTGTGTTTAATGTCCCGATCATGTACTGGGAAAAGGATTTGATATAATGCTTAAAACCATGATATTCTCGCACTCAATAAACTAATATTTTATGATAATTTCTTTTATGATGTTGACTCATGATAGTTGCTGTCTAGTTTTCATTTTAAAAAATCTCTCATTTAAAAAAACAAACTACTAAATATTAATTTGTGGTTAAAATACTTAAAATCTTCCCACGCATTTTAGAAAATGAATCTAACAGCCAAAACTATGTTGTGAGCTGAAATCCCTGTTGTTAAGATCCCTTGCCACGGCTAAAGTGACAAAAAAAACAATTAAATTAAATAAGTCTACACTTTAATGTTTTGACCATCTTTAGAAAGTAAAGGCAGCCGCAGATTGTTTGTTACTTTATACTTTCTTGTCAGATTATGAACAAGATAATTGAGGTCCCCATAGTCAAAACTGCAAATAAATAACCAAAAATTGAACGACTTGATTGAAATAATTTTAAAATTATGAGACTAAATTTGAACAAACAAAAATTGATGGGTCAAAATCATACATAACTATAATAGAATCATCAAAAGCACAACTTTATTTTCTTTCAAATAGAATTTATTTCCTTGTAACACTTAAAAATAAAACCAATACTCAGAATTACTTGTGGGATGCCTAACCCAAAGAGAGCATTGATGATACTAGAATGTAGCAAAAAAACTTAACTGGATCTGTACTTCCCTTACATTCTGTCCATTCCAAACCAAATTCTGATCCTGCCAAAAAGTGGCTGAGATGAAATGCAAAATTTACAAAAGGTTCGTGTAATAAATTTAAGATTTTGTTATGTAACCATCACATTTATGTCTCGTGTTAGTTGATAATGGTCCTCACACCACATTCAGCTTCTCTGACATGAACTTTAGAGACTAAAAAACTGCAATAAAATTTGACTCAATTTACAGGATGAAATAGACAAAAACGTTTTCTATTTGATCCTTAATTAAAGACTTAATGATATATCACTACAAACTTCAATTGAGGCCGTTTTCACATACTTTCATATCAGCCAAAGTTCCTCTTTCTAATTCTTTTTCTTATTAAGAAAATATTAAGTAAAAAGCACCCACGGTCTATAATGCTTTTTCACAGTCGAGTATTACTTTGATGTTCATCTTTATTTTAAGAATTTTGTTATTTTAAGACAAGTTGTAAATTATTGATTGCTTATTAATTAAATTTAATATATTTTTAAACATTTAAATAAAATTAATAATCAATAAATTTCTTACAACTAATGACAAATACTGTATCGGACCAAACAAAAACCATAGGAAATCCATGAAATTATATATTTTTTCTTTCTTTTTTATTTCATTCCTCGTCGTAACAACATTTAAGTACAAGACAGCTGAAAATTGCAACGACTGGACACAAATGAGAAAAATCTCACTGTCTGTAGTACTGTATTATGTGAACAATAATATATCAAGTAAACATCATTCAACAACAATACCTTACTAGAATCAAATTTCAACAATAGAGTCATTTGGTTTCAAGCAATGTTTCTTGTTCCCATTTTTTTTATTATTATTTTAATACAAAATTATCGTATTTTTATTCTATTTCTTGTTTTTTCAAATATTGTGCAAAAACAATGAACAATAAACAAGTCTAAGCCTTGTTCCATTCAGTGGGAACAGCTACATACATAAATGCATACAAGATCAATATCATTTTGAATGCAGCTTTTCAATTTTATTTGAATTCTAGAACTGCCCTTACAAGGAGTATTAAGCAGTACCAGGAACAACCCGGTAATTAATAAATTATAACAATGTCAGTACATTAATTGAAATGATCTTCATACCTGTGAATAACATCTTATACAAACAATTCCATAATTTAGATATACAAAAGGTGTTACATACAAAGAACTCGAAAACAACATAACATACATTGACCATTGTCAATTCTGACTACACCTTCGTGTTTATCCATTTCATCTTCAAGACAATTTCATTCTGTACCAGGTGAGTTCTCTTCATTGACAGGTTGAATAAAAGCACGTGGCAGCAGACTTCTATACTATGATTTGCTCTTCTTTTAAGCGCAAATGTACAGGTCTTTGGTCATTGCTTCCAAAATCCATATCCTTAAGCAAAGGATGCTTCTCTGGCACCACATTGTGTGATTTTAGTGGCATTGAATTGGTACTAGCTGTGTTGTGGCTGCTGTTTCTAGCAGCAGGCACATCATGATTATGTTTACCTTCGTATGTAGTTATGACAGCTTTAGGGTCTGTTGAAGCTCTCTCAACATGCTTGCGCACGTTGCACCCTGCACTAGTGCATTTGTAATAACTCCTGCTCACAGAAATTCTGTATCAGACAAGTATAACATGTTTGAAAACAAATTACATGGATAGCTACAGACAAAACTGGTTATCATTTTGCTATCAGCTTGAAAGAATTATGAATGGAGCACCGTGTCCTCGTACACATCAGCAAAGTGAAGTCTATATCTTAGGACTTAGGATACAATTATGACTAAAAGCATCATAAGATGAGAACACTCACTTCAAGAAAGGAACAAAACAGCAAAATTACCTATTTGTACTTTATCCTTGGCATGGGAGAGGAGGTCTAATCTTGGCAATAAGGTCAAACCACATTTGCAATGGTGTTATATGATTGAAGAACTAAAACTTGTGATTATCTCATGATGGAAATGAATAGACACATATGTCATACAGAAAGTATGGGACAATGTCACAGACAGTGACTGGTGCTAATAACCTGAAACTCTGAATAATGCAACTAGAAACAGCACCAAATGTTTATAAAAACATCAATTTATGTGGAAGCAACACAGCAGATTCTCCCAGGTAAGAATATCAATAGAGTAGAAGCTAAAAAAAAAATTGTATAAAAACATTTCAGACTCAAAGGAGCAGATGCAACAAGGGAATAAAGAAATTTTTTGGGTGTACAAGAATAATTGAATTGTATTAAATTATATGATGCCATGACATGACAAGTTTCTATAATTGAAAAGGCTGAATGCAAACTGAATTATTAATAACTACAAAGTCAAAATGTATAAAATATATAGTTTAAAACGTTTCTTGTAGAAAGCATGAAAGTGGTTTGCCCATAGACTTAGTTACCGGATTTTTTTTGACAAATTTAAATATCAGAGATTAAATTTCCCCTCCTGCATACCACTTACTAAGATTCAACGTAAAGTCTCACAATAATGATGAAAAAAGTGATGAACTGGATACCCAAAGAATTGCATACCCATAAACGGTACACCTATACTGCCTACCTGGTAACTATGGGTGGAACTTGTCAAGTTAAAATTTCCAGTTTCTCCCCATCTTGAGTTCTAATTTTTAAAGCATAACATTTGGGTTTTTAGTCCCCAAATAGAGGAATCATATTTCTTAAGAGAAAATCATAAATAAAATCCAATAATAGAGTCAAGGAGACTTTTAAGCTGACACTCAGACACAGACAATCCTTTGTACAGAGAAATCAAAAGTAGACAATCCTTTTGTAGGTCCAACACCCAAAATTAATAGTCATTAATGAAAAAGCTAGAATTTTCACTTCTCTCAAAATCAATTGTGTTATGAGCAAAATTGATTTTAAAAATCCAGAATTCTACCCAAACAGTAACATATCAAGTTACTGTGCAACTTGATTATTTTCATCAGTATGAAATTTTGCATATATCCAGAGACTGTCTATGATTTTCGTAGTTCTTGAGCAAAAACCTCAAAAACAAAACTTGATTATGTTCATCAGATATGTGATTTTTCACATATCCAAACAGGCTATTAATGATTTTTATTAATTCTTGTGCAAAAACCTTAAACAAAAGATATTTTTTGAAATGGAGATACAGTCAATCAATACAGAATTTTTGTGTGTAAGCGAGACAGAGTAAATTACATTGACCTCTCTTGAGGTTTAAGAAACTCGTACAAAGTCCCTCTCTAGCTTCAGAAATTACAAACTTCTCCTATTTTTATATTAGATAAATATTGCTTAAAATTTAAAAGCTTTTCAAACACATACCCACTGTGTATATTTGTTCAGGCACACAGTACCCAGTTAAAATCAAGTAATCAACTACAAGCGAAGGTAGAGTGATCCCATATCGCAAAATACTAAACATTATACAAAATTAACATAGATTGGGTTTCAAGTCCAAAAATCAAACCAACATCTTATATCCCAGTTGTACCAATTCACCATATACCAACATAGGATACATAAAACATAGTGAGAGATTCTTGCATGATTGATTAAATTTATAGCTATTAAGCTGATCTAACTTCATGCAATAATTTATATGATTTCAAAGCAATAATTTGTTTAAATTTCAAACATATTTTGAATTTTTGAGAAATATAATCCTAAAATGCTTTTGAAAGAAATATTGTAGCATAGAACTTATTACCTTGGATGAGGATTTCCCTTCACCACTTTTTGACCATACTTTCGCCATCTGTAGCCATCATCCAGGAGATCAACTTCACTTCTTGTTTGCACAATGATTTTGGGTTCTGTGACAGTCTTCTGAGACGGAGGTACTTCAGAAACCCCAACATCAGTGTTCCTGAAAGGCAGAAATTTAGCCATCGCCATGAAGAATTATAAAAGTGTCTAGCTGTATGATAAAGGATGAACATGGTGAAACTTGCCTTCTCTTAGGATTTGGCTCACTGTCATCCCCCTCTTCCCTATTATCTAAATCACCGACTTCCTCACTCTCACTTGATCCAGGTAGTAGCTGCCTGGGTGCCCCTTGATTGGAGGTCTGGTCACTCTCAGGTACTGAACAATCAGGCACAGTTTCACTAAACTTGTTTAAATGTCCAACCCAACCTTGTGAGTTAGACTCAGTCTTAGGTTGAACATTTGCATTTCCATTTGAATCACTATTATCTTTGACACGCCTATTTGCCTGCGGTTTTTCATGGTTATGCTGGCCTTTATAGATAATTTCAGTTATGTGACCATCAGGAGCACGCTCAACTTTTTTCTTCACAGGGCAATTCAGATGTGTGCACTTATAGTAGCTCCGTGGAAACTCACTACCTTTAACCTGCTTCTGCCCATACTTACGCCAGTTGTAGCCATCGTCTGCAGGTTTGTCAATGGCCAGGGAAGATGCTTGATATTTCTTATCACCGTGTGAGAGCTCTGACATTTCCAGTTGAGCATTTCTAGGTTCAGATACAGATGATACCATTTGCTGCTCTGAAGCTTCATTTAGAGCAAAAGATGGCTGCTGTACAGGCAGTTCAGTGGTAGCTGTTACTGCAGGCGGCTGGTATTCAGCTTGCATGTGCATATGAGATTGTGCTAGGACAGCTTGAGCTGTAACCTGTGCTAATGCCTGTTGGTGGGACATCCCAAAGGGGCTCTGTATACATCGAATTGAAGATATAGTGAAAACCTCAAATAAGTATATCCATCATCTTCAAGGCAAAAAGATCACATTGATACATAATAATGTGAAAAAATCCCAACAAATGATTTAATATAATGCATGACCTTGCACAATTATCCGGCATCAAAAAACTTCTTTTTGGAAGACAGATTTCAATAATCTTTGTCAAATTTAGCAATTAATCATGAACAAGTGGAATGCAAAGGTACAAACAATCATACTTAGAAGACAAATAAATCCAGTCAAGGAGTTGCTTGGTGAACATAAACATGGAAAATATTTCATTTATTTTCATTATGGAGGGACTTGCAGAGATTGTATTTCAGCCATAAATTCATTTTCTGTTGCAGACAAAAAAATACCCCTTCAAAATTATCATTTGAGAGAATCAAGGTAATACAATCAAAAAATCATTTCACTTAAAAATTTGTATTGTGTGATCTGAATACTATCCCCATCACTCAATCAACCCCTTCAACAATACCAAAGCCCATGTGTATATGTTTCAATCCAAACTTAAATTTGCACCCCACGCATTGAATGTGCTAAAGACCAACTCCTTGTTAGCAAAAACCATATTGGCGATTCGAAAAAAACCAAGTGATTCTCAGAGAAAGAACAATACAGAAGCAGTCCACAAAAAACATAACCCATGACACAACACAATTAAACTAAAACTCAGATCAAATCCGAATTGTTGAGAAAGTCCTTAAGTATTTCCCTAACAAAACACTAACAAACCCCAGAATCATCATACAACCGATCTCATCTCCCTCTTTCAAAAAAACTAAACTTAACAAATATCTCTCTAAAACACACCATAAAATCACACCCCGTTTACAATTCAGCCACAAAAATTGCTTTTTTATTTCATTTTAAGAAACCCAATTATTAGTTGAATCTATTACCTGAGGGGAAAAGAAGCCAGGAGAGTTGAGAAACCCAGAAGGGCTCAAGCCAGGTGGAACAGTGAAGATTGGAGAACGAGCAATCACCAAATTCATGGGTCTACTCTGCTTGAAACCTTTGTGGGTCCCATCTTCTTCTTTGAAGGAATTGTCGGCGGCGGAGAAAGCCATCGGAGAGGCCATGGCTCCGGCGAGGAGCTGAGAAAAGGAGCGGCAGTCGCCGGAGTCGGAAGCGAAGAAGCTAGAGACGAGGGTCATAGGGCCGGGACTGGCGCCGCCGCCGCCGGCGAAGAAGGCCTCGGCAGAGGGACGGGGAGGGAGAGTTATGGTGGGGCGCGGTGGCGGCGCCGTGACGGAATCGGCGTTGTTGGTGGACATTTAGCGGCGGTTGTGGTGGTCGTTTGTAATAATGCAATGGATAGCGCCACCGAAATGATGGGTTTCGTGTTGTGTTATCTTCAACACTCTCGCCACAAAGTCCACTTCGTGTCGTGCAAACTCAATACTGTTATTATTATTATCTTATTTAAACCTTTTCGTTTATTTCTCTTTGTTTTCGGCTTCCATTATTTTTGTTTTTCCTTTACCAAATTCAAAACTCTCCCCTTTGCCACCCATTTTCACAAGTGAAGAGTTGAACTTACATTAGTTTTTTTTTTTTTAACTTTTGTTTATTTAGTGGATCGGTATTTTAACTATGCTAATTGGTGTAAAACTTTATATATTTGTATGCATAAGATTAGCTTCTTCTTTTATTACTTTTAAAAATTTTGTTTATTGAAATAATAACTATTTCTAAAAAATATTTTATATTAAGATTTATTTATTATGAATTTCTCCTTTTTAAAATTAACATGTATAATGAATTTCAACATATTTTGTAAAATCATTGAATGAATTTCATTAATATATTATAAGAATGAGATTACTATCTGAGTAGCATGAAGCAGAAGTATGAGAAACTAGTGTGCTAGTACAAAGAAGCTGACATAGTTTAGTTTTATCTTTGCCTCGCATTGTAAAGGGCAAGAAGCTTAACGTACCGGCACATTGGTCACAGTGGGACACCAAAACATGCTTTTCACAGACACATCATGATCGTGGCTTCCCAATTACTACACCTTCAACATTTTTAATAATCATTAATTAATTAAAAGCCTCCACTCCCACCCTTATAATATACACTAGTGTTTTCTCATCTTCAAATTCAAGGCCATTTTATACAATTCTTTTATTAGATAGCTAAGATAGAGATGTATTTAAATTGGTGATTATTTTGATGGCTTGAAAATTAAAATTTATTCACATCTTTTTAAAATAAACCAGTAACTATTATCCCTATTATATATATTTAATGTAATATTGATAGTAATTTTACGCATGAAAGATATAAAAAACTCTAAAAAATACCATATATAATAAATGCTACCACCATTAATTGTTACCAAATATATTTTCAACAATATACACTCGTATTAAATATAATTTGCATATCTTATTCACTTTACACAAGTTGAAAATAAATAAATAAATAAATCACGTTTATTTCTATATTAATAATATCACATGTAATATTTATGTTAAAGGTAGCAATGTTACTGTATCTATGTTACTTGAGAAATTCAAAAATAATAAAAATTCATAAATAAGGAATAAATCAGTAATTTTAACAATTAATTTTAATAAAATAATTAAATTCTTTAATTTATGTAATTTTTTTCTAAATAAATAAATAAAAAGGAATTTAATTTTGGTATGTAAAAATATGGATTGACATTGCTTTGATAATTTTAAAAACAATTGATATTAACTTAACTTTCTCGAAAGTGGCATTTATTTAATGTTTTAAAGAGGTTGACAATTAATTCAATATCCATTAATGAAAGGCAACTTTAATTTAATCACTTGATAATAAAATTAGTTTATATCTATTCAGTTTCTAAAGTTTGGCAGTCCCTAGTATAAGATATTTTTTCTAAATTTTTAGAGACATTTGTTATTTTTTATACATTTATTTTTAAAAAATTTAATTTTTTTTAGAAACTTTTAATCACACCTAATATGATAATATTATTTGAATTTAAACAAGGGTAAATTTGGAATCTTATATTTTTTTAATTAATGCAACAATTACTTTATCTTTTTTAAGCTATATGATTTAATTAAAAAAGAAGCATAAAGATGGATAATTTTGATTTTATTTTTTATTGTTCAGAAATTCAATAAACCTCATGTACTTTTGGTGGAATCAACGTAATATCAAGTCAACCAAATTATGTTTTTTTTCTTAACATAACTAAATTATATGTTTACTTTTAGCTCTTTTAAGCAATCACTTAATCGACATGAAAACTGAAATAACAACATCGTCTTGTTAGAATTCGACTTTCTAAGTCTTTGATTAAATAAATAACAGAGTAAAAAAATAACATTGTTAATATATTGTATTGAAATTCATAAAATTTAGTTGTATATTTGAATTTGTGTTAAAATAAGTAATATCTAAAAAAAATTACTAATTGTGAAGGTAAAAGTTGTATAAAATTATAATTTATTTTCACTATAGTGAATCACTATTTCATAATATTACTGTTCAATAATAAAATCACTCTTGTAAATTTTTTTCTAAAAATATATTAAAAGTTGGATGAAAAAAAACAACTGAGAGCAGATATTTAGTTTGTTTCTATTTGCAGGTGCATTGACCTGACCTAACTGTGAATCACAACATGAATGACCTCGAGAGACCGGCAAGTAAGCAAATGGAGGACCACTCAATCTTACATAAAAATCCTCAAATGATGTATAATGTCTTTCTTCCACCTTTTTCAGGGATGGAGTGAAGACATTTACAAAATAAACAATTTTATAAAAAAATATATAGTTATTTAATTCAAATTACCAAAATATAATAAATATATTTTAATAAAATTTTATTATTACCTTAAACAACGAATAAAAAGGAATAGAAATAATATACATTATATTAAATGTTATTTTTGAATTAATTTTCAATACTATATAGCAAACAAATTGTTAAAAAATGTTGTAGCATTCTTTAAATTAGGTTACAATCTTACTATTCGATTGAGTGGAAGTTTAAGACTCGAAATTAAATTCAAAATTAGTATTGAAACGGTGAAGTTTACAAAACTTGAGAGACCCATTAAGTAATAAAAAAAATTACAAATGTTCCTGTTAAAGTAACACAGGTCTTTAAATCTTTACTCTGACGTTTCTCTAACTGTTGCTGACGTAGGAGGGTACCTGCAAAAGGTACTCCGATACTGAAGTCAGGATTCAGTTCTGAACAATAAATGTTATTTAATAATGAAAAGTCAATCCTTTATCTATAATTTTACCTTTATTATATAGGCACTATAATGGTCTAATGGGCCTGTCGAGCCAGTCTTCATTTTAGCCCTTTATTTAAAGTAGATAATATATTGATTATTACTCTTAATTGGGTTAATTATCTTTTAATCCTGACAAGGAGTATCTGACCTATTATACTGAATAGATACTCGATTTTCTTTTCTAACAAATAGGATTTAGTTGATCTTTATCCAGTATAACAACTAAATTAAAATATCGGTTTATAAAAAAAATTAAAATTGTAGGATACATATAAAAGTAAAAATGAATTATTTTAATTACGAGAAAGAGAAATATTGGAAGCACGTGGAAGATAATTTTCTATTGTGGAATTAAAGTGAGGAATTGGGTGGGTGTTGTACGTGGAGTATGTTAAACCATCAATTCAAAACACCCTGCAAAGTTAATGTCTATTTAAATTTGACAAACCAGTTAAATAAATCATCAACAATGACAGCACGGCTTGATATTTTTCTTTAATTTTTATTTATATATTAGATTTCAACTAAATATATCATTTATATTAATTACCTTTATTTTAGCAAAATAGTAATTAACATTTATGACGATAAATTTATATTTCTTATATTTTAATAATAATAAAATAAACAGCCACCAATAAAAAGCTGATATAACTAAAGTTGCAATAAATAGAAATGGCGGCGAAAGGCCAACGAGCACTGCCGTCCTCAATAAAACAGCAAGTGGCCTCAAAATTAAAGGTATAATAAGCAGTGTCAGCAAAAGGATAGTCATTAGTTAGTGGTACCCTCAATACACTGTTTCAGCTTTTATATACCAACTCACCCTATTTGTATCAACTTTATATCCGTAACTTACATAAATTAAATTAATTGTTATTATATAATTATTAAACTATTTCATGTAAAAATAAAAATACAATTGATAATAAACTATAACATTATTTTTTAACGATAATATTTAATACAATTATTATGATTGGTTGACCTTTTGAATAAAAATTAAACAATAATCAATTTATAATATAAGTATTTTAATTTTTAAATGTTTTTTAAAATATTTTTGTTAAAAATAATATTTAACATAATAAATATTTTTTTATTTTTAATTACCTAAACTATATTTTAATATAAGACTGTTAGGTAGTGTTTACTGTTTAGTACCACAAACTTATAACTTGTTTAAAATTTTATATCTTAATTTTTTAAAAATTATTTTGTATAATTATTTAATTACAAAATAAAAAATTTGATAATTTTTAAAAACTTTACCTTTATCTTTTTAAACAAACTATATAGAGAGTATTAAATACACATTTTCTAATAAACATTTATTTATTGACTAAATTTTATTAACAATATAAAAATACAAGAAAGAATTATTAAATTAAGATTGAAAAATATAAAACTTATAATTTTTTAATAAATTTTAATTAATAATTAACTATGTGATAAAAAAAATATTAAAAAATGTTACCGATATTTTCTAATTACGTATAATGGTAAAACCTAAATTTCCAACCCTTAATTTTAATATTATAGTAATATAATATTACATATTTTCTTAATCGTTTAATACAATTTAATTAATTCTATTAAATAGTTCTAATTCAATCGTTTATGAGCCACGAGATAGCGTTGCCTTATTTGGCAAAGAAAAAAAAAAAGTAAGAGATCTTTCGTGAGTTTTGGTTAGAATACGAGTCACTATCAAGATGTCTAGTTAAGAAGTGACGGCAGAATATTAATCAAAAAGTATATATATAATCATTCTCTTTAGGCAAAATTTAAGTAAAGAATACGTAAAAAGCGTGTATACATTAATTATAAATTAGATTAGATTTTTCAAAATTCAGTAAAATTGACTTTAATAAATAAAATTTAAATTATTAAATATAATTAGAATTATATACGCTTCAATTATTTCGAACTACATACTTTTATAAGAAAAAAAACATTTTTTTATTACAAAATACATGGTTTTTCTTCATATCTTTTAAAAATTACAAGAACGATCTTTTAATATGTAAAAAAAAAACACACAATAAAATTTTTTACATGATGAAATTTAATTAAAAATTATAAAATATTTAACATAATTTGATGCATTTATATTATTAACTATTATAAATTTTTAATGAAAATTTACTGTCTATTAATTTTTTATTGTATGTTTTTAGATACAAGTTTAAAAGGTTATTAAAACTAAAGAGAAATTTATCTTATCACTTGCATGTATTAATTCTTTGAATTAGAATTAATTTACTTAGATGGGAGGGCGATTAGTGTAGGTGAATGAGAAAGAGTTTGATATTAAATCAAATAATACATTTAATGTGATATTTAAGTCATGAATTTTTTTTATTTCTTTCACTAATTCTTTTGAGTTAATATATATATATAATTCCACGTTATATATGAGATATTGTTTCGTAGAGAACAAGTTGAGTTGGTGAAATAGCATATTGCAAATTGCGTTAGTACATTGATGCACAGTTGGCCTGCTAAGCAAGTTGCCAAATGGCACGTTTCTGTCGGTCATATCTTGCAATCAACCGCACATTATTAATAGATTAAATTATTAAAACTATTATTAACTTATTTTACTTGTAATTTTTTTATTCTTTAACTGACACTCTTATCATAATTAATAATTGTTAAAAGTAAATAAACTTTGTTATACAAAATATTGATCGGATTTGAACGTAGTTTTATTGAAATTTGTATATAATGAAAGTTGTATAACTATTTGATTAATTATTTTAAACAAGAGATTTGATAAAATAATATATAGGAATATGAGATTTTGAAATTAATTAATTAATTATATATATATATATATAAAGTTTAAAAAAAATTTAAGGATAATTTTTTACGTAAATGAAGAGATTTATATATAAAATAATTAAAAATTGTAAAAACATTTTTAAGTATTAAAAATCGTTGTTGACAATTTTAAATGACATTTGTTGGTACTTTCTCATGTTTTTTTTTCTTTTTTTTAATTTTATAGATAAAAAAAGAGCCTAGCCTAAATATTTTCTCAAATAATATTTTTTTAATCAATAATCACCAATAATTTACAATGTATACATAAAATAACTAACTAACTAGCCACTTTTTTTCTTGTAAAACAAATATTATTAAAAAGAGTTCAAGGGGAACTCAAAACTCATATACGCAGAAAAAATTACTTACTTAGAGAAATAAAAAGCAAAAATATACTTATATAAAATTAAGACAAATGCAATTTCGTGGGTTCAAATACCAATCAACTAACATAATAGCTTCTCCATTACTAACAAGTGATAAACATTTCCAAGATCTCAGAATAATAGAATCTAGGACCTTCCTCTCATCCAAAATACCATTTGAAAATACAATTCTATTTCTATGCAATCATAAAGACCACACTGTACTTACCCAAACAATTAATAAGCATATTCATTCTCTTTTACTACAGCCAACACCAACCTAAGAAAGCAAGTGAGTCGATAAATATGAAGGCAAAACCAGTGAGAATCTAAGCCAATGCGCAGTAAAGTACCAGATTTGAGATGAAACTGAACACGTTAAAAATAAATGAGTTGGAAGTTCCTCCAAACTATGACAGAAGCAACAAGTTATATCATTAATTTGAACACCACGATCAATCAGTAAACCTTTACAAGGAAGTGCATTCAACAACAATTGCCAAGAAAAAAACCAGACACTTAAAAGAGACCTTCCCTCTCTATAGCCTTTGCAAGGCATCTGCCATACACTGATATACACTATTAGGACTACCAAAAAGTTCAAATAGCCATGAATACGCAGATTACACTGAATAACAACCTGAAGAATCTGCCCTCTGTACCCATTTATCTTCTTGTAGTAACTTAATAGAAACTCTATCCACAAGCTCTAACAAAAGATTAAAGCTCAAGATCTCATGTTGAAAGAGTCCTCTTCGCTAACTAACATTCCAAACCCACTTAGTGCCATCATGAAAATCATTCTCCAATACACATGATTTAGCATTCCTCGCCACCGCAAATAATCGCGAAAATGCTTCATACAATCGCATCCCACCTACCCACTTATCTCTCCAAAAAAGAGTGTGTAAACCTGCACCCACACTTTTATCAAACTTCTCATCCAGCCATGAATTCCCTTGATGAATAACCTCCAACAAATCATGCCACCACAAAGAACATTTGTTGTGAACTGATGAACGCTGGATAGAAGAAGCTAATATTCTATATCTAGATTCCAACACCCGCACCCACAATGAACTAGAACAGTTAACACCTTGCCACAACCATTTACCAAGAAGCGCCCAATTAAACCACTGCACATTCCTAATGCCTAAGCCACCATTCTTCAGCGGTCTATATACTGTTTTCCATTTCACCCAGGGAATTTTAGATCCATCCTTAACACCCTTCCATAAAAAATTTCGTTGGATAGTGACAATCTCCTTTATTACCGACTTCGGCACCTTAAAAAAGGATAACGAGTGCAATGACATAGAATTAAGAACGACATTAATCAAAGTCACCCTACCTCCAATCGATAAATACCTATGCTTCAACGACGTTAACTGCTTTTTAAAAGCCTCTAACATACCCTTCCATGCACTAGGCTTTCTCGGGTTAACACCTAACTGTAACCCGAGATATTTTAATGGGAAGCTACCAATCTTACAATGTAAGAACTCCGCAGCCAAGTTTTCAAAGTGATCACCAGTGTTAATCCCCAATACAAAAGATTTATGGAAGTTAATTTTCATACCTGACATTAATTCAAAGCTACGCAATATTGCTTTCAAAGTCCACAAATTCTGCATCGAAGCCTCTCCCATAATCAATGTGTCATCCGCAAACTGCAGCAAAGAAATATCTGGTCCCCCTACCCCAATCTTCACACCAGAGAACAACCCACAAGTCATTACCTTCTACATAAGAACTCCTAACCCTTCCGTTGTCACAAGAAAAAGAAAAGGGGCAAGAGGATCCCCTGTTTTAGGCCCTGCTCAATATGAACCTCCAATGTACGACAACCATTAATCAAAGCTGATAGGTTTCCCCCACACATACAAGCTTCCATCCAACTGACCCATTTGTCTGAAAATCCAAATCTAAATACTTGGATGTACACCGAAGAGGCACAACCCTTCCACTTAAGATCTGAATCCGAAAATATTTGCCTTATATCAGGAAGACCCCAACGCTCCTAAAATAGCATCGACCCCGCAGTAAAAGAGAGCGAAGACGATGCCGGGGAGCGTCAAAGGCTGCAGGGTGCCGCAATCTTAATTACCTCCTTAGTCTCGAAGATGAGCCCGTTAAGAAGCTTCTGGAACCCTTCACGAGGAGCAATTGCACTCTCTCGTCAAGCAAGCCGCGGAGAAGTATCTAGATTTCGAGAATAATGTTCGCTAGTTGGCTGATGTAGACCTCGCTCACCGAAAAATCTTTGTCCATGGTCTCTGATGGAATTCCACTGTCGAAACCCAATTGCAATTGATTTCGTCGGCAGAGGCAAAGACGTTCCTCTGCCTATTTCGTTTCATTGTTTCTACTAAGCAGTAAAGTTGACATGAACAATCGCAAGGTAGTAGGGTTTGGAGCTTTCGGTGAGATTCAAAGATCACAGAAAGTGAATTGTAATTTTCTACGATTTCATGATTAGTAAACTAAATCATTTGGTGTATTTTCACATCCTTAAAAAGATGTGCAATACGAGGACTTCCTAGAAGGTCACCCATCCTAGTACTACTCTCGCCCAAGTACGCTTAACTGCGAAATTCTAATGGGATCTGGTGTATTAGTGCTGGTATGATCACACCTAGTTAAACTTGATTGTTGATTATATGTGCTATCTTTATTTTTAATTATTTATCATTTAAGATAATATAAACATTTAAAAATTATAATCATACAAATTATATTATAATAAAATAATATTTTTGTTAAAATTCTCTTATTAAAAGTTAAAATATAACTATGAATCAAACTAGTATTTGAAAAAATTAAAGCTCACAAATAGTTTGAATCCAAAGAACACACATATATATATATATATATATATATTATATTATATTTTCTTTTACGTCATTATATTATGCCTATAGCAAGTAAGCCAATGGGATTATGGGTTACCAGGCTTTACTGAACCCAAATGGGCTCTACCCAATTAAAAATTGGCTATGGTTTTCTCTTTTCTTTTGATGAAGACCCTTTTCCCAATTTTTGAAGATTTGGAATGTGTGTACAAAAAGAAATCAACAAGTTAAATGGATATTGAATTTAAACTACCACAAATAATGTGTCATTAGCATGATCAATTTATTTTAATGCCAATGAATGCATAAACAATACATTATCTTTTATGCATGACATAGTTATTCTTTGTTATTTGTTCAGGCCACTCATGAAAATTCTTTTCAACTTTGAATAATTTTCACAGCATAAAATGGATTATATCAGCGAATTGCCGAATTGCGTCGCGTCTTATGTATCCCATCAATGTTATCTATCAAAGATATGTTGAAATGCAATATACAACCTATGGAATCTTAGGAGAGATCTTGAAGCTGGATATCTTGTTGACGTGATAGAAAATTCTACTATATATATATATATATATAAAAAAATACTTAATTTGGGTTTGAGTAAGGGTGAATTTGTAAAACGATTTGATCAATTTGTCAAGACTTTTCAAGGTACAAAGATTGATTATTTTATGGTGGGCTTCTATCTAAATAATTTGTAAATGATAATAAGGGTAAAGTAAATAAATATAAATGAGAGTGAAAGATTGTAATTTGGGGTCATTTTCTCTTCACATTTTAATTTATTGTTATATATATATATATATATCGTTATCCAGTGGTGAAGAAGGCTTTTTCACATTAAAAAAAAATTAAAAAATTACAACATCCTAACGTGATCATTATTTTTTGATGCAATAAAACTTAAGTTATTGTTAAATATTGTTCTAATATATGGGTTGTATATTTTATTAATTATGTATTATGTTATTAATAAAGTTTTATTTGCATTAAAGAGATATATGATGATAAGTTTATTAGAATATATAACAACTTTATTACGTGTAAATATTATAAGCCATTATACATATTTTTTATTATATACTGAATTCGAAACAAGAAAATATTAATAATTACAAATTTTACATGAAGATGTATAAGGTTTAAAAGTCATGACTGTTCATGAAAAGGTATTTAACTATTTTTATATTATAGTAGTAAATAAAAATACTTCATCTCATAAGTGAAATATTTACTAGAGCTTTTATCTTGTACAATTAACTACATGTATTTTTTAAGATTAAAATTGACTCAAAATATATGTGAATTATACTTTTTCATTATAATTGATTTACTTTTTTCTCATCTTTTGTTAATTTTATTTTGAATTTTTAAGATAAAAGTTATTAATTATTTTTCTTATTGTCTTAGATAAACATTTTGTAAGTACTTATGTTTAGGATTTATAATTTTTTTATTAACTTATATAAACTTCCATTTTTTATAAATTTATTTTTATATTTATAAAATTTTTCTTATTACATTATATAAATTTTTAAATTTTTTTATAAATATTTATAATACATTTATAAAATTCATAATACCTAATATATTATTTTAAATTTTTAAATTTTTCTTATCACTTTCATTCGTTGTTTTTAGATCTATCATGTTCTCAAATACTATCTCTCACCGACTAGTTGTAAATAAGAGTTATTGGTCCTCAAATATGATCCATGGTTTTATTTTTTAATATTTTATCATCAGAGAAGATCAAGATTAATATTGCATAAAGACTTAAAAAATAAAAAAACACTGATTTTTTCTCCAAATTATCTTTCATAGATTTGGATACGCTGTTGCCTCAATTTTAATCATCAATTTTTGATGATTTGATGTAAATATATTCAAGTTTCTCCTTTTTATATTCAACACTTGTATAATTCACCTGAACACTTTCTAAGTTGTTTATCGTTTCTTTCGGCCGTAGCATATGATAGCATGTAGATTACCCCAACAATCAAGTTAAGCAAACAAGTTAATGCTCTGTAACAAAAAAAAAAAAGATGTTATTGTGCAGTTTCACTAACAAATTCTGAAAATAATTTTAATTTTTTAAAAACTTTTATTTCTCAAAAAAGAACACAACACCAACGTTGTCCTCTGTTAATTACAGAGCCTAGAATCTAAAGGTGTTTTAATAACAGAAACTGGTGTTTGCTATCAAGTTCAAATCCATTCAAAGGTTGTTTATGTGACATCTAGTATTTGTCCAGTGGTTCACAAAGATTGGTTGGTTCTCTATAACCATCTCAACCAAAGGGCACTTACTAATACTATTTAATATATAGTATATATGCTCAGTCCAGCCTCCTCAATAAATATGCAACTTGAACTTCCTTTGTCAATGGCATGATCCAATCACCATATAAGTTAGCTACCAAGCTTGGAGTTATTTTGTACACTGGCTCAGCAAAATTCTCCTTTGTATTTATAACCACTTCTTGCCCATAAGTTTTGGCTTTCACCTCTACTCTCCTTTTGATTGCCTCTTCAACTTTAGTATATGTTAGCATGTCCATCAACCTATCCTTGTCCTGCAAAGTCAATATTACAATATGAAGTTGATCTAGTGAAAATCTAGCATGCACACAAAAATGCAAATGGCACCACAAAGATATCTCTTCGCAGTTTGCAATGTACCTATTTACAAACTAACTTGTGCAAGTCCACAAAATAAGTGCTATTTTTAAATAACTCAAAAAATCATTCATGATCTGAAGAAGATTTAACATTGATATCAGAAAGGTACTGTGGAATTTCCCTAGAAAAATAAACAGAATTGCATACAAGTCTGCCCACTAGTATTTTTGTACCTGTGCGAAAATGGCAGGTTTGTATGCATCGGGAGAAGCTTGAAATTTTGCCTCTGCTACAAATTTTCCATAATGGATCCTCTTTGAGAGAGCCTGCAGTGTAGAAGTCACAAGTTTCAGGCCATGTAAAAACAAGAGTTTCAGCTATCAGCTGTAACTCACTAAACTTGTTAATTGCCAATAGCAAAACCATTAACATCATATGCTTAAGACTAACATTTTTTAGACTGGTTTTCTTTTTCGTTCTTGATGGCAAAAAAAATCTTGCGAACAATCTTGTTTGAATGAGGAAGACTAAAGAACACTACTTGTTACTAGTTTAGTAATGATCATTAGCAAATAATAATAATGAGTAATGGGGAACTCTTTATGCAAACAAATTTTTTAATAATTTAAAATTCCAAGATATATCCTCTATCCTTATTTTACCTGATGAAAAACATGAATTAGTTAAAAGGTAACTTAGAAAGTGTACCTGCAAGCACATTGTATCACAAACACATGTGGATCCGCAATTTCCATCATCTCCTTCCTTGATTAGTCTTGGGATAAGATCTCTAAAGTACATGTGCCACACTTTATCATTTATGTTAATTGAATCCGCTATAGGATGCAATACCTATTAACACATTACACATAATTTTAGGAAGAAGCACTTAGGCACATAAAAACTTAGCAACAGCTCAAACTCCCATAAAATATATGTAACATCGTCAGAGCTCGTAACTAGATAATTTGGTTGTTCATTTATTTGAATATGTAGACTAATAAAATATATTAAAGTAGGTCACTATGAATTTATATGACAGGATTAAATTGATATTGAAGTACCAAGCAGACTGATTTTTTCTTTCATTCCACATTTTACCGTTACTATTAACGCGTGTGTGTGTGTTGGGGTGAAATGGTCTCGCAATCTTTAATATCAAAAGCGATTTCCCTACTTGGTATGCATTTTTTCCTTTTCATGAAATCTGTTTATGCTCTGCTATAATTGAAAGGAGAAAGAACATTATCATTTCAAATTAAATTCAAAGGGTTTCTTAGCGCTCCCTCGTTATAATTTTGAGAAACTTCTAGTTACCTTTCTTAATACTATTACCATTTAACTTCCATTCAGTTTTAAAATATATAACGAGAGTGAATTACATTAACACTGCATATTGAAATAGAATTGATATACTTAGGAAAAAGAACATTTAAAGTAAGTTTATCCTTGAAGCAAGTAAGAAAAGTTGTATCCACAAATCACTTTGGATGAGCCTTGTCCTTATATGTGTGATCACAAAGTTGGTGCCATTAATAGTGTTAGCAACAGCAACTCCTTAACCTCTGCATGTTATAAACTCATATATACATACTGCCTTTCAATGTCTGTAATGAGGAACTTATTAGACTTCAAGATAATATTATTCTACCAACATGTAAGCATAGTTCTGTCATGTGAATGTGACAACTTCAATGCCAAACCAAAATCCACTTAAAGAGAACATCCTTAATTTATTGTTAAGGTATACTCCTTACCTGAGGATAATGCAAAGGAGGAAACATTGGTTCAGGTAGGCCTTCAGGAAAGAAAGGATGCTCATCAGGGCACCTGTATCTGCCCACCTTCAGTGTAGTGAAAACTTGGTCAGGAAGTAAATCTATATATTATCAAGAGTTTGGTACTTAACACTTTCATTTCACTTGATCCCTTTTTCTAAATAATGCTTTTCATTTGATCATTTAGTTCCGTACCTTCGAATCAAGCTTCTCAGTTTCTCTGACCATGTATTCCACCAATGAGCCATGAAATCCATCCATGGAGAAAGCATCTGGGTCATATGTATCTGCATTGTAACAGTATTGTGCTCTCTTCAAAAGGCTAAAGATTATGTCATCCTCTTGACGAATTAGAGAATGTCTTAAATTTTCAAGAGTCAGGTTTTCACTCCTATCAACCCTTTTCTTTGTTGGCATATATCTGCACCCAAGAGATAGGCTAGTTTTTTTTAAAATTTGATACAACAAAAATGGAAGGCAAAAGGGAGAGTATGCTTCTTAGAACCAACTAATTAACTACATGCAGATTTAAGGATGAAGAGATTTGTATAGGAAACTTAGCTTTACTAGTATAGCTGTAAGAGTGAGGACGAAAATTTATTGAAGTAGCTAAGAGTCTGAATAATTTCTCTTAGATTGTAAAGAACACCTTCGTCCCACTATAACCTTTTAACATTGTGAAGATAAAGTGAAAATGTCCTTATTCTAAGTTTCATTATTACTGGAGTCAGACATCATGAGTATCCACAAAAGAATGACCAAGTGCGCACTACAGAACAAGTAAAACTGTATACATACTTTGCTAAATAGATCGCAATGAGACCTCTTAAATTTAGACTCTGGCCTAACTCAATCTCAAAAGCTAATTCACAATGTGAAAATGTTTTATTTAACCTTCCTAAGCTCTTATTTGGTCCTATCTATAATTGACGAGGAACTTCAACACACCCTAGCATACACCACTGTGCTAACCCTTTGGGTTCTCACAAACACCACTTGACAAAAAGAAATGAAACTGATGGCATAACATCGATCATATTATAAAAATAAGGACCAACGCTATTGTTTTAATGGTCTTGATTGAGTATATCAGTATATGGATTATGCAACAAGTTCAATTGCAGGGCTATTGCTAGCCCTCAAACTTGAATGAACAAAAATGTAATTTTCACAATGGTTAGCAGCTACATGTAAGATTATACACATCACATGTCAATACATTAACTATGAATTGAATATCCAAGAGGCCAAAGAGTACACACCCAGAGGAAGTGGGAAAAGCCTGAAGAGAAAGACCATGTTTTTTAGCATAACATGAAGTGGGGTTGAAGGGAAAGCCAACCTTGTGCATCAATCCAAGCTTAGCCTCCATAGAAAAGACAGAGGAAAAAAAGAATATGTGATAATAAGAATGAGAAATTGTCAAATAGAGCAGCAGCATCAACATTAACAATTATAGCATGGTTCCCACTTACGTACCAAGTTTAATAATCTTAAAGTAAATTTTACTTACAATAATAACAGAATATGTGACAAACTTATGATGATGTGTTTGGTGCTTTGGCGGCGTTGATTGGTGAGGTCTTCTTGGAAACAAGCTAATGTGTGTGGTGATACGTGTTGTATTTGGATTGGTAACTATGAGTCTTTGAGATAGATTCATGCACTATAACATTCTGTTTCTGACTCTTGTCAAGGACAAATGATGCTAGATATTTAAGTGAGGTTAATTTCTCTTGTCAAAATTGTTTACATTGAGGTGACAACCAGCCTAATGACACTTATATTAAAATAATGGAGATTTGCATTGATTGTCTTGAATTTGATTGCATTATATAAATACATATGTACATGCACGGATAATTTAGATAGAATAACTATAATTTTATAAGAGAATTCTATAATAATTTATACAATACTCTTCTTTTTACATCTTTCCATCATATTATTTATTTTATCACGTATTTCTCTCTTTTCTTTTTCATATATCTATCATATGAATCGTTGTATAAAAATAATTTTTTTAACGAGATCTCATTTAGATATAAATACATATTTTAATTTGCATTTTGAATTATCTATAATTTACTTTTAATTTATCTCTATTTAATATAATAAAATATTTATTTTTATATAAATTTATAAATTTTAAAATAATTATAAATATATTTAAAAATTCTTATGTATTTAAATTTATTTTAATCTGATAATATTCATGTAATATACAAAAAAAAAAAAATCATCAATAATTTTAAGTTGTACAAGAACAATGAAGAAGAAAAACAAATGAAAGAAATTTTAAAAGGAAGAGAACATATTACTAGTTAGGGAGAAAGCAAGAAGAGAAATAAAGAAATCTAACGTTTTATAGTTTATTTTAATATTCAATAAGTTTTAATATAATATAAAAAATAAAATTACAAATAATTTTATTAAAAATATACAATAAAAATTTTAACTATTACATACTTTATTTACTTCTTGTCATATTTATTTTACTCATTTAAAATAATATTTTTTCTATTCTTTATTTTAATTTATTCAAAATTTAAATAAAATATTTTGATTTCAATTCTAATTATCTCATTTCCCTCCTCCATATATCATCCAAACACACTGAAGCCAAGCCATTATCATAAGCGATATGAGAAACAGTGTGAGCTGAAGCATTGTTGTTGTTACCTGGAAGTGATGCAAATGCAAGCAACGATAACAGGGCGAGTACCCACGTGGTTCTCACGCCGAAGACTCCTCGAAGAGAAGCTCTCTGAACTCCACAAGTGCACCAACATCGACACGGTCAACCAAATCCATGCCCAAATCCTCAAAGCCAATCTCCACGAAGACCCTTTCGTCGCTCCCAAACTCATCGCCGCGTTCTCCCTCTGCCGCCACCTCACCGCCGCCGTCAACGTCTTCAACCAAGTTCCTTATCCCAACGTTCACTTGTTCAACTCCATCATCAGAGCCCACGCTCTCAACAACTCTCCCCCCTTCAACGCTTTCTTCCAAATGCAGCGAAACGGCGTTGTACCTGATAATTTCACATACCCTTTTCTCTTAAAGGCTTGCAATGCCCCATCCTTGCTTCCTTTGGTCCAAATGATCCATGCCCATATAGAAAAATTTGGTCTTGATGCGGATATTTTCGTGCCTAATTCGCTTATTGATTCATATGCTAAGTGTGGGAGTGTGGGGCTTGATGCGGCGATGAGATTGTTTTTGATCATGGAGGAAAGGGATGTTGTGACTTGGAATTCTATGATTGGTGGGTTGGTTAAAGGTGGTGAATTGGAGAGTGCTTGTAGGCTGTTTGATGAAATGCCTGTGAGGGATTTGGTTAGTTGGAACACCATGTTGGATGGGTATGCTAAGGCGGGGGAGATGGAGAAGGCGTTTGGGTTGTTCGAGAGAATGCCTGAGAGGAATGTTATCTCGTGGTCGACGATGGTTTGTGGGTATAGTAAGGCTGGGGATATGGTTATGGCTAGGGTGTTGTTTGATAAGTGTCCTGTTAAGAATTTGGTGATTTGGACGACGATAATATCTGGGTATGCCGAGAAGGGGCTTGTAAGGGAGGCGACAGAATTGTATGAGAAAATGGAGGAAGCTGGGGTGAAGCCTGATGATGGATTTTTGTTTAGCATTTTGGCTGCATGTGGCGAGTCTGGAATGCTCGGGTTGGGGAAGAAGATTCATGAGTCTGTTCGGAGGTGTAGGTTTAGGTGCAGCACTAATGTGTTGAATGCGTTTATTGATATGTATGCGAAGTGTGGTTGTTTGGATGCTGCCTTTGGTGTCTTTTGTGGAATGATGGCGAAGAAGGATGTGGTGTCTTGGAATTCCATGATACAAGGGTTTGCCATGCATGGACATGGTGAGAAAGCACTTGAGCTTTTCTCTAGGATGGTGAACGAAGGTTTTGAGCCGGACAAATATACATTCGTTGGCCTTTTATGTGCTTGCACCCATGCAGGCCTTGTTGATGAAGGGCGCAATTACTTTTATTCAATGGAGAAAGTGTATGGGATTGTTCCTCAAGTTGAGCACTACGGTTGTATGATGGACCTACTGGGCCGCGGGGGACACCTAAAAGAAGCTTTCATGCTTCTGCGCAGCATGCCTATGGAACCAAATGCCATTATATTGGGTACTCTTTTGAACGCTTGTCGGATGCATAATAATGTAGATCTTGCAAGAGCTGTGTGTGAACACCTATTTAAGCTGGAGCCATCAGATGCTGGGAATTACACCCTTCTGTCAAATATTTACGCTCAAGCAGGTGATTGGATGAATGTCGCCAATGTAAGGATACAAATGAAGAATACAGGAGGACAGAAACCTTCTGGGGCAAGTTCCATAGAGGTAGAAGAAGAAGTGCATGAATTTACAGTATTCGATCAGTCACACCCTAAATCAGATGATATATATCAGATGATCGATAGACTGGTACAGGACCTCAGGCAGGGTGGATATGTTCCAATGATACATCAATTGAGATGAATGGTAATCATTCGTTACATCAATCTGCACAGATGAAATGATGCTTCAAGAAATGAATATGACAACTTAACTGTACAAATTGCTGGTTTACTAATAACAAGTAAAGAAATCATTGTATTCATTTCTACCACTGGTTTAGCAGAATAACAAAGTTGTATGGATGGCTGAGCCTATGTTTACGATGCAAGCATCCTTCATTCCTACTAACGCTGGCTGGAGCACTTTTGTAAAGCCTTTGTAAAGAGAAAATGGTCATGTCTACTACTTAATCTAAAATGAAGCTCTGCTTCACATATATATAATGGTTAGCGATTACACACTTCATTTCTCTCTCCCGGTTGTTGACATGTCACCAATCCAAACCTATTTATTATACTTGAGACATTTACTTGGTGAGGTTATTCCAATGCTACTTGTTATCTCTAATTTGCACGCCACTCTACGTTTGACATTTGTGTTTCTCTCGGAGCTAACTTCTTTCAGCCCTTCCTCTTTTGTATTTATCTTTGTCTCTTTTGTATTTATCTTTGTCCATTTCTCTCATGATTGGGTGGGAGTTTTTGGAAGGAAAGGGAGAGAGAGACATTTTTTAATTTTAAATAAGAAAACTATATATTATTTATGATAATAAATTTATTATTAATACATTTAGTTTATGTTAATATATCAATTTGTATATTTTATTTTGAAAAAAAATATTAATTTTAAACATTTATTTAAAATTAAAAATTTGTCCTCCTTTCCTCTTCCAATATCTGAAAGATATCAAGAATGACTAATGAAATGAAGTTTTTTTTTTTTAATTATGAAAAGGAGGTCTTGAAAGGGGAAACTTTCAGTCAAGTGGGGACTGCTTTGGATGCAGCCCAAAATTCAATCTTGGATTTAAATTTTGTTCTGGCCAGCGTCCGTAGAGTTGAGAGTTATTGTATTATTTCCTTGTGATGTATGTTGCTCAGTTTTGGCCTTTTTAGCCTTGGTCATTATTGGGCTTTGATCAGTGGATCCTTCAATAACATTAAGTGGGCTGGGAAATGGGGGCATAATAAATCTGAAAGAAAGAAAAGGACTGAAATCATTACCAAGTAAATTTTTCTGTGCAATATCATAAATGACTAATTCATTGTAATTGAAGTTGCCTAATTGACCCTTCGGTGTAACTTGGGTAGTTTAACCATGATAAAACCCAAATTACAGAGTTATCCCACAAAAATAGCCTTCTCAATAGTTTAATGCTGCCCATGATGTTTTTAAATCTTTGAATGCCACGTGTCCCTTTCTATAATGTCGAATATCCACAAGTTTAAAATAATTTCAACATTGGAAGTTACTGCGGAAACAGGTAAGTGGCATAGAACTTGACACATCATCTAAAAAGGTTTTGATCCATCCAATACCCACAAATAAAGTTCCGAGTAGCACTATGTGTTTGTCGTCCTATGTGGCATGCGTCAAAGTTTATCCATTGGCCCATACTTTTAAGACACCCAACTTGGATGAGATGCTATTGTGCAAAGACCAAATTTTGAGATGTAGATACCGTACAATACGCTTTGTGGTGCACATTAAACCTCATTTCACATTTATACATATTCCACCAAACTCTCATCACTTTACCCTCATCTGGTGAAAGAAGGAACTCTGGTAACATGGAAGCTTGTTTTCTCTCTCACAATTCCTTCACCAAAACCACAGATCAACTCATACCCACACTCCGAAATGGCTCTCTACCATATCCAAAGAGATCTTCTCAACAATTCCAGTGTAGAAAAGTTAGAATTCCATCTCCTATATCTTGTGAGTTCTTCACTTTCCTCTCCTCTTTAAAACTAGTCTATGTTTGGTTCACCTTATTTTTATAAATACTTATTTCTAGGTTCCTAAGATTATTATTATAAAAAAAGTGATTATTTCTCTAAAATTAAGCTGGCTCAAACATGCTATAATAACTATATTCATTTTCTAGTTTATGGTGAACAGAAATGTTTCATTGTCTTCAGAGCTAGTATTTTAATCTTGCAAACTTTGTCATCCAATCACAGGCTGCCACATATCATCTCCATCACCGTTGGATGATGACAAACCGAGCCTGAACGGTGATTGGCGATCTTTCCGTGCAAAATTGGTGGCCAGAGAGCAATTGCTGAGGCCTGAGGAGGCTTCTTCAGTGAGTGATCTAGACACTGTTGTGGATCACTCTCCACTCATCAGCATGGGTGATAAATGGGCCCACATAATCCATGAGCCTGAAAAGGGTTGCTTACTAATTGCAACTGACAAGCTTGATGGGGTTCATATTTTTGAACGGACAGTGATCCTTCTTTTATCAACCGGCCCATTAGGCCCATCAGGGATCATACTCAATAGACCATCGTTGATGTCCATCAAGGAGACAAGATCAACGGCTCTTGATGTGGAGGGCACGTTTTCTAACAATCCGTTGTTCTTTGGTGGGCCTTTGGAGGAAGGGTTGTTTTTGCTGAGTCCAGAAGAGGGTGGTGGTGGTGATGGGGTGGGAAAGAGTGGGGTTTTTGAAGAGGTGATGAAGGGGTTGTATTATGGGGCAAGAGAAAGTGTGGGTTGTGCTGTGGAAATGGTTAAAAGGAATGTGGTTGGGCTTGGAGATTTTAGGTTCTTTGATGGGTATTGTGGGTGGGAGAAAGAGCAATTGAAGGATGAAATAAGGGCTGGTTATTGGACTGTGGCTGCTTGTAGCCCAAGTGTTGTTGGGCTTGGGAGTGTTGGAAGTGTTGGGCTCTGGGATGAAGTTCTTGGGCTTATGGGCAGAAGGAAGGTCAAATGAGGCAAAACAATAGGTGCAAGAATTTGACCAAAAATATCATGGTGCGATAAAATATGATGAGCTCTTAGACTCAAAACTAGTATGAGTTGCCACAGAAACTCCAAAGTCAAGTGAACTTGTTATGAGGCTCTGAAAATTTGATGGCATAAGAAACTTGATTGTGGGATTTGGTTAAATTCTTGTGAGATGTAAACGTTGTAAATTATAATTATTTTCCTACTTGTGTTCTTTATGTGCCTAATTGCCGTGTTTAGTTTTTTGGTGATGCTAAGGTGTGAGAATTTTGGTTTCTTCTCGGTTAAAATTTCTATTCTATCTTAAAGTAAAGGTAAACGTGCGTGAGGAAAAAAAAAATTTATACGGAAGCTAAAACTCACTGAGGGAACTTAGTGTAGACAAAATTTGGGTTTTTTTAAAATTAAAATTAGAGTCTTATTTTAATTATCGAGATAATATTATAAGTGCAAAACATGACAATTTTCGTAATAACAATGGCAAAAGGACAACTGAATTGTGTTTTGTTTAGATTATCTCCAACGCCGGCGATAAAACCTATGATTTTATCAGGAAGAACAATACTTGATGTATTAATATTAACTATACCATTTCACAGTTGCGTAATAATTTGATAAATTTCATAATTAGAACACATCTAAAAAGAAGTAAATTTTAGTAAAATAAAAGCATTATTATATTAAAAAATACAATAAAAAAATAAATCTCGTTATTTTATCAACTAATGTGAAACAATTAGAGAAAAATACATTTTTCATTAAATAAGAATTCATCATAATTAATTGTAAAAAGTGTTGATTAAATTTAATAAATTTTATATTTTTTCTCACACAATTTTATTCAATAAAATAAAATAAAATAAATCTTAACTATTTTATACAGGCAAGTGAGTCATCAACATTCAACGATCGTTTAATTGTGAGACAGGTGTGAAGGTTTCATTTCATTGAAAACCTCACTTGCTCTTTTCTCAACTCTCTGCAACTTCAAGAAGTGAAACGCCGAAATGGAAGGAGAAGAGCAACGAAACGCGAATCCCAACGAAAACGATGGTCATTTCGACATCATAATCCTTGGAGCCTCAGGTTTCACAGGCAAATACGTTCTCAGAGAAGCACTTAAATTCCTCAACACCCCGACCTCGCCGCTCAAATCCATAGCCCTAGCAGGCCGGAACCGCACCAAGCTGGCCCAAACCCTCGAATGGGCCGCGCGGCCCAACGTGCCGCCCACACTCCCCATTCTCACCGCCGACACCAGCGACCCGTCGTCACTGCGGGCCCTATGTGGGCGCACGTCACTCCTTCTCAACTGCGTGGGCCCATTCCGCCTCCACGGCGAGCCCGTGGTGGCGGCCTGTGCTGAAGCGGGCTGCGACTACCTGGACATCTCGGGCGAGCCCGAGTTCATGGAGCGCATGGAGGCCGGGTACCATGAGCGGGCTTTGGAAACGGGATCGCTGGTGGTTTCGGCTTGTGGGTTCGATTCGGTTCCGGCGGAGTTGGGCCTGATGTTGAATTCGAGAGAGTGGGTGGGCCCCGCTGTGCCGAATCGGGTGGAGGCTTACCTGAGCTTGGAATCGGAGAAGAGGATTGTTGGTAACTTCGCCACGTACGAATCCGCGGTTCTGGGTGTTGCCAATGCACACAGCTTGCAACAACTCAGAAGGTCCAGACCCAGAAAACCTCGCCCTCTGGTATGTAATTTTTCGACTCTCATTTATTGTTGTATTGGTTTAAAACTTGTGCTTGTTGAGTGTTTTGTACCTTTAAATTGGTGGGTAAGAGACAAAAATTGGTTTGTTTTTGAGGTGGAAGTGAGACGATGAGGATAAATAAAAACTTTCTTTTTCGTGTGTGTGTAAGATGATTATATTGTCATTGCATTTATCTGTTGTGTTTGGTCGGATTGGTTTGGTTTAAGACCAGTTCCATGTGGGGAGAACTATATAACCTAGTACCAACTACCAACTGCGGATAGTTACCTCATTGAAGACATCGTATGCAACCCAAAGAGCATATAAAGTCTACTATATGCTGGGGAAATAACAATTATCATAGGTTTAGTTTATGGACTCGACAAGAGAAGTTCTTTCTGTTATTAAGAGAAATGTGATTTCCGAATGTCCCTCCAAGAGTTGTGTAAGCCATATGAATGAGACTTACGCAGGTATTTTATTTAAATGTTGCTTTTTTAATTATTGTTACCTGTGCAAATACTTGGTAATGGGAAATATGCTGTCACATGAAGGTACGCACACATATTTTCAATATTGTGTTGTGTCATTTATCAAAATTTTTTTTCATGGTTGTAGATTCCTGGACCCCCTCCTTCAAAAGGAGAAACTATAGAGAACCAGAAGAAAGTTGGTCTTTGGGCAGTAAAGCTACCTTCAGCAGATTCAGTGGTGGTTCGAAGAACACTCGCAATTCTAACAGAAAACCCTCGTGGTCTTCCCGGCCTGAATGAGAGTGCTGAGATGGTTGAGAAAAGGGAAGCTTTCTGGTCATCTGTAAAGCCAGCTCATTTTGGTGTGAAAATAGGCTCAAAATCTTTGTTGGGCATTCTCCGAATCATTATGGTTGGAGTTTTCATTGGCCTTTTAGGAAGTACTGGTTTTGGAAGGTGGCTTCTTCTGAAATTTCCTTCAGTATTTAGCCTTGGTTGGTTCAGGAAGAAGGGTCCTTCCGAAGAGGAGGTGGAAAGTGCTTCCTTCAAGATGTGGTTTGTTGGGCATGGTTTTAGTAATGAAAGGCTTGCTTCTCAGGGAAACACAAAACCTGACATGGAAATTATAACAAGAGTAATGGGACCTGAAATTGGATATGTCACCACACCAATCATTCTTATTCAGTGTGCTCTTATTCTTCTCAGCCAACGGAACAACCTTCCAAAGGGTGGAGTTTACCCTCCTGGGATTATATTTGGTCCAACTGATCTCCAAGACAGACTTCAACAAAATGGAATATCCTTTGATATCATCTCAAAAAACACTATTTCTTCTTGACTGTTATATGTTCAAACAACTTTGAGCATGTTTGATTTTTATTTTAAAATAGTTTTTTTTTAATTTTTAAAAGTAAAATACAATACAAATTTATATTGTATTTTAATTTTAAAAATAGAAAATTATTTTAAAAATAGAAATCAAACGTACTTTTAATTATTATAACCACGGTATTTGTTTTATTTGACCAATTTTATACTATACTATAGTTATACCAATATTTGTGGCTTTATACATCTCACTGTAGCCATGGCTTCACCTTACTCCATGTCTCTCTCTCTCTCTCTCTCTCTCTCTCTCTCTCTCCCCTCTCGTTGAGACCGAAGGAGCTGTCCTTGCTCATTTACTTTTGTCTCGTGACAGTGCAGAAAACAGTGCGTAGAAGGGGATAAGAAGAAAGTGTACCCAGCAACATAGCTGCATTGAATATGCTTATACTGACCTTTTATATTTGCATGTGTCAAAATACAAATTTATTTGATTATTTAAAAAGTGGTAAAAATGATATAAGAGAATTAATGTGCTCTTCATTGGAATGCCAAATCTATTACTGAAGTGATTTATTAAATCTGTATTTGAAAATACGTTAAAATAAACATGAATTATCTACTGTTTTGAGCGAGAATTTAAATTCGCACTTATTTGTAATATTCCATCACTCCGAGTGAAGAGAAAACACGACAAACAACTTGAAACTTAGAAAATCCAGAATGCTTTCCCAAACTCTCAAATTGTTTCTCTGTTCTTTCCCTTCCACCAGGTGTAATAAACATGATGTTATCAAGAATTGAGATCACTTTATATTCTTTTGTAGGTTCTGGCTCTTCTGGCAGTATGAAATCCCCAACAATGACCTTCCCATTTGGTGGCAAAGCTTTGTGACAATTGCTTAAAACTTCTAAGCATTTTTCATCCGACCAATTATGGCATATAGCCTGGAACAATGTTATCCACGAAATTTGATTAGTACTCTCTATTATTGAGACAATTTGATCTAGTTATGAAGAAAGGCTAAGGCCTATAAAATAATCAAACTTTTCTGAGAAGTTAAAATTAACCTTTACTTTTTTAAAAGGTCTCTTATTTAAATTATTAAAACTTATGAAGACAAATCATTTTTAATTTATAAAAAAAATATATTATTTTTCTTTATAAATACTTATACATAAGTTCATCCACTCTGAGTCTAATTGAAATTAAGTCATAAGTGTATATTATACTAACCTTTAGTATTATGGCATCACCCTGTGGAACACCTTCAAACATATTCCCTCCAATGTGCTCAATCCCTAAATGAAACATATTTTATTATTAACGATTTCATGAAGATTTAAAATGTAGAACTGGTCAGTATGTATCATTTGAGTATTGATTACCTGGAAGGGATGGTGCGTTTTCAATCACATGTGGGAGGTCAAAATTAATCCCCTTAATTGAAGGGTATTTGGTGATAATCATTTTGAGACATTGTCCAGTTCCCCCACCTACGTCAACTAAAGTTGATATGCCCTCATATCCTGTGTATTCTCCAAGTATTTTTTTCATATGAGTTGTGCATATGTCATCCATTGCTTTGTTAAATACGTGATTTATCTCTGGGTCTTTCCCAAAATACTCGAACTTGGACATTCCATGAACTTTCTTGAATAAGTCTATCTCAGGATCAATAACAACTTCCTTAAAATTCAGCCTATGTTACACCAAAGATAACTTCAATATATACAAGTTACTAACTGATGATTCACTGCGATATATTTGTGAATCATTATCCTCATTTTAAAATTTCTAAATTACTTAAAAATAAAATCAGAACAAACTTTTAGGTCACTATTCCCGCCAATAATTATTAGGTCAGTCTCATGATAATACCTTGGAAACTAACTATAAGAAAAAAGGCAATTTGATTGGTAATAAAAACACCCTTAAATTCTATTAAAATATAAAGTTCACCTAATAACTGATTACAGGACTTCTCTTTGAGTCAATTAAACGTATTAGCTTAATAGTCAATCAAAACTAAGAACTATAATTATGTCTAATTTTAAATTTAACTGTTATTTGCAAATTTTCTAATAATTTACTTTGTACAAATTTTTACATTGTAACTATTTTTTTTAATATATGCAACATTGCACAGATAAGAGGTTGTACATAGCAATACATTAAATTGCATTAAATGGTGTAATTTTTGATAAAAGTTTACTACTCGTAACTTCTTATCACTTATAATATTGCATAAATTAAAAAAAATCAATTATAAATAATGATATTAAGCATAGTAAAAACACTTACCATACTTCTAACAACACACGGTGACACAGAAATGATGTGAATGAGGCGAGGTAACCATCACCATTTTCATCAGAGACGAAATATTTACCAGATGATGAGATCCCATAAACTCTCACCATGCTACCATCTTCATTGGTGCGAGTGGAAACAGTAAGGAGAGAGTAGCTAGCAAGCAAACGTAACATACGATCAAGCCTATTTGGCAAATCAGTGTGTTGAGTTGGTAACTTGGAAGCAATTTCAAGGGGTGACATGAATCCACTACTCTCAGGTGAGCTTTCCTTTGCAATGATCTCAAACAAGTTGAGCTGAATTGCAGCATTAAGAGCTGCAGGAAAAACCACATTGGAACCAAGCACCATGGCTAAGAGGACGACATCAGTGTCATCTCTTTGTGAGGTATGGTTCTCTTTTTCTAAGGAATAGGAACCCATATTTATTTAATTTCGCTTAATATAGTTTATGTGATCTTCGTTTTTTTCTCTTCTAGTGTGCGTTTGATTCCCTTTTGTGCTGTGTTTTTATAGGCATATTTGGCACTTGTTAACAGCTATACATTAAAGTATATCTAAAATTCTTAAAATATTTAATATAATTATATTTATTAAAATTTATATTTAAAACAATAAATTAACTTGAAACAATCTCGATTGATTCATGTGTTCATTAGTGAAAACATAAATTATTTTTAATTTAAAAAAATTATGTATATTTTTTATTTATTTTCTTTTCTTATAAAAATTCTTTAGAAATTTATTCTAATAAAAAAAATATATCGATTGGTGGTTTTTAACTTTTTTTCTCCTTTGTTTCTCGTGGGGATAACGTATACTTTTACCTTCAACTCTTCATAACACTAATTGTTCTAACCAGCTTTTAATTAAATAAAATACTAATTAAATACATTGAGTGGCTGACCTCAAGGGATCACGGGTAGCCACTACAATATATATACGTGATTGGATCACTTTATTAATTTTTAACATACTATAAACCTATAATTTTACTACCTAATATATATATATATATATCCAATTCAAAAGCTTCTTACTCTCTACCGACTCTTAACAACACGAGTAGTGTTTTTTTTTTTTTTTTCTGGAACAATTTTAGAATAACACCTTTATCTCTTTAATTTTTTTTTTGTAAACTATAAAATTTAAGTGAGAATAAAAATAATATATTCAATATCAAATAAGATATCTAGAATTTGGTATATATTCAATAATATAGAAAAGACAAACATAACTAGTAGTACAGTTTTTCACCAACCATTTCATAGAATAATAGTCAACCTAACCTTGTACACGTACATGATAGCCGTGTATTTAAATATAAAAGATTAGGTAAACATTTTAAATATTTTTAACTAATTTCCTAGTTTTATTTTAGAAATCTTGTACCCGATTTAATTTGAAAACCAAAATTATTAGATTAATTATATTATTTTATTATGTCTATAATGATTAAAAATAACTTTTTTAAAATATGAATTTTTTGTAATTTATATTGATTTTATAAGTTATATTATTGTTATGTCGTATCTTATATTATAATATGACTTATATTCATAGTTTCTAATTCAAAATTTATATATTTACTTTTGATCCCTTCTTTTTTAACATATTTTTATCAACCAGTGCTTAATTAAGTTTAACTAACTTTTATTTAGTTTTTGCAAAAAATTATCATTGACAACAAGAAGTGAGATCGTTGTAGCGTTTTATTTACCCTACTAGTCCTGGTCATACAACTTTGATTCATGGCAAATGTTTTTTTAGAGAAATTACACATTCACATAAAATTTATGAAATCCTAACTAAATAATATAAAATAAACTAACTTTGTGTATATACATGTGTGTGTGTGGGTTAGTTTTCAAACATAATAAAGTCAAAATGAAAATATCAAAAGGTAGGTGAAAACCTGCGACTTGTATTCTCCATAATCATTAATTTATTACATCAAATCCCAGATTACAAGATTGCCTGAATACATTACATCACGAAAACTTGAGAAACTGTCAAGCCTGACATTTATATAGCTTCAAAGTAAAAGAAAAAGAAAACATCGTAAAGAAAACATAAAAACAGAAATGGTATTTATATAATAATTTATTGCATCATATTTACACCACATTTATTCAGAAAACTAAGGATAACATAGATATAGACAAAGAAAAAGTGGTGTAAAATGATGTAATAAAAATCATATATAAATAGCAATTAATACTCAACGTTGAAATGGGAAATTACTGTGAATGAGATATACTTCATTTGTAAAGCTCCATCACTCCCAAAATAGAGAAAGCGCAACAAGCTACTTGAAGCTTAGAAAATCCAGCACGCTTACCCAAACTCTCATACTGTTTCTCAGTTCTTTCCCTTCCACCAGCTGTAATAAACATGATGTTGTCAAGAATTGAAATCATTTTAGATGCATCTGTTGCTTCTGGATTTTCTGGCAGAACGAGCTCCACGATTATGACCTTCCCATTTGCTGGCAAAGCTTTGTAACAATTTCTCAAAATCTCTACGCACTTTTCATCCGACCAATTATGCAATACAGCCTAGAACAATTTTCCAGAGATACAAAATATTTTGGTTAGCATTTTACGTTGAAATATAAACTGTAATTTTTAACTTTTTTTTAAATAGAAAATGTATAAGTTGATTTTATTATAGTAACCTTTAGGATGATGGCGTCACCCTGTGGGACGCTTTCAAACATATCTCCTCCAACATGCTCAATACCTAATGAAATTTGACAACTTTGCATTAGTGATTATGGAAAAAATAAACAAATTGTGACAAGATATAGATAGGTGAATTAATTATTTACCTGAAAGGGGTGGTGCGTGTTGAATCACTTGTGGAAGGTCAAAGTTGATAGCCTTAATTGATGGATATTTGGATACGATCATCTTGAGACTTTGTCCATTTCCACCTCCTACGTCAACCAAAGTTGATATTCCCTCATATCCTTTGTATAGTTGAAGTACTCTTTTCATATGGGTTGAGCATATATCAGTCATTGACTTGTTAAATACGTGGTTTATTTCCGGATCTTTTCCGAAGTATTCATACTTCGATATGCCATTAACTTTCTTGAATAGATCGATTTCAGGATCAACAACTGCTTCCTTAAAGTTCAACCTATATTACAGCAAAGATATTTCTTATATATAGCGACTAAATTTTTGCAATTAATATATAAATTGCGTGACTAATACTTCATGACATGAAATAAATTGACTGTCACAGCATATTTAAATTCATATTTAAATTTAACCTAATAAACGAGTCAATTGTACGCTTTGTCCCCATTAATTATTAAACAGCTTCTACTTCTTGTTAAAAGAAAACAGTTTTAACTTGTTCTTGTTTATTCTAAGTATATTTTAAGTTGTGATATTTAACGTGCGTCTAAGAATACATACTAAAAATAATAAATAGTAAATTTTTATTGAAATTTGTAACATTTAATGTTATCAATGTATTAAATTTAATGATATTATGTATTCTTTTTAATAAAAACTTATTATTCATGCATCATTATTGTATCTTGAACATGCGTTAAAAAAATCGTTTAATTTATAGGCCTTTGTCCCTGTTCATATACCAACAAGCTATTTGTAAAACATGAAAAATATAAAAATTGTTTAACTTACTGCAATATCTTGTTGACTTTGCTAATAGTAGTACTTATATAATATCAACGTGAAAAATATTAAAATAATATTTTTATTTTAAAAAAATTATTTTAAAATTTTCCTCTTGTTCTTTAAAGGTGATGTTAACAACTGATTATTTATAACGAGTAAATAGCAGGCTTGTCCCTATTTATTAAACAGCTTCAAATTTGTCTTCCTGTTAGCTTTCGTTGACAAATGTCTTCTTCACATGTTAATCAATCACGTTGAGAAAAATAATAAAATAAAGGAGCAATTTTTTTAGACGTATATTAAAGTTATTTTTATCTTGATAATTCATGATAACATTAAATGTAAAAACTTTTTATAAAAGAAAAAAAACTCTAATTTTAATTCAAAAAGAATATCACCAAAAACACTTACTATAAACTACACGTGAATTTTGTGCCATGAAAAACCCATCTTTGCGTACCCACACAAATGTTATATAATATATGCACTTGGGTTTTATTTGACAAATTTTGTAAAAATTATATTGTATCTTGTAAACGATGATATGAATTAAGCATATAGTAAAAACACTTACCATACTCCTGACAAGGCACGGTGACAAAGAAATGATGTGAACGAGGCGAGATAGCCATCACTATTTTCATCATCGACGAAATATTTACCAGCTGGTGAAATCCCATAAACCCTCTCAGTGCTACCATCCTTATTGGTGCGAGTGGAAATAGCAAGAAGAGAGTAACTAGCAAGCAGGCGAAGAAAACGGTCAAGTCTATTTGGCAAGTCAGAGTAGTGTTGGGTTGTTAACTTTGAAGCAATTTCAAAGGGTGACATGAAGCCACCACTTTCTTTTGTGCTTTCCTTTGCAATTATCTCAAACAAGTTGAGCTGAATTGCAGCATTAAGAGCTGCAGGAAATACCATATTGGCACCAAGAACCATGGCAAAGAGGGTATCACTATCATCTCTTTGTGGGGTGGCACCGTCCACCACCACATGGTTCTCTTCCATTGTAGAATATGAACCCATATTTGTTTCTTTGGTTTATAAAATAGTGTTGCGTGTTTGTGATCTTTTAGTGTCTCTTGTGGTGGTGTGCTTTTGCTTCCCTTACTTGTGCTGCTTTTATAGGCAAATTTTGCCACTTGTAAGCAGTAACCACTCCCTGTACCTCAATAAAATTTCTTGCTTTTTTCCCTATCAATTTGCATGGTGGTCCCTTTGTTGTTTTGTTTTTATTATTTTTTTAAAATAATCTCAACAACTCCAATGCCCATTATTATTTAAAGAGGAAGAATATCAGCGTATTCTTAACACATTTTTTTTATACTTTATAAAGTTTTTAAAAAGTTAAAATAATTATCAGAGAGTTATCTAAATATTTTTTAACTTGTTAAAAAGTTGATCGATTGCAAAGATTCTGTTCAACAGTGTATCATTAGATTTTGTTTATTCAAATAGAAAGTCTTATTAATTAGAATCAGTAATCAATGTCTTTAAGAAATTAATTATATAATTAATAAATTTTATTAAAAATTAGATAAAATATAATAAAAAATTCTGATAAAAATACATTCCTATTTTTTACAAATAGAAAACTGTTTCTAAAAGAAAATTCAAACACACTCTTAAATATTCACATTGGGTTGATGACTTCAAGGGACATAGCAACAACCACGATATATTATTATGGTTATTACGTATTAACTGGAATACTTTATTTGTTTATACCACCAAACCTGTGCTTATACTTGAGTAACAAAGCCATGGTTTTCAATATGCGCTTGAGACTTCGTCAATGGGACATTCTTATACGAGAAAGCAATTCAACTATTACAACTAATAAAAACTTAAAATATGATAAAATAATAACAGATAAAGACAACAAAGTCTTCAGCGAAATTAGTTTAAAACACTAACCAATTATCATTATTAATTGTTAATATTGCGTCATGTTATTAATATAAGTTTACCATGTCAACGAATTTGTTTATTTTGTTACTAAATAAGACTATACTAGCCGAGTCAATAATGACAACTAATATTTTCCTATCATCTTTTCTTTTATAGTTTTACTAATTATAATCGTGCAGATAATGCCGAACTGAATCGAAAACTGCTTCTTTTGTGATTAAACTCACACAAGGTTTCTAACTTTCTACGGTCCTTGACAATGCTTTTTAATTTTACCATGGTTGTGGTCATGACAAACAAAACAAGTTTCATTGTTACAATTGTAATAAAATTTTACATATGAATTGCAACAGTTGTCTATGGAATAATTAATAGCTTTAAGAAAGGTGACTGTGACTCAAAAATAAGCAAATTATGCATATTGATCGTATTAATTAATACACCCACAAACACGTTTATTAAAAGAACTGTTTTTTTTTACAAGTTTTTGACTCAGCCATAAAGAAAAAACACATTAGAACCTTTCAATATGTTTTTAGTATTTTGAAAATAAAATAATAAAATAATATAAATTTAACATATTAATTTTTACTGAATTGTTTATAAATATATATAGTATATAACTCTCATAATTTAAATTATATATTTATCTTTTTTAGAAAAACTAAATTCCAAACATTTCCTAAAAAGAAAAAACAACCAATACTCTAAAGAATTATTTAGTCACTATGGACAACCTACTAGTGGACTTGTACTATTGATGAAGGTTGGTGAAGATTTTTGTATTAATAAAACTAAACTTGTTAGGTAAATTTTGTTAATTAGTTTATTTGAGGCGCAGTGAACATGTTGGATGATAATGTGTTAACAATAATCTGTGCAGCAAACATAAAATGATATATAAGCTTGAAAAGTATACAGTTTTCAGTGGATTAACTTCTTTAATTATTAATTTGTTAAAAAAAAACTCATAAGAAATTTATAGGTGTTTATAGAAAAAGCTAGTTAGAAGAGAACATTAAAAATAAACAAATTAATTTTAAAAGTTGTTAATTACTGTTCCAAGAATATTAGTTCAATAACAACTAATTTTTATTTAAAATATGTAAAAATGTATAAAAATTAATGGTAAAAGTAGATTCATAATACTTTTTTTATAAAATAGTTTTAAAACCTTAAACACCATGAATGATGTAACTAATGACGCATTTCATATGTGAATTGCAAAAATAAAGAATATAATTTATACCAATTCTACGAACACGCACAGATGATGTAACCAGCTTCTACTGGAATGCGTAAATGAGATTATCGTTCCATTCATCTTTATTAATTATATATATCAACGAGATGGATTGTGGCTTATATCTAAGAGTAATAATAGGTGTTAAAATGGGAGGCTTCCTCTATATTTTGTTGGCCACATTTACCATTTTATAAGCTCTACTTAAGCTATTTGAATACAACTCTTCTTCTCACCATGTTTGAGAGCAAATACCACCAAAATATGGAAGACTTGCAACATAATTTTTCAAAGATTAATTTGCTAAATTAATTTACAAAGAAAAATTATTTTTAGACAACAAAAGTGTAAGTTGACTTATATATCTATTGCTAAATCAGCTAGCTTACTCTTTAATGATTCAATTTTGACTCGTTAAACATTTTATTAAACTTACTTATTTAATTAAATAAATAAATTTAAACAAAAAAAATTCAATTTTGATTATTTAACTGAGTCAAGTTCAAGTTCTGTGAGTATGATGTTAATAGCTCAAAATTAACTCACATGTTTATGTAATATTTAAAATTCATATACTTTATTATTTTAATTGTGTTTGTATTATTTATCTAATTTTAATTTTCAAAAGTTGTTAAAGTGACCATATTCAAAAAATTATATATACTACTTTCATTATTAAAAGAGTTATTTTTAATATTGCACAATTTTTAAGTAAATAAAGTTATATATAATTTTATTTTACTTTACTTTTTAGCGTAAAAACATTCATTGAATATTAAATTAATAAAACGTATTCAAAATTTATTAAAAATTATACACAAATCAATGAGTCAAATTTAAACTTTAAAAATATTGATTAAATTAAATTCAATCTTTAAATTTAATTTATTTAAATAAATACTTTAAATACTTGACTATTCTTTTAAGTTAAAATTTATCAAAACTTATATAATCCTACTTGTTTTCACTTTTGATATAATTATTATAACTCATACTTTATTATTATTATTATTTTAATAAAATTAAATAGTCAAAGTGAGAACCATCCCAGAAAATATTATATAAGAAAGCATCAATTAGGTGTAGACAAGTTCAAACAAATATAGGAGATTTTGAGCATGATTCAACGTTCTAAGAATGTTTCTTTCATCAAGTGAATCGAAGCGAATTACCTTGCACATTGTTTAATAAAATATGGAACCCACCAACAAGTTGACATCACCATTTGGGATAATTCACTTCCTTAATTGCATATCCTCTTATAATTATTTGATATGAGTTCTTTACTTCTTAAGTTCTTCCTTTATCTTTTTCTTTTTTTCATGCATTAAAATTTTAATTATTATTATTTAAAATAATATTTTCTTTTTCTAATATTAAAATATTCTCTGAAATCATTCAATTCAAATTGCCTTTTAAAAAATCACTAAATCCAAAATCATCCACCTCAAGTTAAATTTAAATATATCCATAAACTTTGGATTCATTCAATCTAAATTGCCTTTTATAAAAGCACTATTACATTTAAAGTGACCTCATTCATGATTTATTAAAAGAATCAGAATTTAATAATTTTAAAAATAAAATAATATTTTTATAATTTTAAAGATTAAATTAAACACTCATAATTTTAAGAATTAGGTTACACTATTTTAATTTTATTAAATCTTACTAATTTTAAATCATTAGATAGTTTAAATATATTTAAATTAAATAAAAATTTAACTTTAAAATACGTATGAGCATTAGATAAAGTGATTTTAGAAGTGTCTGAAACGGCATTTAGACCCTATTTCCTCATGAAACGTTTGAAAAGGCAGCGTGCCACGGAAGTCTTGCATGTTTGGTTTCGCGTTGTTCAGGTTATTGAAAAGGTAGACTTCTGCATCAATTTTTTTATTGTATTTATGTATTATTATTAAATAATTCTTTAATTTAAAAATTACTAATATTTTTTTAAGGACTTTTCTATGATAAAAAAGTATTAAGATATTTTTTATAATAAAAATAAATTATAAATTAATTAACTAATAATATTATGCCAGGAGCACCTGATACACTTCAAACTGAGAGCATATGAACAAACATTTTTTTTTTAAAATTAATAATGATCACAAATCGTATAATTTGTGATCATTATTAACAATAAAATATGCGTCGAGCCATTGATACACAGGAAAGGTCAACATATGTATGTCATATATTCGTTCCTATTTTCTTAAGGAAAAAATAATAGAAAGATATTTAAAAAGTAAAAAAAATTAAATAAAAATATCAATCAAATGAACTAATTTATCAAATATTAAATTAATTTTGTAAATGATATAATATACGAGTACATGAGAAAAATTTATATAAAATAATAAATATTTTATAAAATAACACATTTTAATATAAATTAAGTTTAATTTTTTAGAATAATGTTTTTATATTTTTAAAATTTTATTAATTTATTTCTATGGTTTTAGATTTTTTTACCATTATTATTTAATTAAAACTGTTATAAAAAATTAAATATTAAATATACATACATAAATATAAATATAATTTAATTAATATACTGAGTATTCATATTTTAATAGATTTTTTTATACATATCGCATCCAAGGCTCTTACCCTAACCGCTCATCACACTTCAGTGTTATGCTACATTGGTATGTTATCGGGAAAAAAAAAAAGGAGCAACAGCGGAACCGCAAATGAGTGCTTGCAAAACCCTCTCGTGTCTGTCACTCTCTTCTCCTCCGTCCTTGAAACGCACACACCCTCCCTTTCTCTCTCTCTCTTCCCTCATCCACCCAACTCTCACGCGCAGATGTTACACGTCCGAACTAAACGCTTCTTCGATCGAAGAATCAGAATCCCAATCTGCGAGTGTTCAACACTTCCTCACGAGCCCCGAAGGAGTGTCAACGCTCATGAAGATGGAACGAAAGCCTCTTCTCCATCAACCGCAGCGTCGATGGTTCCCTTACCTCGACACCTTCCGCTGCCGAAACGACTGCGTTTTGACCAGCGCCGAGGTCATCGACGTCCTCGCTCCTTGCATCTCTGAGGTTCGGAAGCAAAGGTTCGGACGCGTGATTAGGAACCGGAGCTACTCGGTTTGTCTGGTCGTCGAAGGACTCTGCGATTTCGGCAATGTCTCCGCCGCGTTTCGATCCGCCGACGCACTCGGCGTTCAGTCCGTTCACGTCGTGTCTTGTGACACCAACAAAAGGTGTTGACATTGTTGAGGTGAAATTTTAGGAGCACTTGGTTCTCATTTTTCAATACATTCCCAAAGGATTTGTCAAATGGATTTAATTATTTTTATTAAGATTAATGTGTCATAGTGTAATCATAATTCATAGAATATTATCGATGTAGATCTGTGAATGTGGATGTTATCGTTTGTTGCATTGATTTGAAATATTACAAAAGGTATGATAAAATGCTTGATTAGAGATTCGCATTGATCGTGAGGCATTATTTCGAGTTATGCACTGTGTTATTTGGACAATGATGAAACTGCTGTTGGGCGTTTCATTCTGATTTTGTGGTTGTCTAGTGTCTACCATAACTGAAGTTTAGAGAAAATGCTAATTGTTGCAGGTATAAAGATAATCGCCATGTAAGCATGGGTGCAGAGAAATGGTTGGACATTGAACTGTGGGACTCTACAAAGGAGTGCTTCAAAATGTTGAAATCACGTGGTTATCGAATTGCCACAACTCATGTGGGAATGGATGCGGTATGGTTTTTTTTTTGCTATTCTTTGTCGCCTGTGTTGCACTTTGTTGAAAATCAAACATGGCCAGTCCCAAGTCTGTATTTGATTAATATAAATCTCGAGGCTATTTTAAATCCTATTTTGTGCTATTTTTAAAATATGAGGATTGTGTTAGGCAGTTGACTGCCATCATAAAACTTTATCAAATCTCTACGGCATGTTATCCCCAGATAAATTGTGTGCAACAGTAATCATATCATATGTCAGTGACTGGTATTAAGTTGTTGATGATTTTTTTTTAGTCGTGTCTAATTAATATAAATCTGAAGGCAAAATGTTGAAAATCTTAAAATGACATGCAGTGAAGTTGACTCGCCTTTTCTTGTTGTGTGTAGGTTTCTATTCATGACTTAGACTGGTCCTGCCCAACAGCAATTGTAGTCGGGAATGAAAATAGGTTATTTCCTTCATTTTTGTGATGCTCAATGCTTATTTTTTGCATACCATTGGATATAGAAAAGTCCATGTAATGCCTTTCAAGATACAAGTGTGAGCTCAATGTAGCTGTCGCCTGTCATTTTTTCTTGTTTACTGAGTACTGACTTAGTAGTCAGGGAATCACCAACCATTTTGACATTTAAATAAATGTTATGTTCCTTGTAACATAGGTATTCTGCTCAGGTTTTTTATGTATTCAACAGTGGACGTGTTCTTGTTGCAGGGGTATTAGTGATGAAGCTTTGGAGTTGTCAGATTTGCACTGCTGTATACCAATGACAGGGATGGTGGACTCTTTTAATGTTTCAGTTGCTGCAGGAATCCTCATGCACCATGCTGTTTGTGATAGAATATCTCGTATGGTAATAATTTTAGTTATATATTTTATTTGGTGTGGAATGACACAAATCTGGATTTTACCTTTTTAATATTGATACTGTTGTAAATCCTTATGTTCAGTCTTTATTCTTTACTCTCAATCTGAATCAAAGTGCATACTTGATTTATACAAAAATTAGAAGAACTGAAAAAGCTGCTGCTCAGTGTTGTGCTCATAAGTTTGATTAATCTTAAAGGCTTAGATGAATTGATTTAAGTTTATCACAGAATTGCCTTTTTTCCTCCAAAGAAAAAATTAATTTCGATAGAGAGAGAGAAAAGGTACAAAAGGGGATGGGGGGAGACCGGGTATCCTCCTGAACCGAGAAACTAAAAGAAAACAATGAGCCAAAGAGGCTCATGAATTAAGTTATTCAAAAGGAAAGTAGTTGCATGTGTAGTATAATAATAATGGCCACTGTTTTGGAGTTAGATCTGCACCTAACATTGATGCGACTGGGCTTGTGAGTGTGCAACTTGTCTTTTGTTATTAATAATGTTGTGAACTGTTGTCCATACAAAATAATTTACACTACATTTTGTTTGGGAGGACGCGCAAGCAAATCGAAATTAAGTCTAGCACTTCTGTACAAATTGGAAAAAACAAGTTATTATACTATTCCTCCGATAAGAATTTTAGTTTCCAATTTTAATAATAGCAATCCAATTGCTACGCTGCTTTGCAACTGAGCATTTCTTTTCTCCATGAGATATTCCAACATTCTTTTAATCTACTACAAAGGCATCTATAAATGTACTTAGTGTAGCACCGTTTTTGTTTCTTTTTAAAATATTGCCTAATTAAAGAACGAAACAAGTTCTATTGTTCAAACAAGTTTACGTAACATCAAACTCTAGTGCAGTTTTATAGTTTGATTTTTATCAAATTTTGCTACATGCCGTTTGACATTTAGCGGACTGAATTTTCCTAAACATTTGCAGGGTCGTCATGGAGACCTGACAGTAGAAGAATGCCAAATTCTACTTGCAGAATTTTCACTGCGCCATAGTAGGAGTGCGATTAGTATTGTAGAAGATTATGGAAAGCGTAAAGCAGCAGTATTGACCTAACAGCAGTAACAGGTCAAACTTCTGATTGTATGCTTGCTTATTCTTACAAGGAGACAAACAAGAGACTGGATTGTCTCTGATTGATTGATTCGTACAAACTAGGTGCTACATCGCATTATCTGAAGCATGGCGGACAAAGCTTGTTGATGACAATGGAGACCTTGCCAACTACCAAGCCTCTGTTTAGATTATATAATATTTCGTCAAGGAAGCGCTTACTAGCCCAATTTACTTAGTAATGGGGAACGATGCCATCAAAAGTGCATTTGTATTTTCTTTATGTCAAATTTTCGAGCATTACAGATCTGAAAAGGACAATGATTTTTAGATTCCTATTTCTAAGCATTTTGATATTTAGTAGCTTGATATTAGGAAGTTATGAATGCAGCGAAGGCTCATCAAATCTGGAATAGTGGTTTCCCGTTTTTCTGTGGCACCGGTAATGTTCACTAATTGACAGGCTTTTCGTTTTTATGTTTATGATTTTGCTTTTGGTGTTCAATGAAGCAAGGAAGGTTCTAGATGATACGAGCTTTTATATTGGCAACATAAACTATTACCACAAACCTGGGAAATGGGCAGAGTGAGATGAGGTATGGATTATGGATTCTGATCTTTGATTTCAGTGGGAGGACAAAGATAGTGTGACCTTCGACGTTGGAGATACAATTCGTTTAAGCAAAAATTTTAAGTAAATTTTTTTTACTTAAATAAATTTAAATTTAATAAAATCAGACTAAAATTAAAGAGAATCTAAATTAGGTAGTTTGTGGTAATAGTCTATGTTCTCACTATAAAAGCTCTGATATTCCTTGCTTCATTGATAACAACATACACCCTCATTAATTTCTTGTTGAGATGTTCCCAACTTTTGAATTAAATCTTAAGAAACTTCAATTGAACATCAAAAATAAAATCATAAACATAAAATTCCAATTGGATGCTTAGGTTCCAAACAAATTAGAGAGGATCTGAATCCCACAAACCTTTGTACTATAGGAAATGAGCAATGACATATAAGGCTTTAATGCTGCAATATGAGATGACAATGAGGTATTGGTTGAGATCTTTGATTCGAGTGAAAAGGACTAAAGAAGATCTAAATTTACATATAAGGCTTTAATGCTGCAATATGAGATGACAATGAGGTATTGGTTGAGATCTTTGATTCGAGTGAAAAGGACTAAAGAAGATCTAAATTTATCAATATTATTATTTTTTGTTTTTAAGTAACACAAGCAAAATTTATACGTTTCTTATTTATTGTATTTTTAACTTCTCGCACTTTCAACTTGTAATGTGCTACTTTTAATAGTTATTTATGATGGTAATTGTTTTTTATTAAAATCAATCTCTTAACTCTTTACACTTTTTTTTGTAACATAATTGTTTATATTAGATTGTCCTAACACTATCATTTGATCTCTATCATAACTAATTTAAAATGTCATTTAAAAATGTTTTTAATTTATATTAAGTATCAATTAGTATCAGTTTTAAAAATTAAAAACACTTGTCTAAAATGGGAGTCAAAAACTCACACCAAATTTATGAACATATGTCAAATCATTTTAAAGTAAATATATTATATTGTTCATGTATAATTTAGTAGCGATTTATATTTAATATCTTATTGACACTTAAATATGTCAAAAAGCTTATATAACGATTCTAGTTATAAATAAATAAATAAAACGAATAAAATAAGATTTCAAAACTTCACTAGACACCATGAATAACAATAATTCAAAAGAGTACATACTTAGAATCGATTTCTGCCGTCAACAATCTTTCTTAACAAGTGACATATGTGTACCCTGACATAACCTCTCCCCTTAACTTTGATATACTAGAGAAATATAGGTGGTGGACATGCCGACAATAGTATAATATTTCATTACTAGTTCCAAATTCGTACAATAAGATAATAACTACATTTGAAAGGAAAGAAATGTATTAGAGTTTGGTCCTTAAAATATAAGATACCCCTACTTATTTGATATTCAAGCAAGCCAGCAAAAGGTGATGTGAATGATTTAGTTTTATCCATTGAGATTTTTAAAAGTTATTTACACTCCAATCTACTAATATATTGATATAGCATAAAAAAGCTGGAAAAAGCAACTACATAAAATGCCAACTTTTTTATGGCATGTCAACACTCGATTGAATTGCGATGAGAAAAATCTTTTCAGATGATAAAAATTAAACTCTTATGATAAGGATTTACTTTTTGAGTAAAAAGAGCTTTATAACATAATTGAAAGGTTGCGAAATCATTCAAAAATGTTACTTGTTAGGAAGTTAAAATGGGTCAAACTTTCAGTAATGTTTTTTTACATGACTGGATGAGGGTTAAAATTTGTTATACATTTAAATTAAATCCAATAAGAATGCAGGTGAACTTATGCATTATAATGCTCTCAACCTCATCATCTGCAAAGTGCTACTCAATCACTAAAACAATACAAAAATTGCACTTACTGCTCTTGTCTTTCACCAATGAAAAATTAGACGGCTAGACAGTTGGAGGAATCAGTGCACTTACTACATAACACCGCAAGGAACTTATTGTTGGGATCATTTTGCAGGAATTACATTACAGCAGTGAATTGGATGTGGTCTTTCATATTATGCAAAGATGTGTGGAAATATTATTATAAAGAATCATCACTAGTATGGTCACCAATGGATACACTTGATGATGAATATCCTGTATTAGCAGGACCAAACAGTAATTCTAGGCAAAAATCAGGGCCACATATTGATCTTCCTTTCTTCCCAACTTTGTCCAACTCCTGTATTGTGAGCTACAAAACAATAGTTACAACGGGAACACAGTCAATCACACTGTGGATTCTGTTGCCAGTTCTATTTAATTGTAAATGCCAAACACATTGAGGGAATTTGAACTTACTAATTTTCATAAAGGCCTTTCTATTAATTTCATTTTACCCTTTGGTGGTGTATTTTAATTTATTTGAATATCACTATATCGCATCTTAGTTATAGCCCTGAAGAACATCTATTCAATCCAGAAATTTTATTGGCCCAATGACATGCCATATGCAATTCACCATTTCATATTGACAGATATGCTCATAAAATATAACTTGGTTTTGTATACTCGTAATTTTCTGTGTCTCAGTACCATGCTTCAAAATTCAAACCATATTCAATGATAGACTACATAAACAAAAATTTTAGAATACTCTGAGATGTGAGATTTATATTATATAAGCCTCACCTTGAAGAGATTTTCCATCACAAAGTACATATTCTTGCCCTTTTGGTTTTAATCAAATTTGAAGGTATAATTCCCTTCCAGCTTATATATCAGCAAATAAAATTAGGATGAGATGAAATTACCTGTAGTAAACTGTTTCTAATAAAAGCTGTGTTAAAACAGCAATAGAAAAGACGACCTCCTATCATTTTCTCATAGAATATGACACGAACATCTCCAGTTACCTATCCAATAATTTAAAGTCATGGTAGAATATTTGCTTGCAGACAGAAGTGAAAATGGATACTGGATTAAAGAACTCCGTTAGCAGAACTTCTTCTTAATGTTGTGAAGTTCCATATATTTTATAGTTTCAAAAAAATAAATAAGCAAAACCAATAGAAGGGATTGCAAAACTTTTTTCCAAGAACAAAGCTGATTATATTTTTTGTGAAGTAAAAAAAGACTAGTTTCTTGCCAAATGCTTCATTTAATATCGCCATTGATTACTTACTTGTATAGGTTTATCAAAATAATGGTCCAAACATGATTTTTGGTAAATTGCAGGACTCTCTGTGTCCATTTGAACTACAACGCGAGGTTCTTCTATTTCTGATTGGTTTCCATCTTTATCACCTTCAAGAATAGAGATATAGTAGCGAGGACTGTTGGTTCTCTGATAGCCTTTCTTTATCTGTCTACAGCAGCTTCGGTAAGCTTCCACCGGTGGACGATAGACCTCATCAGGAATCTGTAAATAAACAGGAACTCATCTTGGTAAGTACAAGAGGAAAGTCTTGTATCTTATTCATTATTTAAGGATGTTTTCAACTACTCATATATCATATGTATAGTACATGCATAATTATGAGTGGTAAAATTTTGGTGTACTTCTTTAGGTGTTTTTAGTGCTATTTGACCATCAAAATTATAGTTTCACTTTGATAAAATGTCTGCATTTAATGATACCCCGAATTAATGAGAAATTCTAATTTTAATTGGCAAACAGCGCCACAAGCACCTAAGAAATTGCACCTAAGTTTTGTCCAATTATGAGAGGAGATCATGATGGCACAAAACAATTTGTAGAGATTGGTGGAAAAGAGAGAAACTAAATAGAAATATTGAAGAGAAATGTGTTGTGAAACAGTATTAATTAGCTCAATTACTAGTGTAGTACAAGCTTAACTCAACAAGACTCCTATGTCCTGTCATATGAAGGATCCAAAAATTAGCACACTAACATAAAATTCAAAAAGATAATTCAGCCACACGAGATACCTCAAACATTGTTTTATCATAAATTATGGTGCACTAACCTCCTGCAGCTCTGAGATAACAAAGAATATTGTGTCAATGTTGACTGTATCGTAAAGCCGGATTCGCCGCAATTCTCTGCTACATGGTTGAGGTATGTTCACGTTTGGTAGTCCATATCCAGCTCCCCTAGGGACAGAAAGTAGACTTTCCCAGTATGCCACGTAACGACGTTGGCTTGGTATTGATACCTGATCGCAAATAGGCACAAAAATGTGGTTCAATTTGATTCTTTCATTTTAAATTTCCATGGAGTAAAAGAGGAGCTCAATATAAGGGGAAAAAATGAAAAATAAAAAATGGAAGTGAATACTCCTATAAAAAGAAAGAACAAAGTTACAAAGGCATATATTTTTGAAGTCCATTCCTTGTAATTATATTTTGAATCTATAGTTTGTTTTAATGTTTTCACCATCCACAGTCAATCACAAACATGTTATTTTCATATTCAGATCCATTTCTTACTAGTTTACCATTCACAAAGTTGTCATTGTATTTTGAAATGATAATAAACATTACTCAAAACTTGTGTTGATGAAGATAGATTTACATTTCAAATTGTTGGAATTATACCTAATATAACTTACTCCTTCATTGTTGGTTGTCCTTCTGTCTGCATATAATTGAAGAGCATCATCAGCTGACATGCCGCAATAAGTTAAGTATGAACACACCATTAATCCAGTTCTACCTTTCCCTGCCTGCATAATTGGAACCAAAGAATACAAATGAGAATGGATGCCACTAGTTGTAGTTAAATATACTAGAGGGGAAATTATATTAGATATATTTTCAACATTTAAAGAATTATCTGCTTTGTAGCAAAGTAATTAATCTTAGAAGCATCTTAAGGTTCACTTGCAAGATTGTAAAAAGACATTGGTCATCCATATCCTGGGGGAGTCCAACTTATACAAAGTAATTAATCCTGTGGAAGAAATTTACTTTAATCTTTACGAAATGTCGAATATAAGCTTCTAGGATTAGTAAGTAAATAGCCGTAAGTCCATAACAGCTTAAGGCAACTAGTAACAAAGCTATAATACTCATCTAAATGATGTCAAACAATCATTCAAAAGACAAGATTGAAGTTGTTCACCTCACAATTAAAACCTCATTTGGCATATTATGTGATTTATTTAGTTATTAATATCCTCAAAAAATGAATTATTTAATATTACAAGTTCCAAAATCCAAACACTTCATTTGAAATTTGCCAAAGATCCCAATAGGAATTTTGACCTCTCATACCATGCAATGAATAACAGCAATATTTTTTGGGTCACGTGACAGCCATGAATCCACACTTTCACAGAAAGCTTTGATCATTTGAAGAGACGGCACATGGTTGTCATCAAAGGGATATGATTCCACGCGTCCATAGAAGTGTGCTGGATCATAACTTTCTTCTATACAGAGATTATATATCTGAAAATTTTAAAGTGATATGCTTTAACTACCACCACATGCATGATAGAGAGATAGGAGAAAAGAAAAATGATAGGTACAAACAACAGCCTCTACAATTATCATATGTTAACATTGCAACCTAGTCAGAAGATCAAACAATAAACAACAATCTTGATCAGTCTTTAAGAGAATATTTTGGCAAATGCAAAACTAGGTAACAAACAGTGTGTCATCCACTTTTATGAAGATATAATAAGTTACATCAGACAGCTGAAGAAAACTAATTATCAGTATCAAGGAATGCCAAACTAAGATTATAATAACCCAAAAGTGACCTCTTAGTAACACAGGTACACAAATAATTGACATGAACCCCATGGGATAAGTCTAGTCTTTTTCATTAACTAAATGAGGCATCAGTGCATTTTGAAAGATTGGTACAAGACAGTAACCACTGACCACTGTCATGCCCGATAGTAAATTAACTAATGAAGACAAATGGAACAAATTTCTGGATTTAAAGAACAAATATTCAATAATTGATAACCAAAAAATGTCCATGACCAATAGTTCAATATACATACATTAGAGCATAACTACACACAAGTATGGATAATCATGATGAACAACCAAAACATTGAAGACCAACAAGAAGATAATATGCATTATACATGGTAATTGGTTAAAGGGTGCACCTTATAATGCTCTGTATGTCTCATGTCCAACACAGATTTGACCTGCCACAGAGGATTTCGATACATTGCTCGCATTCGTTCTGCAGGAAATGACATTGCTAATACTCGGTCTGTGATATATGACATGTCAAGATCATAACCATCAATTAGCATTCTTCTTCGTTGCTTAGATACCAAGTTACGAATAAAATTCTTGCTAAGGTAATTGATCATGTGATGATGTAAACTTAGGCTATCAACTTTGGGTGGACCCTGCTTTGTAAATTTCAACCCCATTTGGTTGATATGCCAGGTTCCACACTACTGAGAAGGTACCTATGACAAAAATAAGGAATTTGTAAAATTTTGAGTGCTAAAGGTTAGATACATAATTTATTAAAAAAAATAGTGAATTGTCTCAAATCGAAGTGAGAGAATGTCATGAATAAATAAAAACAGAGTTAGAGTTTGAGATTGCAAGACCCACTAAAGTTGTGGTGTAAAAACATTTAAATTGAATAAGAATATAATAAATTTTGAAAGAGGCTAATCTCTATCATAAAATGTCGAGAAGCTTGACATATTGCAAAATCATTAATCATTTCATTCATCAAACTTTATAGTGTATATTATGCTCAATTGCAGGCTGCACTTTGTAACAAGTATTCACGAAGGTGTGCAATGAACCCATGGCATTGAAGGAGATGCAACTGCTACACCTATTTTGGTAATCTAATAAAATCAAATCGCTTCTACAAAAGCGTATAGAAAAAAAATATATATACATCATTCTCATCTAACTAAAACAAAACGGAAGCATTACAAGTTTTGACTTTGTTGGTTCATTTTCCATCTTATAATAATGATTAAACACGATTTAAACAACAATTTATAGAAGCTGCCCCTATATTAGTCATATGACAGGTATAGTTTGAACTATGTTATACCTTACTTTATCAACAATTGAGCAAAGAAAATTATAGGTTTCAACATCAGATTGTTAATGGTTTTAAACTGCGGTCCACAACCACAATTGTTGCTACAATATTGTGACTTTTTAGATCCCTACAACACATTGCGGGTTGCAGCCACATTTGTCATCAATTTCCCACAATGTTGTTATTCATAACACAAGAGCAACCGCAGTTTAAAACCACATATAAGATAATACATCCTTCAAAGTATCAATAAAAAAGATTCATTTATGATCCATTTAGTAGAAGAACAAAAGGTTTAGTAAAAATCAAATTTTATTATTTTGTTCTAAGATTTCCTTTTAAAAAAATACAAAACATTTAGGTGTTCATTTGCCTTCCTATACAATTACAATCAACAAATATTTAATTTTTCTCAACATGATTTTAAAACAAAGAAAACGGGTATGATCAAATGTGGCACCTAAATAAGCTGAACATGAAGCTGCATATCGGAGCTCTGAAATTGAAAGAGCAAAATCTAGAGCTCCAAAAGAATGCAGGAGACCCTAGAGAAACCAGTGGAAGGATGAAATGATGAGGACTTCCATGATCCATGTTGTGATAGGTTTGGTTGGTATGAAGAGAAAATTTGGGAATGGGATTGGCAGAAATGCTTTGCCATATTTGGAGGAAATGATGACCTCACTTACACACAACACGTCCAAATTTGGACACAACACAACCGAAAACATAGGATAGGCTCTGTTCTGTTTATTCTGTTCTTCCTTGTTTCTATTTCTCCTCTGTTTTCATGTTTTTGACAAGGCGGGAAACCAAACATAATACCTGTCTGCTTTGGCAGCTTTGTTAACTTCTGTATATTTATTACAGATAACTCTCATTGGAATTTTTTATTTATAAAATTTATTTTATAGCACAAAACTTTCGTCTGGTTTATTGAAAAATGTTAAATTTTAATAGACTAGGATCTCTTGAGAAACAAGTGTATTAAAAAAATGTCTATTTTGTGTTTTATTTTTTTTTACTTTAATTATTTTTTAAATATTTAAATTACATATGATATCATCTAAATTTAATTTGCATTATGAAATTAAATAATTACTCGATGATAACTAACTAGTTTACTCGCTTGACATTAATTTAAAATTCATGATTTCCTGTTTTTTCTAGCAGTGGAAAATCTTACACAATTTATTTATTCATAAACACATAGGAGCTTCAGCAAGTGATTGCTCAAGATACAATTCCTATAAAAATAAAAACTTAATTATGATGTACGTACTAACTAACATTGTAAAAAATTTATATTGGTAATCAATTGTACTACGCAGATATGACTTCTAACTTAATTATTATAAAAGTGAATAATTCTAATTTTCATGAAAGTTTATGATGAAAAACAGTATAAAGAACTTTTATATATTCTAATTGAACTCAAAAACAAATCTTGAAGAAAAACTTATGGATAAAAATTAAATTCTAATTTCAATGATTTCGCAACTACTCATACTCACAATCTTGTTTTCTTTTATACATTTCATGAACGGTTCCATGACTTTCCAAAGCAATTTTCAAAAGGTCTAAAGGACTAGAGAAACAGTTTTATTGAGGATATGGAACCAATAAAAATTGAAACAAAAACATGGACACAGAACACTAGCTTTCATTCAAGATGGTCATGTGGCCTTATTGACATGAACATTGCAGCATATTGCAAGAGCCTGCGCTCAGTGCCTCCATGTTCCCTTACAGGAGTCACTGGACCTCTAGTCCTCTGCCTGTAACGTCTCCAAGCAAATTGAATGTTAACAGCAGCCCATGTTCTCCAATTTGATGAATAGTATCTTGCTGTTCTCTTCAGCCTCTCATTGGCAAATTTGTACCGAAAATGATCAGTGATGTACCTCAAGTGATCAGCATCAAGACCAAAGGCTTCCACTGATTCAAGACATACAAATGTGGCTGACGACGCCGGAAGCCGGTCGATAAACGGCCGGCGAAGGCACCATGAAAGTAGCTCATCACCTAAGAATCCTCCTGGTTCAAGATTGCTTAATGCAACCATGCCTTTGCTAAGACTTTGGTGGCGCTTTATGCGGCCACGGACAAGGAACACCATCCTTGGTACAGGATCACCTTCTCTAATTATCTGTGTCACAAGGACATTAACAACAAAATCATGATCTTTTCTACTATATTCAATGCTTGAAAGAAAATTTGGTCTCTGATGAAGTCATTTGTCTGCATAATTCATACCTTTTCATCTTTAGAGAAGACTAATGGCTTCACCCTGTCACATATGTTGTCAAGAATAAGATCATCCAAGTTGTGGAACAATGGTACCTGTCAAATAGAAATAACTAGTTGTTAGGAGAGTGATAGCAAATGAGTATTGTTATTTGCATATAATTAAGTGATCATGTGTGTACATTTGAGGCAGCTAAACAAAGAATTAATATCGTTTAGAAAAGTTATGTTATGAGTTATGATGTTCAAACAACATTATTAATTACAAATATTTGGTCAACTAATTTTTTATATTTATGAGTTTCTTTCATGTGTTTTTTTAATCTAATTAGAATTAGCAAAATAGGTCGGGCTCAACCGAGTTGGCCCAAACTCGCTCAATAAAATGTACAGTTTAAAATTTAAATATTCAGATCAAATTAAATTTAAGTATTTTTAGCTCGATACAAGTTAAGGCTAAAAAAAATAAACTTTATCCATTTTAGATACTATATTTATAAGCTCGAATTGTATTTAGAATTTTTAGTCTTACTCACTAAAACTCATTATGGCCGATTCAAAATGAGCCCTGTATCCAACATCTATAGGGCAACTTCCTTATTATCTAACTTCTTTTATTTGCGAGATAGAACATTTCTTACCTTTTTAATGAGGTCCAAGCAAAGATAGCGCTTGATGTCCCTCCTCAGTCCCTCAGGCAAGTCTTTGATCATTTCCATCTCATCTTCTCCTCCCATGGCTGCCCATCTCTGACGTTCAAAATGGCGAACTCTTTGCCTTAATCGGGATGGCAACTGCCTCCGCCGCATCCACCACTCCATGTCACGACATCTCAGCTGCATCTTTCTCTTCTTTGCCATGACTGCATGTAAGAATACCTTCATGGTAGGAATGATCCCAATTGTTAGTCCATAACATTAATCAGCATCATTTCATATTTACTTGTAATAATAATGTACTTTGGATACCTGGATGTTACCAATCAACAAAGTGAAAAGCATTAGTCCACTGAGTACTATGCATATGCTGAAAATCACTTCTAGCCAGTTACTTGTTGGCTCAAGATCATTTCCGAAAGTGCTGCAAGATTAGTAGGGATTGTGAAAACACACAGATGCTAAGTCAAGAATTGTTTCATGTAAAATAACATGTGATGTGTCTCAATCCCACACAGTAAGGAAACATTTTTAAATGAATCCAAATGCATTCTACTTTCTTAATTCATCAAAACTATAACTAGATAAAACAGCATTACGAATTTCTGTATAACCAGTTAAGTATCAATTTTTTTTTACGTATTATACATAACTAACTTGAACAAACATAAACTTTTGAACTTAGGAATACCAGTAACATTAAGAGTTTGTTTATGACCAATTAATTACCTGAGGGTCATCAAACCCCAAAAAATGGGATAAAGAATCTTGACAGCCAAAGAGTTGCTAGATATTACTGGAAGAGCCCATTGGTAGATCCCATATTTGAAAGGTCCTTGAACATCTAAGCACAAAGGTTTCCTTACAACAACAGTGGAGTTTCCACCACATGGATTTCCTGGTGTGCCTGCTGGTAACAAAAACTGGTAGCATACTTCCTCTGAGCATGACACAGAGAGATTGCATCCATGAGTTCTTTCACACTGCTGCCGGAGGCACGACGCGACACGTTGAATTGCAAGGACATACCAGCATCCTCCAGCAACCTATAAATTAACCAAAACAACATTCAAGTTACAAGCAATGGATTTAGTAACGAGTTGAATACTTGATAATAGGCACACTCAAATTTCAGTTGTGGAGTTTGCTTACATGAGATGCAATGAAATAAGCTATGAGATTTAGACCAAAGCCCCACCAAATGGTGCCAAAGATGTAGCCTGTGACTTTCTGCATTCTTCTCATCATGCAGATGCTATGGTAAACCTTTGGGAGAAATTGGAACAAAAAAATCAATAGCATTATGGTCATAATGATTTTAATTCTCTCTTCTCTTATCAATTTTGGCACTATTAACCAAAACACAGCCTGCAAACAAAAGGAAAACATATAGTGAGCATATGTTAATTATATTGGCTTCTAACGTCACCCTTAAAATAGTTCAGATTTGATACAAAAGAATAAATAAAAAACATAAAAATGAACGATTTTTTATTGATGAAAAGTTTTCATTGATTTACTGTATTAGCTGATTGATTTATTGTATGTGACTGTGAATTATGAAGATTTTAAAGGATTTTCACTATATTACATGTCATGTGAGATGTCTGTGGTTTATTGTTGTCGTGTCATACTTGATGGAAAATAAGGAACTATTGTCGTGCTACCACTTTCTAATAATAAAGATTGTTGTCTTTCACTTAAGGCACTATTTTCACAACAGTGTTAAGACAGTACATTCTAAATATTACACAATAAAATATACCTCTTAATTTAACTCTAAAAACTGCTAAGAGTTCTCTTTGGTGAGAGTTATAAATGAAATAAAATGGAACAAAACTACATAATCATTATTCATCAAAATTTTGCCATGCACCATGAATAACCAATTATTTTAGAAATTTAAAATTTATCTTTCATTAGCATCTTGTTGAAGAAGAAGTGCTTCAATTCACCAGTTCACTATGCTCAACTAAATTTTGAAAAAAGTCGATATGCAGATTTAAAATGTTTCAAATAATTTGAAAGAGTTTTTTTTCAATGAAAAATTGGAGAAACATTCTTATTAACAAAAAAAAGGAGTAAATTTTCTAATATTTTCAGTTGATTTATTAATATTTCTATTCATAAAAAAACGTCTTATGTAAGTGAGGTGACTCTTACATCACTCAATTTTATTTTTTTTTACTTTCTTATTTTGTTAATTAATATCGACGGTGCACCATCCCTTTTTAAGAAGTATCATCCTGAGTGTCAATAAGTTTGTTCCCATGTTTTATCTTTTTAAGACTTGTTTTTCAAATGAAAATAGAGAGGTAGAAGGAAATCCATTTCCCTTTTTTATATTTATAAAATTTACTGTTAATAAATCAAATATATGAACAACGTTTTTTTAAGCGGAGACAAGTTACAAAGGGAAAACATTACCCTTATACTTTAACAAGAATAAACTAAATAACAATTCAGTTTTGTTAATATGTGCTCAATAACACGTCTTAAAAACATTAAATACACTTTATTAAATACTTTGAATTACTATAAAAAGTATGTATTAAATATTTTTTATGATTTTAAGATGATAAATACTTTTATTTTCAAATTAAATTTCTAATTTTAACCTCTTAATATACATCATTGAGCACATGTTAAAAAAATTGATAATAATAATAATAATAATAATAATAATAATAATAATGTACCCTATTAAAAATGAGCTCAAAGTTCTTAACCAGTATAAATCTAACTTACAGAAATTGCTATATATTAAGACCCTACTTAAGTAATTAAAGAATTATATATATATATATATATATATATATATATATATAATTTACTTAACAATAAGAAATTAATAACCTATTTGTACGTTCGTTGAAAAGTTTCGTTTAATTATATCAAAATATTATAGATTTTATTACCTTCATCTCTTAGAGTTAACAATAAACAGTTAATAATGATAAAATTTTATTAAAAAGAAAAATATTTATTAAATTTTTATAATTTTAATATAATAATTATGTATTTGTTTTAAAAAAAATTCTATTTATAAATAACAAAATTCAAATATTATTGATGTGTAGAGTTTATATTTTTTACATATGAGAAAGCATGAAATTGAATTACAACGTTGTGACAAACAAGATTTACAGAAAGTGTTGGTGTGAAAGAAGTGTTATTAACGTTACTCTTTTTAGTTTTTTACAGTACGATTCTGCTTTTACAAAGTGAATAGACAAACACGTGCAGACTCGTGAGTGTGAGCGCGTGAGAGACAGAGAGATAGAACATGTGAGTGTTTGCAGTGCGAGAGTGAAAGAGAGCGGAAGTTACGAAAAATTCACACCTGCGGAACGGGGAGGATCACGAAGGCGTCGAACCAGAACCCCTTCAAGGATCGCAGGTAATGCGACGCGATGGCGCGTGCGTCCCACACGAGTTTCCCGCACCCAACCACCAACGATTCTCTCGACACGTACGCCAGCCTGAACTGCAGCCACACGTGAAACAAATGCACCGCGTCCACACCCGTGCGTGCCACCGTCACCAACGCCGCCAACCCTCCGTCCATGTACAGACACGGCGACCCCTCTCTTCCGATCGACAGAGCGTAGAAAAACAGCGGGTCGATAGCCAGCGCCACCCCACGCGCCAGCAACAACGCGCGGTTCCACACCTGCACGCGCTTGCTCCTCGGATCCAAAACCCGCCCGAACGGTCCCGAGTTCGACCTGGACGCGACCCGAAAGCCCGAAACCTTATTCAGCCGGTTCTGGATCGGAATTAGAGAGGACCCAGCGGAGGCCTCCCACTGTGGTTGATGAAATCCATCGCAGCTTGTGGAATGAAACATCGGCACGCCATACTGCGTGCAGGCGTAACACTCCACCGCACTGCTAACCGGATTATCATCCAGTACGGCGGCGACAGTAGTATGACTATCGCTGCCACTATCTCCATTGTTCACAGAGTTCTTTGAGCACAATTTCCCACCAATCCACCTAGCACAAAGGGATATTATTCACATAATCATTACAAAACTAACCATAACCCAAGACATATTATGATATCATACACATGTTAACACATGCAACATGAAAAAAAATGTTAGTGAAACATGCTACGTTAATTAAGAATGCAGGGACATTGTAGATATAGAAAGAGAGGATACCGAAGGAGAGAGGAGGTGAAGGGCATGGTGGATGAACCATGGGAGAGGGAGAGAATTGAGAAGGTGGGTTTAGCTTAGAATTATGTGAAGAGAGGTAGAAGCAGATGGAATTGGATGGAAGAGTATATATGATGAGATGAGTTTGCATGTGAAGAAGGGGAACTTAAGCTTACGGTTACGCAACGTTGGGTTTGATGGGTGGCTGAAGAGTGAAGAGGGAGTGTGTGGGGTTGCTATTCACTGTGTCTATTACGTACCACTCTGTTCTTTGCCCTTTGCCCTTTTCTGCCACCCTTTGGGACCACTTTGTTTTCTTTCCTTCTCTCTCTTTATCCTTCAACACTGCCTAACTCGCTGGTTTACCCTGTCATTTCACTTCATTTATTACTCACTATTTCATTTATGTACTTGCTGCAACCCTTTATATACTAAAACTTCATACAAGTAAATGAAAATAGTAAGTTTCTATTCAAAATATATATCTTTATTCTTTTATGGATATACAAATATAATAAGTATTTTTTAATTATCACTTACCATTTATAAATATTTAAAATATATTTTTTAAGTTGAGGTAAATAAAATTGATAATATATATGTATAATAAATTATTAGATTTCATTGATTTTAACCTTTTCAATTAATATAAGAGAGGATAATTCAGTTAAATACTAATAAATTTAAAAAAATTACATCTGACGCCTTTTTTTATATTATTGTGATCTCTTTCTTTTTATATAATTATATAAGAAATTAAAAAAGGTTTGTATTGAAGAGAAGGCATATAAATTTCAAAAATATATAATTAAAAATATTAAACATAATTTTATTAAACTTCTAAGAATATAAGTGTACTTCAAAGAACTTGAGTTCACTTTGTAATAATGATGTTCGCATGAGATGTGCACCCCAATAATAAAAAATTATTTTAAAAATATATAAAATGCCTTGTAATAATTTTTCTTTAAAATTAAATTTTTTGACTTTTTTTAATTTCTTGAAAAAAAAAAAAAGTGTGCCCCTTTGTACTTTGAAAGGTAATAATAAACAGTTCAATAATTTGAAACACGAAAACATTCTCCTTTTCTTCGCAGATAGACCAGCTCGCTGGGCTTCTTTTCTGTAAGCCAAAGAAAAACAAAATATATTGAATATTTCTCAAATTACATACCATATTCATATCGAAACACTTTTCTTTTCCGTTTATTATTTTATTGCAAATGGATAAATTTAGTCACTGATGGTTTTTTTAATCAAGGTTTTAATTTTTATTTTATTTTACCCGAGAAAATTTGTTAAGAAGTTATTAATAATGTCTCTATGAATAAATAAGAAGAAATATAAAAAATATTAATAAGGTTTAATCTTTCTCTTCCCTTCCTTTTCTCTCAAAAATTAACTCTCAAACAAAGTTTAAAAAATAACTCATATTTAAAATTTTTTATTAATATAAAAAATATAAAAAAAAGTGAACAGTATAATTATTTACCCTTAATAATAATTAGTTTAAAATAACTCATTTGACACGTACTTTTAAATTAAAATAAAATATAAACATATAAATGACAGTAAAAGTATACAAGAGATAAACATTATTGTTATATTAGATAACCATGAATTCACATGCATTAAAAAAGTATAATAAAAGATGTCCTGGTTGTTAATAATTAATATTATATTTTATGAAAATGTTCATATTGATATTAAGAATTGATTTTAAGTATTTAAATAAAATTGATAAATTTTTTTATTAAAATATGAATTTATCTCGTATATATGAATTAAATTATACATAAAATTTGATTGACTGGAGTTGAGCAATGGAATAATAAATTTTAAATTTATCTTATAAAATTTGAATTTAGTTTTTCTTTATCCAGTTTTTGTTTATATTTTTATTTTAAATCAAATTTCGATTAAAAATTATATATATATATATAGCTTGATTACCGAAATTAGAGCAATTCAAATTTAATTAAATTAATCTGACAAAATATATTAAAAAAAGAAAAAGAAACTTTATTTTCAATTATATTTAATTGGTTTGAACCAATCTTCTTTTTTATCTCACGAAACTCAACTCATGACCACCGTTGGTTTACACCAATAATTAACATCATATAAAATTTGAAAGGTATATATTTAGGGTGTATTATTGCAGCAACCCCAATGATGCTATATATATATTGCATGCTTGAGAATGTTATATAATCAATAACTGCAAATTATTCTGACGCCTATATCAATGTGGGTGGGAATATTGGCCTTCATAACAATACATATATCATATAATTCAATTTTCTTATAGCCACGAGAAACTGTGTGAAATTTGTTAACAAATTAACTAAAATTATAAATATGCTAATGCAAATGTTACTCGTATCAGTTTTATGGCTTTGTTAAGGAAATAATAAATTCAAGCCACAGTAATAATGAATATATATTCTTAACTTAAACTGCTAATTTTGTTACTTAATTATAGTTTTAAAAAATTTAAATATTATTGTTATATTATGATTATATTTATTAATTTGATTGTTGGTGTCAGATATTCTAAAAGTTAAACAAGAAGAATATAACTAAATACATGATAGAAGCTGATACAATAAAAAAAGGTTGGTGAATAACCAGAGAGCTATCATAATCAAAGTAAAATGGCAAAGGGGTTGCATGTTTTTCACAGATCATATCTGTTTAATTGCAGTGATGAATGTGAATTATACAAACACTTTCACTGTTCCATTTTGTCTTGCATTCTTAAATTTATAATTTATGTTGGAGTGGTGCATACTTCAATCTTATGCTTCCAATCTAAGCCACCTTTGGTTTTGTGGTTAATGGAAGCAAACTAATTAAATCAGCACCCTTTATTAATTACCCGTCACGTCACTTTGAAAGCAACCATAAATTATCACACATAGTTATCTCAAAACCAAATCAAATTCTCCTTCACTTTGATATAATATTTAATTGAAATTAAAATTTTATTTTAATAATTCCCACGATTAAATTAAAATAAAATATTATATATCTTTTCTAAATAAAATTACTTATAAAATTTTTACAATAGTGTACTTGTTATTATCCCTTGTTAGAAACAGCAAAACTAACTACGTTTTGGAAAATACTATTTATTGGTTTAAAGCATTAATTTTATTTAAGAAAAAATTTCGCATTTGTATACTTAAATTTTTTAATGCACAAAAATTAAATTTACACACCACTTAAAGTGAATTAACTATATTCACCTGGATCAACCATTATTAATAAAGAATATTTACTGGTATTTATTAAAAGTGAAAGTTATATTAAAAATATAATATTTAATATTATTAATGTACTTTAATTATAAATTTTGCAAATAAAAAATTAACTCATATCTTTAAGACATTTATTAATAAAATCTTAAAATTTAATTAAAGGTCTAACTAATTACTACTTTTTGGCATTAATTATAAAATTAAAAATAATAAATATTTTTTAATAATTTGTTTTATTTTTAATTAATAAGTTTAAGAGTGTTGTTAATATTTGTCTTCAACTAATTATTACCCGTAAGCAAAAACCAATTGAAGCATTGTTTAAATGAGTCAACAAAGATCATTTGCAATCAAAATCAACTAAACTAATTTGATGTCATTAACAACGCGGTCTTTGAAATAGTTACAAAATCTTTTAGGCATTAGTGTGTTATCAAAGTTTAAAATTATCTTTTTTACAAATTATTGTTACTGTTCTTTCAGTTATGTTTTCATTTTTCAAAAGGAAATGATCGCTTAAATATACATTATACATACAATAAACTTGGTGATTTTGTGATCAATTATAACAATCGTTCCTTCTGATTTGTGATCATATTAACTACACTATACCCTTTAAAATAAAACATACTTTTTATAGTCACAATGAAACAAAAACAATTTTTACTGCAAATTTTTTTAAAATAATAAATTGTTACTTATAAACTCTTGAATTTTAGTTTAAATTAAAAATTAATAATGGAAATACGGAAAGCACCCTCCTTGGAATTTGGGGGAAAAGGTGAAGTAGATTCCGTAGAGATTTTCTCTTATTTTATTTTGTGTATTAAAGAGTGAGAAATGGTAGGGAACTTGTTTCCAACTTTCCGGAGGTGGAAGGTTCCTCCCCTTTGTGTTTCTTATTTCTTTCAATTTCATTTTCGTCGCCGCATGCAATAAATATTCCAAAACTCATTCACCAATTCTCCATTTTTTCACGTTTCAAATTTCATATAAAAACTTTTTAAATTGAATTCTATTAGAGGGTTAATCACTCTAATTTTGTTTTGCTCATAAGAATTTCAGCAGAAAAGATGGTAAAAAATATCCATGCCTAAAAGATGAATAAAGAGTTTGCAACTTATTAAATACGAAATTCTATTTTAGGATATAGAATTCATTTTCATTTTTATGTTTAAGTTAAAGACTTAAGTTCAAAATTATAAGTTAAATTAAAATAACTTCATACTAGTTATTCACGTGTTAGTAATTAATTTTCATTTATATGATCTGTAATTAGTCTTCCATAAAAAGACCTATTAAAAAAATTATATGTAAAATAATAGAGAAGTTAATTATTATGCAAATCATCTTCTTTCCTTTTCCATTTTCTCATTCCGACTTTGACATTATACGATGTTGACATTAAATTCATCCAATCAGAAAGTTACATGTTTATATTAAAGTACCTAAGTATCATTATTCATCTTTCACTTTCTAATTAAGGACCACTCTTCTTATTATTAGTTCACAAATATCATGTAAAATTGACAAGTTTTATTGTTCTGCCTCGAAAAGTAAAAGATTTTTTCGCTTTAGGATCACTCATATTTCCCTTATTTTACCAATACAACAATCATCTTATTTCATTCTTTTTGGGAATTTTCTCCAAAAGTACATTTATTTCACAGTGAAATGAATGATTGGTATCAAAATATGAATGAATTACCACTGAGGTAGCATATATATATATATATATATATATATATATATATATATATGTGTGTGTGTGTGAAGGTTTTGACAAATCCAAAGAGTCTATTTTTCTTCACCTGACAGAGAGAAGAAGAATCCATTGAGATTCTATACAGCCTCTAAACCCAGGAGAAGAAGCCTTTGTCACAGTTTCTAAACCCAAAAGAAGAAGCTTTCGATGCAACCAAGAAGCATATAAAGGTTTCTTTTACCATATATTAAAAAGGTTAAAATGAAAACAAT